TTGGAAACGTTTTCAGCCTCGACTTAATATAAAGGTCGCGGGAAATGCTATCCAGCTTTTTACCCGATTAGGCAAAAAGGAGGGTATTGTTTTAGCCGCCTTGATATCGCGTTGTTTAAAGTTTAGAAGAGTAGAGTTTTTAATTCGAAATATGTATGAGGAATCACCATTCGTTACATTCACTTTGACCAATCCAATATCCCAGCCAGAGAAAGTAGAATTTTTGTATGCTGAACAATTTTAAAAAAACATCTAAATTTCAATAAAACTGCCGAGCTCTTGTGTCTTAATGCGAGACGAAAAACAATTCGTAATATTGTCGCATATAAGATACCTAAGCTATATATGTAACAAACTAAAAATCAAAAATATCCAGATCTAAAAGGCAAAAATATCCAAATTGTATAGAATTGCACGTCTGTTGAGTTCAGAATTTAGATTACAAAAATTAAAGCTCACGAAATGAATGCTTAGCTCTATGATCGTAATAATTAATCAAGGTTTGCCGTATGTCGCTAAATGAGGTCGTCCTAACGACCCAACTTCGAGGTGTGGACTAGGGAATCTATTATTTACTCAGCCTCTTGTCACATTGTAATGTGAACCGACGAGCACACGAAGTTTTGAAGGCCCTGGTTTTACGACAAATCACTTTGCTGAGGTGTTTGCTAACAATTTATAAGTAGGTCCTGCTAATATTAAGTCGATTAGTAACATTGGATAGTTCGAGCGGAATCATACAAACAATACACGTGAGTTTGGTTCATAGCAGAACATATATCAAATCAAATCATGTATTTATTCTAGATACAAATAAACATTGAATGAATAACAATAATTATAAATGAGATGTATCCAGTGTTTCTGAAATCACTTTTCTGAAACCTTTTCGACTTCGTCGTAAAAATTAGATGGGCTGGAATATAAAAACGGCCGTGTGATACCCCGTAAGTAATCGCGTTTTAATTTCAGTTTATGGATTTCCGATTCCAAATCCAAAATACGTAGCCAGAGTCATAAACAAACTTGTCTATGACCAAGAAAGTTGATATTGAAAATGGACAATGTAACGATTTTATTTTATTAACGTAGATTCTGATCGATAATAATATATCCCTCTATAACGACTCGTTCCAGCACGTTGTACGTTCCCTGTACAATGTAACGAAATAGAATCGTCGTTATTACAAATGTAACCTTCTCAGATATCGCCGTCGGGCTATTTAAGCAAATTATTTTTTTTGTCATTGAAAATAGTCGCAGTTAAGGTCATTTTATTATAGGAAATCAGTTATCTTTAAGAACAGATCTAGACGACCAAAGAGCAAAAAGGTAAAAACGAACTAAATAATAACGATCACGTCAATAATAGATTATATACTTGTTATTATTAAAATTTCTTCAAAGTCTCAACAGCATATTACACCCATATAAAGAACTTAACGATAATCTTAAACAATAAATCGCCAACTGGTTAAATTATAATCGTATTAAGAATGTTCGAGAGTGTATGAATGCCAGAAATCGCACATTTTGGAAAGAATTAAGAGAGGGCTCTTCGTTTTACGTTATGTATGTTATGTATATTAACAAATTTTGGAGACTGCCGGTTTATCTGACGACGGCCACAAGAAATAAACTAATGGCACAGCAACAAGAGCGCTGATTCTAGGTTTGGTACAACAAAAACAAATACGAGAAAATATTATCATTCCTGTATAAATCGCTTAGAAATATTTAAACCATAGTCTGCCTAGGGACCAGAATAGACTTTTAACGGTTTCAAACGCGAAATATATTAGTTTAACTTATTTATCAATTATTTTATCCAACGCCCGACGTTTCGGATGCTCTGCAGAAGCCGTGGTTACGGGGACACTAAAGATGCAGCGAGTCCCTAAAGTAAAAATTGTTCGCTAGTGCCATCTGTTTTGTCGTGGTTGTGTATTTGAAGAAACTGGCTGTGTCGTTACAGAAGTGACTAACGATTTTCTAATGTTTTTTGGGATCTAGTTTTTTTAACATAGCATGTTATATATCCAATTGAAATATTTGTTGGAAAAAATGGAATTTCTTTTGGAAGAATTGTTGCCTGTTCGAAGCGTTAAAAGTGTTATATTCAAATGTGTACTCCTTGCGTAAACTACATACAGTACACAAAAGATTTTTCCTAAGCGTCGCCGTTTTGTAATCGGTTACTACTGGTACAGTCATTGTTATGCAATGTAGTACATTTAAAAATCGCTTACAACTTATAAATTAGTCACTTTATAATTTATGGTTGAGCGTTAGGACGGGGACGTGCAATTAGTCGCCTTAACGAACGCTCTAAATAAATATCATTTCTTGATTAATATCAGTGCCTGATAAATACGTTGCTATTAGTCAGAACGCGTCCATATTTCGCGGTCAGTTGGACCAGATAACTGAAGGGTACGAATAATAAAGATGAAATGTAAAAAAGCAACATTAAACAAGAAAATTGCCTACTTTTTTAGTATAACTACGTTAAAATCTAAAGCTTTTATATGATTTAGTATATAATCATGATAAATATTATACTGATTTATAAATAGATACACACTACTATACCAAACGTTTATTTGGTAATTGGTTAGCCAACATATTTTATTAGAAGACTTTTTTAAATAAAACACGGTTTAACGGTTTAAAACGCGATATATTAATTAAACTTATTTGTAAATGATTTTAACTTCGGCCCGACGTTCTCGCTTAAGCTACAGATAACGCATATACGTTCCTATATTTAAATGTAATATATCTCAAATGTAGTATATATCTATAGCTCATGTTACTAAGACGTGTTTCAGGCCTGACTAGGTTACTAGTACTGTTTATCTGATCATACTAATATTACTTAAACCTATATAGAAATATGATTTATACTGACTGCACTACAGCAGCTGAGGTCATTGAAAAATCTCAAGAGATCGCAAGTCTAATGGGAATGCATTAAAAAGCCTGCAGAGACGTTGGAATACATCCAGGTTTCACGAAAAACCGACTGATAACCTTCTTGGGTGAACTCTACATATTTATAAGTTTCGAAGTAAAATTCTGTGAGAATATAAAATAAGTATTAAGAGTTGAACACCGGCGTATTGCTATAAAAACCAATAGGGCCTGGGTTCGATTTTAACGGGGTACAAGATTTTTTTTTAATTACTTAACTGATTTTTAACGTTTTTTGGGCCCATGTGACTAGAGATTAATTGGACTTATCCGATTGTCCAAAGCCTACTTGTATCAATACAATGGAGAGAATCAAGATGAAATAAATAATAGGATGTACGACCACGCTGTCCCCTAGATTCGACATCATTGGGTTAAAATTATCATATTGCTGTACTTATATAAAATCAAATATCAGTATATATTACATCTTCTTAAATCTTTTTTACTAAGCAGCTTAAATGTGTTAGTTGGTGTTTGAATCAAGAAAATATTTCAGGACATTTCTTAACATAATGGTATTGTTATCTGTTGTGAATTTATAACGACTTGAATTTATTAATCGCTAAGATTGCACAATGAAACAAAATTTTGCAAATAATTCTCATGTTTTCTTTATTAGCAGAAACTATAAATAAACATACGATTGCCTTCGCCAATTTCAAACCTTTGAAATATGTTTAGCATTACAGTTATTTCTATGGCGAATTATTATAATTTACAAAGGCTAACTTATTGAAATTTATACATATGTATTACATTGTATCTCATATAAAAAGGTTCAGATAACCTTTACAAAAGAAAAAGTCCACACTTTATTACTTAATAGCAAAACATATAATATATATGTGCAACAAACTAATGGTTTAAGTCTATACATAAATACAGTAAATAATTTATTTCTGTACACGTCAAGGCTTTTCGTATACTATCCTGTTATATGAAATGACACAGAAATGGAATTAAGAAAAAAATGCTTCAACAATTTTTAATAAATAAAATATCGCCAGTTATTTCACGTTACTATCATAGGAAAAATTAAATCACATACTAGCTGACGTGGCAAACCTTATTTTGCCATATGAAGCATTTTAACCAAAATTTGATTAACTTTAAAGACGGTTCTTATGAGTCAATCTTAAAAGGTAGACATACTGTCGCGAACATTTTTTAGATTACTTAAAGAGGAATAATTATTTCACACATTTTTCTATTTTTTTTATATTTGTTTCTTCGCTCCTATTAGTTGCAACATAATAGTTTATAGTGTAAACCTTCCCAGATGAATGCTCCAGCCAACACTAACATTTTTTTAAACCAATAGTTCCTGAGATTTTCGTGTTCAATCAAACAAACAAACACTCTTTAGCTTTATAATATTAGTATAGATATGCAATAAAAGGGTGATTTACCACAAGGCGTATATATAGTCGATTAGTGGTCGCAGTCTCAATTGAAAAAAATATATATGTGATTAACGTATAAGTTAGCAACGGTGAATGTCAATCCTATACATTAGTACTTATAGATATTTCGTTAGTGTTAACTTGGCTTCAGATTAGGTACTCATGTTAGGAACAAGATCAAACTTTTTATACAGTTACTAAGGTATTGTTAAACAAATTACAATAATTGTCGGTAATTGTACGCAACTTGTATAACGGAATTGAAAAGATTGTCATAAATATTGTCAATATTACATAAACGACAAAGATATGCAAAAATACACAAATTGTGGGAAATAAAAAAATATATTGGATTTTTCGCAACAGTATTTAGAAAATACATATATGCGAGTCTAATGGCGTTATTCATTGTAAGTCCATCAAACTGTACTGTGGTCAGAAGTGGGATTGACTTAGACTCAGTTAAACACAAGTTATACACAATTGCAACCGTAATGACTAAAACGAATTATAACACTATATGGCAGAAAAATTAAAAATATACACGTCAATGACATAGCTCAAAGATGAATTGAAAGAAACAATAGCAGATTTGGTAAGATTCTCTTAATATTGGAAGCACTACAGAGGTATATATTCCCGGAGCTGCTGCAACGTATCCTTGTCAGTAGATTGAAGAAGTCGCTCGAACGTCTCTGTTCCGACTTGGCTCTTCAACGTTTGCAACTGAATAGGACAAAAATATAATTATTCTTCATATATGTAAAGAAGATCCCTCGCCCAACCCAATCGACCGCCTGTGTAGCGAAATCGTTAAACGTGTTGCTTAGCATTGCATTTAGCGTGGGTTCGAATTCCGGAGACACAATGTATTGTTTAAGTCAAGCAAAGCACAGAGGTCTGTTCAACTACTTGTCTGTAATGTAATTGATCAGACGTCTGTAAGTCGTATATTTTCTTTATATCGTTACGCTTTAAGATAATTGCACACATAATATTAAAGTGAATTCATCGTACTAACAATTTAGAATCGAAAACTAGTGATAATGCAAATAATTATACAGTAACGCGGTATTGCAAACCTCACTTATTCGGTAATCAATGTAACCCGGCCGGGTAAGGTGCGCGATGCATATTTCCATTATTACATTGTACATTACGGATACTGTATATGGATACCGCGATCACCCGAAAGGGGTCTTAATTACTGTCCGAAGCTCTTCTATAAAAAAAAATCACCTGATGGTGGGTAACAGCACGTAAATCTAAAGCATGAGCCGGATGGGTCGCGGCTAGTTGCCTGCGTCGCGTCTCATGCGGTGTCCGCACACTCTCGACAGCCGCGCCCTCTTCGCCCTCCCACCTTGCCGCACCCCCGCGACCCTCCAATGGAGACGCCGGTCTTGAACCAGGCGGTGCTAACAGACCACTAAGATAAAAAATCACATTATAAAAAATACTATCAGAAACTAAAGAAATCGAAAACAAAACTGCATATGTCTATTTTGCGTATATGTCGTACATCTTTTTTTTATGATAGATGAAAACGGAAATAGAGGTTCACTTGATGAAAATACTCCAGCTATCATTAACGTCGGCCTATTTTTGGCTTTGGATATTCGGAAATACAAACTGAAACCGAAACGCAATTAAACTTCACGGCTTTTTCTTCAGCCCGTCAAAATCATACGGCATACATACATAACACACAAACTTACTCAACATAAGTGCCGCCATCTTCCAATTTCATTACATCATTAAGAACTTCTGTCAAATTTAGTAGAATCGCAGGGAACCGTTGTAGCACTGTAGCGTTCTGCGTCGTTAATAAAGCGGCTAGGCCCAGACCTACAGATATAAAAGTTTGTAAAATTGGGACTGGGAAAAAACACCTTGTACAGCAAAAGAAAACAAAAGGTACAAACTCACCTACAACTTTCCACCGCTCGACTTGCGTAACACAATTCATCTTCTCCGTCCAAACATGGAGTAATTTGTTAAGAACTTTCTCTGGATCGGAGTCGTAATCGGGAAGATTTTTGGACGCGTCTTGCACCGCTTTATAGAACAGATCTGATGAGAAGAGGATCACGCGCGATAGGAGGCACAATTGTACTGAGAACACTAGTGGCAGGTCGTCTCCTTCTAGAAGGCAGCTGGAATAAAAAAAACACTATATCTCTGTCTCGGTTTTACTACACGGTTTTTGAAGGACAATCACGCATATCACAAGGTGGCAGATGAAATACCCCAGCCATATAAAAAGATCCATGTTAACGTATTTTGACTTTTGATCTGACGGCAAAATGTCGAGCACCATTCCTAAATTACAACATATGAACAGCTGAAAATACCAAGTAGTTTTGAAATATGGCATTTTACAATTTCCAAAGAAAGAAATCTTTTATAAATTACTAGCTGTGTCAGGGAATACTTCCACGTAGAATTTACTATACTTTGGCCATGAAAATTTGTTTTCGCAAATCTTTATGGATACAACCTATTGCCCACGACGTCGGTCGTATCTCGTCGTTCTTGCAAGTTAATCGTAAAAGATAGAAATATAGTTTCGCAGACATTTAGACAACTTAAAGAAGAATCATTCTTTTAAAGTTATGTTTTAGGTATCCTTAACCGTTTTCACAGCCTACGCACCTGAAACCCACAAAGATGAATAATGTTTTGTCTACATTCTACATTTTCCGCTGTTTCTTTACTATTATTAGTCATAGTGCAGTCCTCGACAAATGCTATAAGCAACACAAAATTTAAGAATTTTTCAATTCCGACCAGTAGTCCCTGAGATTAGCGCGTTGAACCAAACCAACACTCTTCAGCTTTATATATATTAGTAAAGAGTATATATAAATACTAACTGTATAACTCGCTTCAAAATAGGCCAAATAACCTCGACGCCTAGGTACCGGTTCCTCTCCGGGTACACGATGCTAACGCAAATCTCCGCCATCTTTAATGCCGCTATCACCCCTTCTGTTCGCATATCGCTCAGCATATCATCCAATAGTGCCATGCATTTTGCACCTTCACACGAGAAGAACTCCTCGGGGCATAGAAAGGCATATGCTTGCATTATGTAGACTACTATACGGAGGTGTTCTGTCGATGACTCTGAAAATAAGTACAAAAAGTAAATCAAGCATAAGGTAACATGTATTATGAAGTCTAGCAATATTTTTTTATAATAGCATCACTGACACAAGCGTGAGTTTGAAGTGTCATAAAATCTGCTTTTTATTTTACTTTAATATTAATCCGAGTTGTTAATTAATGTAAGTAAAGAAAGTCCGACCATAAGTTTAGCTTTCAAAGAAAGATTTACAGATGTTATTTGATAGTTTAATATAGTAACAGAAGACTTTTTTTTTTTGTGAAAAAGGGACAGACAAGCATTTTATTTACTTGATGGAGGGTAAATATATGTATAGCGTTGAGACATGCACTGTTGACCTCCTAAAAGTTAAGCTGTTATGCTGCTGAGCTATCCAAAACTGAAAGCTCTGGTGGTGTAATTATTGTTCTAATTAAGATGTTCCAGTTGTTGTTCGCTTATTCTGAAGCTATAAGACTTACCCAATATAGGACAAAGATTTCTCGCTAAATCTAATAACTGCGGATCAGAAACATGTGCAGCCTCAAGTACGGTCAGCCACAATTCTAGGGCGTCTTCCAATAGATATACATGCGCTGGCTCACTTAAACATGTGGACTCGTTCACTATGCAGAGAATCCACGGTCGTATGCTGTCCGCACATTCACCTGCCGCCTATGTAAAAAAACATATACATTAACATATAAATTATTAACCTAATCATACTTAGTAAGTTTAAATAATTATTGAATATAAAAAATTCAATCTGTAGGCACAGTACTACTACTGTACATTGAAGTACGATTTTAATCCACACATAAGTACATACAGAAATTTTACAATGATACAAAAAAAATACATAAATGGGTTACAATTATCTGATACACTAACTTTGCTGTGGAAGGACATTCGTTAGCTGTTGTTGCAACAACAGAATTGCTGCAGCGGCGATTTTCAGTGATGCCCTACTTTATTGTATTGAAATTAAAATACAACGTGAATTTAAGAATAATTACGATTTTCTCTTTTTCATAATGCGTCCTCTCATTTTAGTCTTTTAGTTTTTAAGATTGATGGAATTTTAAATAGTGGTGTATCACTCTCGCTGGGGTATATCTAAGTTACTTGCCTACCTTTACGAGGTGTACAACTGCGGCTAACGCGGCCGCTCTCAGCATGTGATGTGAAGCAGCGTGATGCCATAGCTGCGGTAAATACGCAAACAGCGCACTGGCTCCGCCCCCGCGACTCACGACCGCTCCGCAACGCTCCATCACGTACGATATTACGTGCAGCACATGGATTTTCGTGTCGCATTCTTCGGATTCAACCTACACAAGACCAATGTAAAATGTTTTTAAAAAATAACTTAATAGCAGCTTTAAAATCAAACACTTTAAAGCTATGTGAGGGCTCGTGAAAATAGCAAATGGTCTGCCTGCCTTGTCTGAAAGGAACTATGTACTATAATTCCCTCTACGACTCTTGTAAAATGCTGGGCAACTCGTTGTAAAAAAGGTAGCCATAAGATCACTACACACTAGTTCTACAAATACTTATTTTATATAGTTATTTCTACGCAAAACACAACTCAGTAAATAAATATGTAATTATATAAAGTAAGTTAAGAATAAAAGCAATTTTATCCCGCAATTACGTCTGCCTGGTATAGTCGCCATGTAATAATTCAGTATTCTTACCAGGAGATCATAAAGAGCTGCAAGTGCATGGTGCGCGTAAGGTGCGAATTGTTCGACTTCGAAGTTAAAATCGTCGATGGTACTTCGTAGGGCTTCGGCCGCAGCCAGCTTCACCGCTGCGTCCTCGTCAGACCTAGTTAGTGGTTCAAGTAGAGCTTCATACATCGCTGGTCTTAGTGACGGTGATGATCTTACTCCACACCACTGACCTAATCATATCATAATTTGCTTTTTACTTTTTAGACACAGTTGTACATTTTATATAACGAAAACTGATTTTTGAAAACTTTATTATTTTTTACATGTCAGTCATCAATTAAAAAAAATTTCGACTCGCGCAGGGCTTGAACCGGCAAGTGGTAAGGTTGAAATTACATTGCGCGAGAGGTGCATGTATCAATAAGTTGAAAAAATTCGAGGATGAGGTGTAGGACTCGGTAGCTCAATTGGTAGAGCAACAGCACGGAACGCTCACAGTGCCAGTTCACCTGCCCGAGTCGAAAAATTTTTCAATTTATTATAGATTTTTTAAAGAAAACTGGTTTTTCACAAATTGTTGAACAAAAAAAGTTTAAAATTTTTAAAAACATTGTTGATATGCTAATAATATAATTTGATATGTGCTTAAATGAGCTTTTTTTATTCAACATACAAAACAGTTTTGTCTTAGTCAAGAAAAAAATCTCACCAATAAGTTGACACACTCTCCTTCTAATAATTCTGTAGTTATTATCCTTAATTTTTAATTCTTGGCTCAAGACATTGGTAAACCATTCATCAAAGTCCACCTAAATATATAAAAAAACATAGGTAATTTATTTTCACCTTCCATCTTTTTATTTTGATAGTATTTTTGTATATCGCATAATAAATGACTGGTTAGAAAACAAACTACTTTATGATGGATATTAAAGTCAACATTGTTAATGTACATGTAAAAAAGACATGAGAAACTTACATCGTCATACAAATCAAAGGCTGCAAGTCTGACAGCATTATATATAGCGTCCTTCTTCAGTATATTGGGCAAATCATCCGGTGGCACACGGGTTTCTTGTAATGAAGCCAGAAGTCGAACCAACTCTGGTTCTAGAAGGCCGCGGTACCCATGAAATAGCTCCATAAACACAGCTTCAGTACACGGCTGAAAATGCATCAACAATATATTGATAGAGGAATTTGAACAAAGTAGGATATTAAGAACAATACTTCAAAAATATTACACAAGTAGCTTTTCGGATTCGTTGCTCTAGAAATAACTACTATGAAAGTATGAATATTACCAATAATATACATACTGGAATGCTAAAATTCTGATTGTTATAACGTGCCAAATAAAGACATTACTTCTACTTACTCTTAGACTGTACTTCCAAGATTCCCCAACTTCATCTGTGGCAAAGCTCTCAGGCTCTGCGTCCCATAAGGCAAGATCATCAGAGCTAAGTAAAAAGTAGTGTGTGACTAAATGTCTGCACATGTGGCATACTGTGTTCTCATTTAGGACTTCCGATTTAATTTGGTGAGCTTGTAGAGTCACTATGTAAAAAGAAAAACAGCTATCACTGACAGTAATAAACTAAGCTTGTTATAGTATTTATTTGTTAAAAAACGATCAATTGATATTAATTCAAAGGTGTTGGCATAGATTTTATTAAAATGACTGCAACAGTTTTTTAAACCTTGGTTGGCTAATTTAGAACAAAACAATCTTTATTTATTACATGAATTTAATAAATCTTAAAGTAGAATAAAATGTTCTAATCCATTAAAGTTGTTTAATTTTGATAAAAAATATCTGTGTATTTCTTACACGGGGCCTTAACCTGGTCCACTGGTGCCTTAGGAGGTTTGAATTCCAAGCACTGAAGAATTCCCTTCACAATATTCAAACATTGTATAGTAAACCTCTCATATGCGAGTGGCATTCCCTGCTCCGTAAAGCAATAGTACAGAGCAAACTCTAGTGAGGGCCTTATAAGTGGTATATAAGAGTAAGGATGAAAGCACAATATACCCAAAGCCACTTTTGTCAAGTGAATTATAAACTTTTCGCAGAGTTCTAGAGGATAAATACCACGTCCTTTCAGAAGCTTTCCTAAAAAAAAATAGATTTGTTTATTGACATTAGAGTAATATCTCATATTTTAAAATTTTTAGGCAAATAAATACTTACTGCACTCCAAACTAGATTTAGCTCTATCAAAAACTACATTTAAAAATGCAACAGCATCTTGGCTTTCATGGGCTCTTTTAAACCCCAATACAGTAAGTTTCCTGAGCATACGGAGACATAAAAGTGCCTTTTCTAAGGGTTCCGTTATTAGTTCTGTGGCAGCACCTTCTTGAATGTGTTGAAGAAATAGCTCCGTGTTTTCATGCCAGATGTTTAATATGAAACCATACACCGAACTTGTCAGCTCCTGTAAAACTTTTGTATGGAAAGAGCATCGAGCATTTCTTTTACCATATGACTGTTTTGATGGTTGAAATAAATGATAAAAATTATTTGCACTCATGTAGACTGATCACCCTTTCTGTAATTGGTGTCCCCAAACGTAAACATACAATAATTACTCTAATATACATACCTGAAATGTCCCTTTGTCAGCAGGAAGTCTCTTAGAAGCTAAAGCTTTGACAACATGATGAAATATCAATAGCGATCTATGTTGGACCAAGGGCTGAGGTGCTTTTAATGCTCCAATCAGGTCTGGAACTAAGTTTGTCCAATTTGTTGGACAATCAAACCTAATAGATGAAACATATAGTACTGTTAATAAGATGCATTTTATCAAAGTTATCCTTCAACATCTTACTAATTATAATTTTAATAAATTTAAGTTTACTAACATTGAAATATTTCACACACATTTATACACAAATCTTTAGGTACATAGACATAAAGGACTTCCGATGAGTGATATTTATTAAATGTATACTATAAATATAACCATAGTAATTGATACCTAGCAATTTTAGCAATCAGAACTGCTTCTTGTGTTGCTATTTGAGTGATAGGTTCACTCAATATATTGGAGTTCAGTAGACCCTGTCGGAGCTTAATTTTCTCATCTTCCGTAATAGCATTAGGGGCGTTACGTCGCCAATATCGGTCTACACCATTCTTGAAACACATCACAGCCAGCCAACGAACATTTATGTCCACTGAATGATTTGAAAGTATATTCTAAAACAAAACAAGTTCTTGCAGCACTGTGTTGACTTTTTGATATATAAAAAAAATATATATAAAGTAATAATTACCAAAAGAACAGAGTAAAACCCAGGTTCTATTTCCCATTCTTTCAACTTCTTCTCAGCTGGTTTGAGGATTTCTGTATCTTGACTGGTTGCTCTATTGAGCGTGTCAAGTACCACTGCATAGATGTTTGGATCCATACTTTGATCGCAATTAACTCATTAATAGACTAAACGAGATACGTTTATCTTAACATATTTCTAATCTATAAAATACCTATTCTTCTAGCAATCAAAATATATGTTAAATGATGATTATAACAACTAGCTGGTTGCCGGCCATTTGATCGGAGGTAACTTTAACGATCTTTTTATATTTGATTCACAACTTGAAAAGAATAAGGAAAAGTTACAAAAAAATCGGGACAGTAATTTACTCTTTTGAACTAGTGTTATAAACTTTAATAGCAATTCATAGGCCTAACCTACAGAGCCCTGATAAATGAGTCGGATTGTAAGTAGTAATGAATTAATCTTTATTATAAGTACTGAACAATAATATTTATATCGCTACACACGATATTTATTGTAAGCTGTTTGTAATGTGGAACAAATATGTTGAAATTGTAAAAACTAAGAGGCAAACTCAGAAGTTAGAACCACAAGATACAAGGTAGGTATCTATGTTAATTTTCACAAATTCACCAATCCGCAAACACCATTGATTTATAATATGTGACATTGGCGAAAAGTCAAATAACTTCACGTCGGACTTGACAATGACAACATAAACAGCAAGATAAAGTATGAATCGACCACAAATGAAAAAAAAAAGTATGAATCGAAATAAATAGCCCGCAATGTCCCCGAGTTAGCAAACCCTATTTAACATTGTAATACAGAACAATATAAGTTTTTAATTAAAACAATTTTACATCCTAATTTTTTTAATATAAGAAAGAATAACTACAAAAAGATACGTAGAAAACGATAAAAAATAAGAAACTCCATATCACCACACTATATAACAAGAATACATGTAGTAGTAATGGGACAGTTTCTATTATTCAAATGATTAATGCTATATGGTGCTACTTATTAAAACGAAACAGTCATTGTATATAAAATTGTCTGAATTTGGGGCTAAAGCATAGTACGTAATATAGTGAAAGATATTATTAGAAATTGATTATAAAATTATTAGCATGTAGGGGAACCCTCCAATAAAAAGTATAACCCTTAAGCACGAGGCAGTAACCAGTAACCACTCCACTCATTAGACCTAGTAAGTGGTATGCAGCTACGACTTCTTTAAAAGGCAAATGTAATATAATCTATATTAAATACGCAGGTAAAATGTGTTTTCTTGAAATGATTTCAATATAGCAACACTAGAAAGCGCCATCTAGGTTGAAGAGAAGGATTTATAAAGTTTAATTCATTCAAATTTCGAAACATTTTTAATACTCATTTATGTAATTTGGAAAAACTGTTTATTTTTAGTACATTTTTATTATTAAAATATATATTTTTTTAATAATGCACTACATTGCTATAGAATCAACTGAATTTTAGTAAATATATCTTTAAAAGTGTTGTACTTGACTATTTCCTTATGCCATGACTTTTTGAGAAAGCGGATGTGGTTGGTCCGCCATATCATTCGTGTGGGTCTGTGCTTGTGTGGTTTGGGTGTCTTTATCGGTGCCAACCATTATTTTTAATTAGTAATAAGTTATGCGTATGAATCCAGACATGGACGATGATGAGAAGGGGTAAGTGAATTTAACCACAAATATGCTGTAATTACAGGGGTGTTCTATGTGATTGCAAACTATAATAGGTCAAACTGCATGTTCGCTTGATATGTCGCATTTCACGGCTATAGCAAGGCTAGCAGGTTAGCATTACGAAATGGGCTAGGGATGAAGAGATGGTCATTTCGATTATCTTATGATGTTTCACCATGAAATGGAACGAGCTCCATGGTAATTCTTCGTGAACTCTCAATTAGCCTTTTACCGGCGAGCGGCCACCGACCCCAAGCCTTTCCGTCCGCCTTGCGTGTTGCGATCATGGCAGCTTTACTTTCCCATTACTTAAATTAACCATTTACCGGCATCCTAATTTAATTTTTGACGTCATTTTGTGATTGTAATGCATTTATTGTATTACGTTTATATATAGTAATTTGGAAAACAAAGATTGTTAAAATAAGCGCACATAAAGGTTATCCTTTCTGTGGTTTTTATAGCTTTCTCTTATCAATGTAAAATGGTTTCGTGAAACGCTGTCTAAAAAATATGGTGATTCCGCTACTATATTTTGATATCTTCGATGTAAATGAGGTTAATGGAGCGAGATTGTAGCTGCCGCGTAGCATTCTTTCATTTACCTTATTGTGCCAAAACGTCAAATTTGCCGATTCATTCTCGGTGAATTGTAGCGGAATTAATGTAAGATATTTTTAATGAAAGTTAGTACATGTTTTATCCAGGATTACGAATTTCAATACGAACACGCTCGTTCGACTTTGACACGTCTGCGCATTACTGCTTCATTGACACTTATCGTAATCGTTAAAATGAGACATATGTTTTTAAAACTTTCTATTGTAATCATGTTACCAACTTATCATTTAGACCTTATGGTGGAGTCTGCATTTATCAACTATAATAAGCAACAACCACATGCTTTCAATTATGTCTTTAAAAATGACCTTATTATGTAAAACTATTTATTTTAAGTTAAGATAAGCTAAACTGTAGTTAATGAGGTCAATAAATAAAGCAAGAGCTTTTTTTTTATTTATTTATATATTTTGTTTAAAATGATGATCAATTTATTTTATATTATATAGTTCTGGTAAAGCCATTACATCTACTCCATATTACTATGTAAAAAATCGCTTCTTTAATGAAGTAAAAAATTATTTCAAAATATTCCAATGGTACAACTGTAACTGAAAATCGTTTTTTTTTATTAATACAGAAAACTGTTTGTGGGAGGGCTGTCATGGGAGACATCCCAAGAGAATCTTCAACGCTACTTTTCGAGGTATGGCGACGTCGTAGACTGTGTGGTGATGAAGAACAGTGAGTCTGGTCGCTCAAGGGGCTTTGGGTTCGTCACTTTTGCTGAACCATCATTGGTCAATGTAGTGTTACAGAATGGCCCCCATCAACTTGATGGCAGGTGAGTTTCCACAATTATGGGTACAAAGTTCATAAATATTTCATACCCTAGTTTATTTATAACTATCATTACTACTAAATATTACTATTGCAACCTTAAGACCCCTGTAGAGGTGGTAAAAGTAATAAAGTAATAATTGAGTTTATATATAATCTGTATAATCAAATTATTACATAGTTTTTTAAATTGAGGGTAATTGTGTATAAAATATCAATATAAATTGCAACATAGGCAAGATTTAAAAGTCACCATGTCTTATACGTTTTGATCGCTTCATTTGTAAGCCAGTACTGAATTGAAAAACTATAATGTCTAATCATTAATTTGAACATTGAGTTTTAAATTTTCTTGAAATACCAATCCTTAACCTTGCTTACCATTAAGTTTAGAACAAGGAAGGTGGTTTTTTATTTCTATAAAAAAAATGGAAAATATTTAGGTGAGAATGAATATTTCTTTTTGTAAAACCTAAAAGAAATAATGTCTTTTTGTCATAAGGCATACTACACTTTCAATCAACAAGACTTTAGTCTCCTTCACGATAACAACATGAACTATATAATTATGTGATTAAAATTTAAAAAAATTCATGGTTTTAATATGACAGAAAGATAGACACAACTTAATTATTGAGGAAAATGCATAGTTAATTTTGATTTTACAACTTTGGTGACCAAAGCTGATACTTGGCATATTGTCCAGATAGAGTATTCTATCTATTCAAAAACTTGGAACAGTAGGTTTGGTCCTCATCAAAAGTTTAATTTTAAAATTTTAATTATAAATATTAAATCAGTAGTAAGGTAATAAATTTTCTGCAGAACAATCGACCCGAAGCCATGCAATCCTCGCACGCTTCAGAAGCCTAAACGCGGTGGTGGTTACCCCAAAGTATTTCTTGGTGGTCTCCCTTCCAACATCACTGAGACTGATCTGCGAGTCTTCTTTGGACGATACGGAAAAGTTATGGAGGTCGTGATCATGTATGACCAGGAAAAGAAGAAATCTAGAGGTGAGTTTTGCTGTCAAACTTTATTGTGTATAAAAAAAAATACTTTAACAGCTTTCTTCTCTTCAAGATTCTTTAGTCTCTTATATATTTTTTATTCCACATCCAGGCAGTGCTTATGACAATAATGTCCTTAGTACGTTCAGATGTTTGTGGAACAATAAAGACAGATCAGCATATACACATTGTTCCTTAACTTTTGTGTCTACAATATCTGCAACAGGTCTTTCAAGAGATTAACAAATTGGCATTATAATTTCTAGTATCCATAGCCTATGGTACAATTTTTTTGAATTGCTGTGATAGGATCTTACAATACTTGTTTCCTTTCTTAATGAACAATTTTTTCCTATATAGGGTTTGGTTTTCTGTCATTTGAAGATGAGATTTCTGTTGAGAGAGTAACACAGGAGCACTTCATCAACCTTAATGGAAAACAGGTATATACTTTATTTATTTAATGTATATTAATTATTATGTCAAAGTTCAATAGAGTGACAATATTTCACATTTGCATTAATGTTTTTCCTAAGGTGGAAATTAAGCGTGCCGAGCCTCGTGATGGATCAGGCAAATTGGGAACTGGTGGGGGTGGAATGGGTGGAGGGGGCATGGGTGGTGCGCCTGGTGATGCACCAGCCGCTGGCCAGTGGGGCCCACCACAGGCCGCACCAATCAACATGATCCAGGGACATAACGGTCAAATGGGTGGCCCACCTATTAACATGCCAATGGCTGGACCCAATATCATGCAAGGGTAAGTAGTTTACAAAAGATGCAAATTAGTTTTTAATGTATGGATTGAATTTTAATACTTAATTATCTCTATCTATACTTAATTATACATACGTATGTGTAACTATTTAAAGGCCTAAAAATATATGAATTGTAATAATTTCTACTGTTGTACGTTCATATTGAATAACTTGAATAGCAAGACTTAATAAATTATGTTTCTGAGCTTTGGGAAACACCTGTAATTCCAGGTACCAAGGTTGGGGCACATCCGGGCAGACTTCGTACGCTGGATACGGAGCTGCCGGTGGCGGTGCCGGCCCGGGTAACTACCAGGGTTGGGGTGCTCCGCCTGGCCCCCAAGCCCCACCGCACGCACCTGCCTGGCCTGCTACTAACAATTATACACAGCACGCGCAACCCCCGGCACAAGGATACGGCAGTTACGGTACTGTTAACATTGCATCTCGTTAAAAATAACTTTAAATTTATATTATGCATTTGACATCTCCCTCATGTAGGTACGGAATTGAAGTATTGTTACCCAACCTTTTCTCGTGATTAAACATCGTAACACCCTCACATTAACCATTAATCTTAACTCTTTCCCTTAAAATAGAAAAGTCAATTCTCCGTACTTTTAACGTCTATTACCAAATTTTATCTTTCCAGCTGTTAATTGTCTTTCTTTTTCATGATCCTTTCTAACCACCTACCTATAGTCCTTTTATTTTATTTTTTGTTTTTCCCTTCACTTCAGGTTGCCTGGAAGAGATCGCTGCTTAGCGATAAGGCCGCCTTTTAGTTATAACCTAGTACATAAGAATTTATTGTTGTAAACCATTTCTGTGGTGTGTGTAACTAATAAAGTTAATAAATAAATAATAATAATAAATAATAAATTTTTTGAACTTATAGTTCCACATCCAGGCAGTGCTTTCGATAATAATGTTGTCAGTACGTTCAGATGTTTGTGGGACATTAAGGCAGATAAGCATATACACAATGTACTTTAGTGGATATTGTGTCTACAAAATCTGCAACATCTACTTTATCTCTATCGATATCTGTATTTCGGGTCCTCTTTCGGGCATCCCACGTTTCACGCAGGCGTCACGTTCGATATTTCGTAACAGTGTAGTTTAGTATGCGCAAGTAAAGAGAAGTGTCGCACGGTTAATTTCAAGTAAACGTTAGAGATTGACGCACTAACGGTGGGTTTGTTGTATATGCAGCTAACTACAGCTCGGCGCCGGCGGGCGCGTCCGCAGGCGGCAGCTGGACCAACTGGAACATGCCCCAGAACTCCAACTCGACCGGCTCCGGTTAGTCCCTGTCACCTTAATGCCTCATTTTCCGCGTTTTGTTTTTAATTCGCTTGCGCCCGCCACCGCTGATTAGATATTATTTATCCTGTATTACAGCTAGCTGGGGGAATTAGTTTTTTTGGGATCGTTTATATAATTTTTTTTCCTTGTTATTTTCTAATCCTGTGACCTGCGACACCGTTTTCAGACGTCAATGTCCTACTCAAATGTATATATTTTTATTATAATTTAAACTTTCCATATTTTTTTTTGTAAATATATTTTGTGGAGTATGTTTTACTTGTTGGATTTTGTGATTCTAATCTTTAGAATAATAAAAAACAATATAAAGATCAAAAGCTAATTAAATGTTTTAGCTGTCGTTAAATATGTATGACGCCGGTCAAAGATTATATGGTCGATTTGATGCAGCAGGATCGTACGTCCCTCTGTCTGAAGGCGGAGAGATGTATGGTCGTGGCGGCGGGGGTGGAGCGGGCGGTGCGGCACCAGCACTCGCCGGTGCTCTTTCTTCGGCTGCGTTAAGCAAGTCTTCGTCTGCTGACTACTCTACGTACCAGCAGTACCCGCCTGCCTACCAGCAGGACCAGGTATGTACATTTATACACTCGACACAAAACTTATAGAGCACTTTGGGTATACGGCAAATCTAATTACAGAATTATGGAGTAATGTTAATAATAGATTTAGATAAAGATATTTGCCCAGTGCCCTATATTAGATTTCAAAAATGTAACTGTCCAGTACTTCATTATACTTGGCATGTTAATTTTTGAATATTATCAATACAAATACAAAACAATTAAAATTAATATTTTTGATTAGAATTTTACCTTTCACTGTGCTTAACAAATAATATCCCTGCAGTCTAGTTGCCAGTGGTTAATATAGCCTGATTCATTTGATTGGACAATTTGATAACTCTCTGAATTTGACTGACTTTTCATGTAGAATTAAACAATTTATGCTCAATCGTAAATGTTTACAAAATTAGGCTGTCTTAAGCAAAAATACTACCAGGTGGTCAATCTTCGAAATTAACAAATGAATCTGAAAATTATGTTAAAATAAGATTGACCTAATGGCCCTCATCATGCTTTAATCATAAAATCTAGTGCGTGTCGAATAGTATTTGCATTTGTTTATTTTTTATTAAATTAAATCCTTTCGTTTTGTTAACTTTCTATTATTGACAATTTAATAATTAAACATTGCAAATACGGTTGGACGATTTGTTCTCAAGTCGTGTTACCAAAGTTCTATTTGTAACGCGGCGATACGTGGGTTTTGATGTTACTGCTTTACTTTTAAATGTGATGATAAATTGCTTATGGGTTGATTTGATGGTTGATTTGAACCTGCTGGATAGAATTAGGTTATCACTAGATAATATTATTTTTATAATGTGTGTCATTTACTGTCTATCCAGTTTGTTGAAGCACGCAAACAAACTCTTTACTGAAATAATATAACATAATTATGTGATTCGCAAAGGTAAGATGAGCACATATTTTAAAAAGTACAGCCAAGTTGATTTTTATTGCTATATCCTCTAGGGCTGTTGTATTCCTTTGTCCCTCCTGCATATATCTAAATTCTTCTGCCTTTGTTTGATGCGGCGTGGTTTACCTTCCAAAGCATGTTTGATTGTGACCTATCCTCCATTGAGATCAAATGAATGTTTCCATCGATTTGGTTGTACTTTGCCGGTTTGTTTGCGATTCACGAATGAGAGCGCCACATGACACTTCTGGTGAGCGAGTGATATTCAGCGAAAACCTGATATATGAATGCAAACAAACAACCCTTGGCGCGCAGCATGAGCGCGGTGGTCTCGTCGCACGCCGCGTCCACTCTTTGCTTTTGTATACTCGGAGCTACCCACGTCGACGCCCACCTGTGCATGCTTTCAGTGGCGAGAACAGACGTGCGATGTCTTTGATAGTTCGCGGTCGCACCGCCATCCATAGTGACAAATCAAGAAGATCAATGTTATCAAGTTTCGCTGAAGATCTCTCACCACCACGTCCCGCTCCCGAATCCCGCTCCCGACGGACTTCCCCCGCCGCTCCTTAATTTCATTCTTCGGGGACAATTCACACGCTTACGGTTCCATTTCACGCTCTTACGCTACTTACATAATCCTCGCCATGAGTTGGAGCAAGTTGTGGCGAGTGGGACTTTATGTCTAATTCTTCTTTTCCAGTTGGTCGATCAGGGCCCACAAGAGTGGCTTCTCCAGAAAGACAATTAAACATTGGGGTCGGAGGGGGTATGTCGCGAAACTGGGGATTTCTCACTATGGACGGTTCGATCGTGCAAAAGTTTCGCGGGCTCATCTTAAAGGCATCGCACCGCACTAGATTTTTAAGCTTACCTTAGTAAAGTTCGTAACACGATAGCGTTCAATAGCCTTCGAGAGATGACTAAGAAGCTTTGTTTCATCTCCGATAACTGTGAATTGGCATTTAAAGTACAAATTAGTAAAATTTGGATTTTTTCATATTGTTACAGGTTCATTAATAGATATATAGTAATTTTTACGATAAAAATAATATTAAGATGTGTACTTTAAGTGTTCAGAGATGAAATTCGATAATTCTGTTTATTGTAACGAGAGAGCATAATCCGTAGCTGTGTCGCTGTTATATGGGGTGGGTGTTCGGTAGCTGACAATCAAATCCTTGACTTCTCCATCTTGCACCCCACGGCGACACAGCCGAATCTAAGCCTAAGCCTGAAAATATATTTTTATACTTTCATCGTTACTTGAGAAATTGATCTAAAATTAAATCGAATACATTTACGGCTTAAGGCTTCGGTTTGTAAGAGCATAGTCGCGTAATATACATATATCCTTCGATTTGTCGTCGGCTCATTAAAAGTAGATTCATATTCTTTTGATGCTTTATTATTATCCTAAAAACAAATGGACCACAAATCGTTAGGATCCGAAGACCGTTGACGCGAGTGGTCTATTTGATTTTCAATTATGCTCGTCGCCGTGGACTTATGCCGTAGACGGATGGATTGCGTTGAATGAAAAACAAATAGGCCGCTCTGCTGCAACGATCCTCTATTTAATCCATATCTAATTATTATTGAAAGTAAGATAAATATTGCCTAGTGTACTACGTCTAGTATAACTTGGCAAAGCTGGCATAGCGATTATAAATTTTGTCTTGTAAATGCAGTTCGCTGGCCAACGGGAGCGTGTTGTGGCTCCATGAAAGCTTAAATCGTTAATTTGTTTTCTGCTCTTTGAACATTTGAGTTGCTGAAAAGGATTCATTTTAAAAAGGACTCGGGTTAATGATTCATGCTTATAACTCGACAAAGGAGCCATGCCCGCATACTGAAGCCCTCTTTTCCATATCAGTAATCGGTCTTGCGACGGAGCAAAACACTATTTTTTATATCACCTTTAAATGTAAAATCAAATGTTAGTTTTAGCGTTTAAAAAGTAGTGTTGGTCCAAGACGTCAGGCCAATAGCGACTAGGTTATACTAGACGTGGACGGGTGAGGTCGGGGTGGGGCGTTAACGTGTGCGGATGTTAGGGCTCGTCGTATGGCGGTGCGTCGCGGGCGTACAGCGCGGGCGGCGAGTACCCGGCCGCCGCGCAGCCCCCAGGTGTGCATCCGCTTCCGCACCACGCGCCCAAACACTTCAACGAGTTTAACAAGGAGTGGCCCGCCGCGTAGCGACCGCGCCTCGCACACGACACACCCACACACCCACACCACAATCACACATCGCTGAATTAAAGATACAGACTCACAGTTTACCAAGACAGCAGTCGAAGGAATGCAAATTGACTAGTTATTGCAAACGAGATTTTGAGAACCTAAAATACCATAAAATTAACGACGTAGGATCTAAGATGATACTGATACTAAATAAAAGCAAATCGGGTTTAACTACCTTGACTGAAATCAATGCAAAAAGTAAATTCATTTCGTGATGAAATAACTAAACTGCATTAACACAAACCCACACGCGTACATAAGGACCTACATTTTTATAATGTGAAATAATTTTGTTAGTACATTTAAATCGTTTGCATGAATAATTGGATAATGCTTAGTCAGTCGTATTTTTTAATTCGCTTTTTGCAACTCTTCGTTAAATGTTTCTCTCGTGAAGTCCCTAATGTAATTTGATACAATTTTCCTTTCCCCGAAGTCTCGCGGCCCCTCGACTAAGTCCGAAGAGCGCTGAAGTCGGCACGTACTCTCCTGTACGACGCATTTCTTTTTAACTCTAAAACATTTTGGATGTGGGCTCTAAACGTTTTTTTTTTCTTATATATTTTCAATTGTCAATTATTTTTCGGTGTAAAAAGTGATTTCTTTTAATAACATCAAAGTGGATCTTCGCGATCTCACGCGTAAGGTAGTGGTGATCATATAATGTAACGTATTTCTATATATGGCGGGCGTCGACGAGCGTGGGACGCAACTGTCCCCTCGCGGCGCACATTTGACAGACCACGTAAACGGCCAATATAGGTGAGACCTAAACAACTTAACTTAAGCTAAACACTTGTATAAATATTTCGTATATATATCGATATGTATGTTTAATATTAGAGGGTTTTGGTTATTTACCACGCACTAGACTTAGGAAAACGGTAGCAAAGTAATGAAATTATTATTATGTGTTAATATTTAACGAAACATAGGATGGTCTGAACGTGGTTCTTTTAATATTTTCCCGTTATTAAAAATAGGGGAACATTACTGTGTAAATGATAAAATATTCGTAATTTTAATTTTTTCCTATACATAATCTTACTATATTGATTTTTAGTTATCGCATATTAAGTTATTTTCTATGGAATTTATTAACTTTAATTACTTATTAAATTACCTGCCAAATTGTTAAAGCAAACGATAATGTTGTATTTGTTAAGTGACTGACGAAGCTCAAGCATTAGGATAGATAGGGCGCCGCTCCGCACCGCTCGTCTGGCCTTCTTGTACATATACTTACTTGTGTGTAAAGCATAATTTTAATCGAACCGATCGACACATAGTTTTAAAGATTTTAATTTGTACGATTGCCAAATATTTTTAAAACTATATAGACTCGAAAAGCTCACTACGAGCGCTAGTGTTATAGGCCGCCCGACGCCCGCGCGCGCTCCGCGCTTCCATCGAAGTGAGTTATAATTTAAAGTAACATTTTTAGATTAAATTTAATGTTAGTTCTTTACTGTACTATATCGCTCAATCATTTGACCGATCGACTGATTAAAATTTTAGTGATAAGCTAAGTAATTTAATCTCGGAGCGTGCGAGGCGAGCGCGCGCCGGCTCGCCGCGGCGACTTATTTGTTGTAATTATCTTAGAGTTACGACGTACTGATAGACTGCCCGCGTCCGCAGGCGGCGGGAGTTGTTCCTTTAATTTTAAATATATAAGCGCGGCGCTTAATAAGATTTGTTATTAAAGTTTTTTACTAGACGAATTGTTGACTACCTTGAAAGCATCATTTGATCGCGTATAGTATAGGGTTATATAAGATCGCACCATAAGTAAAGTATAATTTATATACGATGAGTAAGTGCAGTAAGCAAATCGATAAGAGTCGCGGCCCGGCGAAAGGTGCGGAGTGCCAAATTAACGCTAAACATATTGAGGAAAAACGCCTTTACATTGTGATGTTCATAGTTAATGCACATATTGGTACATTTCTTATAGCTCTATATTAATTACACACGACTGACATTAAGTAGGAAATGGAAACTCGTACCTTTTTAACCGATATAAACAAATAATTAATCGATAACTTAATGATTGATAACAGTGCCTAATTGCCCGCTAGGTTACGTGTAGACTACTATAACCGCTTCGTTCACTCTCGTCTGATCGTTCCTATTTTTAGGTTTAATTTGTTTCAAATTCATTCCTCAATCACGACTATTACTAAGTGTTTTAAGTTACGTAGGCTCGTTGAAGTCGCTTCTAATCGCATTTGGTATTCGTTCACATCGCTAACCCATGCGTCCATCATTTCGATAATACATAATATTACTGTAGGTATAATGTACAACCACCGACGATCGATCGAAAAGAATAAGAACGATGCCTTAAAACGTTAAGTAAATATATAGATAATTTATATTATATTATTTTCAGTGATATTCAATTTAGCACTAAGGCGTTAGTAACGGGATGTAAACCCGCACTCACAAACGTTCGGAACAATTAAGCAAGTTAGTTTGTAATTAATCAACGTGGCAATCATCTAATTAAACATAAAGAATATGATTTATTTATAATAAAGTACCTATAATATGTATTAGAAACTGTAGATTTACTCGACATTAACTTAGTGCAAATTATTGTGAAAAAAAAAACAATTGAAGACTATTTATATGGGTTTTTGATTATTATTATTATTATATAGGAGAAGAGCATTAAATATCGGAAGAATTTATTAATTAAAAATAGTTAGCAAAAATACAAATACGATAAGACTCGTTAGAGGCTCGTCTGTCAAATGTGCGCGAGGAGAGGGGGGCCCACGCTCGCCGAGCGACCCGCGCGACGCACTTGCATCCCTTGCATTTCAATATTACATTGAGTAATATCGACATAAGATATAATGTTTACTGTATCTTAATATTTATAAAGTAATATCTTAATCATGGCTTAATTGTAGTGATGTTTTGTAGTTAACCTTTCGACTCTTGTTTGTATTACTTTATAATATAGTGTACGCGGTTTTTATATGTGTATGTTTATTCAGTAGTATAACATGTTTGTGTAAAAGTGTATTTTGGTATCGGATAGCTAGCGCACGCGTCGCCGGCGCAAACATCAATAAACTCTACGATCGTAATTGACTAATTATATTATACGACCTCCCTTAGATGTAACGTTAGATTAGCGGAAACTCTTTAAGTTCACTTAGACGCATTTAATGAAATGTATCGGCGAACAGCGGCCGATTCCACTATAGTTGGTTCTAAACTTATTTTTAAAAACCAATGCAGGTATTATTATTAATATGAACTCCTCGTATTTATATTAGATAATATAATGTAATGTAATTATTGAACACATTTTAATCGTAAAATAAAATGCACGGGCTTTACAAGTAATTATAACGTTAATGATATAAAACCTAGGGCAAGATGTTATTTATTTCTGTTTTATTTAAAATTTTGATGTTATTTTTTATATTTTTTCTTTATAGTGAAATAAAGTACATATTTTGAGCTATTTAGATTACAAATGATTAGGTGAACTATCGACTGATGTACAATATTAACGTAATGTTTACTTACGGCAGTATATAAGTTTTACTTGACGCGATCCGCTACGGGCGCTGTATTTATACTGACTTGTATTAATTTCGTATAAAGTGTAATTAATTGGAAGCGGCTACCGCGACCGAGCCATTTCGCTAAGCATGTTACGGTTGTAAGACTATTATCTAGATTTGTTATAACTTGGCTAATCTTGTGATGTAAACCTTAGCCCTACGGAAGTGCGACCGCGGAACGAGCGCGCCCGCGCCTCGCGGATGCCTTCGCTCCGCCTCACCTTATATTATAAAAAGGAAAATTATGATAGACTTACGCGTGCGTCCTGTTATTATTTCTACAACTTTGCCTAATAATAATTAGTTAATTACGGTTTACAATTAACTATTACCGGAGCACTAAAATTTAAGACAAAAGCTTTGTATGAGATTTAAGTGTCCGATGTAACGATTGAAGTGCTATCGCGGAAGATTACACTTAAGGTTTTTCGAAGTAGAAGATATGCATTAATCATATTAGGTATTTTGGGTATATATTAGAGTTAGTTTTAACTGGTAACATTTAAGTATGTAGTTGTAATGTAATGGAAAAATATTAAACGGTTTTGTCGTAGTTTACTATTATTAAGCTTCTTCTACTTTAATGGTTTAAACTAAGTAATTACTGGTTGATAAATTTAAATATAACATTACCACTGCAAATATTTGAGATATCTTATGATGAAATATATATCTACTCTAAGGACATTATAAAACGTAGATAATTAAAAGAAATCAAAAATTTCAAAATAACTGGCATTTTTAATGTTCGAGTCCCCCTAACCTTTTGACATAAGTTATCATAATTTTAATTTTTATAGTAATAATAGTCTTACTAAAACATCTTAAATCGAGCAATGGAACGTGACACGGTCGTTTCAATTAATTACGACGCTGACACTCATAATCGGCATGCACTTATTCAATGCACTAACAATCATACACTTACGCACTTACGTGGTGAAGTATCTCAGTTTTAATCTCCCATGTCAAAACGACCTTATAGTTTTCATGTACTAATGAAATGAAACCTTAAAACCGGTTATGTCGACATAACGCCCTATATAGTTGCATATAGTCATCAAAAATACCTTACTTAAATCAGAAATAATCTAGCAGAGGGTGATGGTGTAGGCAGCACAGCGGGCAGTCCAAAGTTTGTACCACAGATGAGCGATGCGATTGGACCAGCCCCACAGGTTAAAAATACTTCTTAATTGCGGAATACCTTGCCAAAAGTAATTTGAAATACAACAATGTGGGGATGTGTTTTTGCATTTAATTATTTGTGGTTCCAGTTTAATGTTTTAAAGTTAAGTTGATCGAGTTATTAAAATGCAGGTCCCTATGGTGTACTGCGGTGGCATGGTGTCGCCGCAACCCTCGTTTTGTAACGTATCGGACATATCCGCGTCTGCTTCAGGTTTATTTTTATCCTTGAATGATAACTTAGTCCTCATATTTCCATACGAGTGTATTAACCGAGCGTAGAGTACAATTGTTACACACATTAACATTAATCGTTAGATATGGTTTGTATTGTTTTGCCCTTCATAAAATAACACGATGCTGTGTTTATTAGCGAAACCGTGTAATTCATCACTGACTGGACCGATTTGTAATGAGATCGAGTTGGAATTATTCTGATTTGCTAGCAGTTATTATTGAAATGTAGATCAATGTACGGTAGGATAATAGTCAAGGTAACTCGACAGGAGAGGTGCGTGGTGCGGTGAGTTTTTCTTTTACCTATTTCAAATAATTAAGTAGTGTCGCACAGCTTTATATCGTTGCTTTTAGATATTTGTGTGTCTGTTAGATCCTAATTCGAGCTTCTGTGCTAGGTGATGATTATGAATACACCGGCGGGTCAGGGGATGGCTATCAGAAACCATCCAAACGAAGCTATCACGGATCTTCGGGCGCCGCTTCCGCTTCATCTTACCACCCCTATAGGCGTTAACGAGTGAAGCATTTTTTCGATATCTGCTAAACGGCTGGCCTCCGGTTCTGATATGATTACGGCCCACAGTCTTTTGAGCTATACGCGCGACGACTTGACTTGACGCCACAGAACCGCCCAGAGGTAGATATTTGTAACGGACTTGTAAAATAATATTTTTCTATGGGCAATCATTGAGTTTTTAAATACTTTTTACGGAATCACACTTCGATAGAATGATAATTCGAAAAGTTATTTTTGACGCTTTTACGATAAATTGTATTAGTTTTTTTAGTTAACTCTTATTAAGGTTGAAAGTGTGATTCCGTGTTATTTGTTAAGACGTTAGAATAGCTTTCTTATTCGTGTACTATTTGTACCTCGATATACTACATAGGACCTGCTGTGTTTCCAAATCAGCAGTTGTGACGTACCTCTTCGTTATAAAGATTTTCTATAAGATTACGAGCCAATTAATAAATATCTAAAGTTTTTAACTGCAAAATATTTCGCCGTTGTTATACATGTTCTTGTTAAGTCATTATTAAATATGGTATGTAAAATTATTATAAAAATGTCCATGCAGCATTGCGTCCTATCTGGATCAGATAATACTAAATTAGCTGTTAACTACCGACTATCTACTGTTTTAGTCTGATATGAAATGGACAGAAAACGGGTCTTCAATCTCAGTAGGCATTTTAATTGTACTGCTCTATGAAGACCTTTACTATTTCTAAAACTTTTTTAACGTTTCTGACTCTGTAATTTGTTTACTGAAAATAAAATTACCTTTAACTTTAAGTTTTATTTAAATTTACAAATCTTAAAGACTGACATCATTCCTTCGATGAGAAAAATTTACCTACAGGTTTTTTACATATTAGATATATTTATTTTTGAGATAATTTAAATCACAATATTTTATATATAGAATCAGATAATTATGTGTACTTATGGTAAATACAATTCAGGTAAGAACTACTTTTAGAAAGATACAATCAATGTAATAAAATATTTTAATATTAATATCTATAGTAATTAAAACTGTACATATTTTATAAAATAAACTTCAAATCGACTAATTAAGGCTTATAGATAATCTATTTTACTATATTTAGGCCCTAAAATTAAGCGGTTTCTTCAATAACGCAAGTTCTAATTGGACAGTATTCATTATATGTATGTATTTTGATTATAATAATTATACTTTAGCCGATATTTCATTTAAAATACATTAAATTTTACTTTTTAAGTGGCGTTTCTTAGCTTTATCAACGAACTTGTCCGTAATTTAGTTTGTATGAAATTTTCTTTGTAGCTTCTACTTAATAAATTGTGTAATTCATAAATTCGCGAATTATTTTCTTAATTAAGAACAGTTTTATTTAAAATCGTAAATAATATCAGTTGGATACATACATGGACAGATGAAATACTATATCTTAGAAAGTAGAAGACTATTGCTTTAGATAATTTCAAAAGTGTGCTTATACCTACTTATGAGAAATTACTATATTCCTAGCCTTGGATAGGTATTTCAATAACCTTATCAGGAAGACAAAAATCGCAGGTCAGTAAGACAGAATTCTCGTTACGGCGAAAATCAAAGGTATAATATAATTATCGATTAAAATCTCTTATCAAACCGACTATTAAGCGACAAAACTATAGTTGACTTCTATATTACAATATTCAAGTTGATTCAGAATGTCTCCTCGCAACACAGTTAGTGCAGTCGCAGGGTCCTGGAGGGCTCTCGTAGGATAAATGTGCTTGAGCAGCTCGGTAGCAGAGTTCTCTGTAGCGGGCGCAGCCTGGATAGGAAAAAATAACAAGAGTTGCATGCCTGGATTTGCGGCCCTTGTAATTGAGAATTTCAAATCCTGCCACAAAATACAATAATAAATAATTAAGTGAATGAATGTGGAGAGTCTCTCACAGTGTGCCACTCAGCGTTTTTTGTAGCTGGAATTGTAGCTCAACGCACTTGTTCAGTGATGCCCTACGCATGACATTTGAAGTACAATAGTACATAATATATACCGACACAACACAGAATTTTACAAATTATAAATAAGAACAATTACATGAAATTAAAAAATTTAACAAAAAAAAACAAAATACATATCTTTTTTATCGGTTTACGAGAAAAATAATAGAATTGTTTATGGGTGCATTTTTGAATCATGTTGAAAGTTTAATCATAGGATGAAATCGGTTAATCAATACTTGAACACTGAAATTATACATGTGTTTGGTTATTAGTTGCTGGTACATTCGAAAAGTACTCGCCTGTAGGTGGCAGCGCCAGCCTTGTGTCGGCGGCGAAACCACGCTGTGCGAGCCGATCCAGCAGAGTTGAAGCCGACCATCACCTTTCGTTATCGCCCTCCATTGCTATAATTATAATAATTCAATGAATCACCACTGACGGCATCCTGGCATCAATAGCTATAATATAGAATCTGCCACCTTATCATAGTAAACTTACGTTCCGGCCCGGGAGAGCGACCACCTGACTTCTCTTCGACTCTTGGACTGGATGATCCGTCAGAATGTTCCTACATTTTAATTAAATGTAAATGTACATGTAATTGTAATATTTTTCACAGCTATTTTGATTATCTATTCAAAAGCTTGAAATTTAACAATACTTGTTTTTATTGTGTAAAACACAACTAACAGTAACATTACTGATATAAATAAAAATCAAGAATGAAATAATCGTAGAAAAGAAAAAGATAAGTGGAAGTAATCTATATTTTTCTATAAATACCTAGTAACGCACCATGTAAAATTAAATAAATCTTATATCTATAATATAGTAGTTCTCTGTTTATAATTTCAAGTAGATCAAGTTCCTATCTCTATACTGTGGCAAGCAAAGGCACAACGAAACAATAAAATTACTTAGAAACTATTTAGGACCATTTCCTGATTAGTTTCCAAACAAGTATTACTCTCACCGTAGTGTCTGTCACCTCTACTTGGGTAGTTTGAGCAGAAAAATAAGTTTCGGCAACGAGGTTATATGAGGTAAAAAGGATTTTGAAAATCAAAACATTTTTTATTTCACTTTTTTCCAAAAGTATTAAAATAAAAACTAGGCATGTTTGATACCTGTTTCCCTCGTCTTTACGTTGATCAATAAATACATATAGAAGTCGTGTCGTGTATTTGAATTGCCAACTACAGTAAGCCCGTAATACAATTATAACAAATTTCTGAAACTCTGTTATCTGACCTCTCAGATGCCGAGAGCTATCGCTTTGAAAATTTGTTTTCAGACGGATATCAGGCCTTCGACAGTGAAGTGGGTTAATTGTCCTTCATTGTACTTTAGGCACACGGGAAATAACGAAGCTTCATATACCTACTAGTACCTACCTTACCAGACCTAAGTATGTCAATTTTAAGAACATAGACATATCTTCGTTATTTATATATCTAATCTCTTCTAATTCATTGTGATCATTAGTAATATTAAAATAAAGTATTTATGAACAAGTTAGAACGCAAGTGATATACTTTTTAACCATTCACCATTAATTAAATTTATTACATCATAATAATGGATGTCCTGAAGTCCCTAGATTTTTATTTATACATCACTGAAGCAACACGATTGTTTAACATAAAAAATGATAAAAATATTTTTCACAAAAATTTAATCTTATTAGAATCTAAAGGCAGCTGTTAAATAAACACGCCGACCTAAAGCTACCTACCTGATGATGGTCAAGATTTGCCGTGGCTGTTAAAAGGTCCAGTATAGCTGAGAAGGATCCTCGAGCAGCTCGTCGGAAGCCCTCAGGAGGTGAGTCGGCAGCACCGCCCGCCACGCTTAAAGGTGACTGCGACCACTAAAACAAGTTCCACCATTTCACTAATATGATTATTTAACGAATACACATTAAAAAGGTTTGTATCATGTCATTATTCGGTAAGTTGCTATAATCACTACTTATATTTAGTGCTCTGAACACCTTTAACACACGTTTCGTTTATTTTTTAAAATTAAAAGTTCGGATTATTCTTAAGAATAATAAATAGGTAGTACTATACTAATCACAAATGTATTATTATAGTTTATATTAAAAACGTATCAAATATAGATACTAATATTTCAGTGATAAAAGAGCGTCGAATACCTACTTTAACCACTTTGCGTTCTTGGAAAAATAGGTTTAACGTAAAACCGAAGTTCAACTAAGTACTGAAGCAAAGTATCTTTAAAGTTTTCTCGCTAATGTATAAAGTTGTAATGAATTTTTCAATTGCCTTTGGGCTGTTGGCAATACAAACTTCGAAGTTAGTAAATATTGGTTGGTCACCTCAATAATACTGGGTAGTTAGGTATGTATCTTATATAGTAGGTACGTTTATGTACCGTTTGTGTAAAATAAATTTTACTAAAAGGACCTTTTAAATATAGGTACCTGCGCTAGATTTAGTTCGACAAACGATAAACATGCTTGGAGTTTGGGGTTTTCTTTAAATTAATAGTTTTTAATGTTAATAATTAAATTTCGATATTGTTAAAACTATAAAAAAAACTGACACTTTCGTACTATTATTCACACTGTTATTTAGTTTTCCTTTTTATATCGTTGTATAATACTAGTAATAATCATGTCTCTTTCTTTAACGGAATCATCAAATAAATAAAACATACTACCTCCCTACTCCATGTTTGTAAGGGATAACATGCTTAAACGGTTTTAGCCTTATTAAATTACATACCAAAGGTAGACTTAGATTCGATAAATAAGTTAAGTACTCATTTTGGCGTCAATATAAACTGGATGCTGGATAGATCTTGAATCAAGTTTTCAGTTTAAATAAAATAGTCTTATTAAGCAGTGTTGGAGGTGAGAAAGTTTTGCAGGAAAGGATTTACGATAAAATCGTCTATTTGTCATCAGGTTTGTCGAACGAACGACAGGTCCGTGATTGGCGCTAGCTCTAATCGTTAGTCCCCACTATGTATACTTAATAGGTAACCTTAATTTTACTTAATCACCCAAATATTTCTTTGCACGTAACCTGTTAGGGAGTGCTGGAGCTCCTTCTTCCATCAGACATTGTTTATTCAACATCGATATTTCGGAACAAACGTACATGAATAAAATAATGAGGTAGGTACAAAGATCTGGCGAGATAACTGCGTCGTGAATTATTGAAACGTTGGCGCCACGATAACTTTCTACAAAATATGACTCTTTTTAGCAAGAGGAAGTATAAGAAACATATCAAGAAGACTGTTATTATGATGCACACAAAGTCAAAGACGTTGAGGAGGAGAATACTGGTTATTTTAATGTTAATATCAGTTAAAGCCTATAGAATAAAATATATAAAAGCTAAGTTTACAAAGTTTACGGCCCAAAAATAGTATGTAAAAATAACGTCTTGTTTCAGTTTGAGTTTTTTGTAATAATTATATAATATTTGTCTAATTATTTGCATAGTATATGCACAATAAATTGAATGTACACACATATCTATTAGACTTAAAGTAGAACATGGAGAACAGTATATTTGAATATTTAAAAACATCGAATATTCCAGAATGGATTACGCTCCCGTTCAGTTCGAAAAGCTTGGATACAAAGCACATTGATGCATTTTGAATGGATTAGAGATTATGTGTATTTTGTGACTAGAATACTATGCCATCTAAAATACTCGAGCCGTATAACTGTCTTCCTTATTTTCCTTTCGATTCACATTTTTATCTTCGGTAAGTAATCCGGACTGAATTTTTGTATTCCTTACACCAGTCCTAAAACCTAATTATCATGTTCTATGTAGGTACCTATCTATTTGTTGTTTAGAAATAAATAAAAACTTTAAGGTTAAATTGTAAGGTTTCCTTTTTATTACTTATTTTAATTGTAAATTATGTACTTTGTGATAATAAACGGATTATTTATTTATGATAGGCTCAACGCAAACTATCTGCTTATATTAGACATACAGATTAATCTTCTATATTATTGTAGTAGGTATTTTAACCTGCTAATATTACAAATTACTTCCAAAATATACAAATATGTAAGTACTTCTTTGCGTAATATTATTCAATTTAATATTAAGATATTATCTGCAAGTAATTTTTAGAATAGCCTATATCGCTCTTCTATGTTCTATAGATAGTAAATCTACTTTATTTAAGTAGTATCGTCTATTTTATTTATCCGTTAAAGATAATATCTACCAATTGTTAAAATTGATTAGGCAAATAATTTAATAATGTTTTTAAAAAGGCTTCAATCTACACGCAAGTGTTGGTTCTGCTGATAAACGATAACATATTACTCATTATAATGAAATCTCTCAACCTTTATTCTAAAATAGTCTTTAAGCCATTGGACTAATGTTTACATTTGCGTTATACATTTACACATGGGCATCACAAACTATTGTCCTTTTTGTCCACACCGCTTGAGTGGGGATATAGCTCAGTGGTAGAGCATTCGACTGCAGATCGAGAGGTCCCCGGTTCAAACCCGGGTGTCCCCTAGAAACTCTTTTTGATTTTCATAGACCTTTATTAAGTAACTATTTAGCTAATTGAATCTGGTTTCGAAAGACTGGAATAGTTTTTTTTTTTCATATTTTTATAGCTTTACTTTCCTTACAATTTCTTCATAAAACTAGCGGACCACCCTCTGTTTGCACGACTTCGCATTTTCTTATCGTGCGCGTGCGTTGTTAATAAAAATATAGTTGATGTTGCTTATAAACAACAATTACTCGATTTGTTATAAACAAGTGTAAGTAGGTACCTAATAGTAGGCTTCGACACGACATCACAAATGAACAAGTCTCCTCTCTTACTAAAATAAAAAATACATATTCCTATAATTTCAATTTTTTAAATACTACTGACCTGATCCGGAAGAGCTGGGTCAGCACCGTGTGCTAGCAGCAATTCTACTATTTCTGTTGCATCCGCTGCACATGCTGCATGTAATGCTGATGACCCTACCTGAATGAGATATGTAAAATTGCGCAGACTTTTTCAACAGGACACTTAAGTATTCATTACTTAGGTAATAGTAGGAAATCTTCTAAGTTCTTGTGGACTTCTAAAAACTAAATAAATAAATCCGTTCAGGTATTCAAAGATAAGACAAAACAGAATCAGTATCTAGTTTATGCGTCTCTTCTGTAAACTTATGTTATATAAAAAAAATATGATAATAAATACGATTTGATTGTATCATAAAACTAACGTTATTTTGCAAATGCACATCAGCTCCATGTGCCAGGAGATGTTCCACTATACCTCGGCAACCTTGAGCGCAGGCCATTTGAAGAGCAGTTACACCGTTCTGCAAAAAGCAACTGCTAAATTCAAGATACCTCTAGAACAAATGTGAAACGGCCACTACTAGAACTTGATCATCTAAGTTAAGGAAACCTTTGAGAATATGTTCAAATTTTAACTTTTTAACTTGTGGTTTATTTTTGTAACCAACGAATAAATGAATAAAAAATACTAGGATAGCATAGGCGTGAAGAGGTCACTCACATTATCAACCGAATCAACATTGCATTTGTTCTTCAGCAGAATTAGCACCAGTTCAGTATGTCGATGTACAGCGGCTATATGCAGTGGAGTTCTGCCTGAGTTGTCACGAGCCTCCCGAGAAGCCCCTTTCGCTAACAGGAGAGCAGCAGTGTCGCAGTGGCCTGCTTCGCTTGCCACGTGAAGAGCTGTTCTACCTGCCTACAATATTAGAACCTTTTAGATCAATTTGCCGTACAATATATTGATGGGGATTAAGTTGTTAGAATTGTTTTTATGGTAGTAATTAAAATAATATACTTAGATAATCGTTCGTAAGATGTACGTGCAATCACATACTGTAGCAAAAGTAATCCTGAAATTAAATAAAACTATTTTAAAAGAGTTAAACAGAGTATCTTAATAATAAATCTAACTAAAACCTAAACATGGCTTATAAAATATTCGATTATTTTTAATTAAAATTTGTATACACTGCTATGGTCAAAATTAGTTTGAATTGTATTGTTTAACAAGTTACTATGAGTGACTTAATTACTTACTGTTTAATCAGGGGTTTATGATTTTTTATATATTTTAGATTATTTTAGTCTACTTTCGATTTGTGGGTGTGATTCTTTCTAAATGTAAGTAAAAAATATTTTACACAGTTCTAACATAAACTTAAGATATTTAACAACAAACATACATTTTCATCAATCAACGTTAATACATCATTGAGGACCCGTCAAGTAAAAATAAGCCATGTAAGTCTTCGTTTGCGACTAGCAGTATTGTATATCGGCAGTTGTTTACTTCAAATACATGTGTGATCTATATTTCTATACTAATAGATAAAGTTGAAGAGTTTTTTGTTTGTTTGAAAGCGCTAATCTTAGGAAATTCTGGTTCGAATTGAAAAAAATATATGTTTGTTAGAGCATTTATCGAGGAAGGCTTTACAAAACATTACGCTCTTATTAAAAGAAGTGAAGAAACAGTAAGTAATATGTAAGATAGAAAAAGATCACAAACCGTCCAATATACCCCAAAAATATGCATAAAGACAGTATACAATTATGACCAACACGGTTCAAATGTTATTATTTAACTTCTACCCCCTACGACGGTGGATAACGATTTTATTATTCTTTTAATAGGTAAGACGATTTAAATAGACAAGTCATTAAACGATTTGAGATTTGCGAGTAATAACAGCTATATCATATTATTAAATTTAAATACCTGTCGGAGTCAAAAAACACTTTAAGGTTTAAAACGCGTATATTAGTTAAACTTATCATTCATATCATTCACAATCTGTAAAGTCTCCCCGTGACCACGGCTGCTGCAAAGCACCCGAAACGTCGGCCCAAAGTTATTATTTTCAAAAAGTTTAACTAAATATTTAAACCGTTAAAGATCTTGTTTTTCTAAATATGTCTCGCGTAATTTAATTCAAAAGTCTGTAGAATATTTGTAGCCCCACTACTTGTTTGCTAAAGCATATGTTAATTCCAGCAGCATATTTATAGAAAAAAAATCTTATGCTCAGTAATATCGATTAGTCGCAGTCCCAACTAAAATAGGACTCGTTAATTGACATCGTGAGTGCGGATTTTAGATATCCAGGCTACCTGGATATCTAAAATTAAATCATTTCCATAATAAGTGTTCATGAATATTGATGACGTTTAAATGTTTCGAAATGACATTAGCCGGACGATTGAATGAAATGAGTTCTGAACTTCATGACTTGCCGAGTATTACACTAAAGGTATCCTGTGTCCTTTCCTGAATTAGATTTTTTTCCTTAAAATGAATTTTTTTTGCACAGATGTTATAGTATAAGGAAACTCTCAATTATTTAAATAAAACCTTTTTAACAGTATAAACGCGAAATTTTAAACTTTACATATTTAGTTAATGTTAAACATATTTACAAATTATTTTAAGGTATTTTAAAGTAAGTAGATATAAATCTATTGTGATCACTTAAAACATTTTATTTTAATTAAGCTTTGAATACCTCATTAAAATATCTCAAATGTTTGTATAAGTATATAACCAAACAACTTTGAATAATTAGCAATATTTGATATACTCGAACAAGTATTAACAGACAATTAGGAGCGGAACGCAATATATATATAATAATATCGATGATATTATCTAATAGCGAAGCAGCAATAATTCTATCAAACGCCAAGGTAGGGAGGAATTCAATTTATCATCTAAATTGTGACTAAGAATGAGGTAGTAAAGATATGTAATAAGATTACGTTCAAGGGAAAAACAATAAAAGTACTGATATTTTTCGCAATTTTTCCATCTCTAACCTTTGTAACGATTGAAGGTTTCGGCTTATCTTTCTTATTTTCGAGGTTATTAAATTCTTATAACATTGGCTATTACGTTTTGAGGAAATCTTTAATATCAATTTCTTCTAGTAACGAACCCTTGTTTTGCAAGGGTTGTAGGGTCGTATGATAATAAAATGTGCCAAAATGTAATGTGTATTATTAAAGATACACATTACATTTTGGCGTTCTTGTAGTTATTGCGGGTAGTTTTAATTTAAAAAAAAATCCGCGCAACACAGATTTAAAATGCGATGGAAGACAATAACATCATGATGTAACAGCTTAAAAGAATACAGTTTCCCCACACTTTCAGCTCGAGTTTTCTTCATGATTTAAAAATAAATAAGGCATATTTTATACTATAAAATTCTTGAGTAACTTTTTGCTATTTTTAAATAAGAGGAGGAGAGACAAGCACGGCGTTCACTTGAGGCTGGGTGAAACATCCTAGCTATATAACTTCTAAGAAACCGATGTGCCGTTTAACTTGACGCTTTTGCATATTAGGACCGTGGATTTCGTGACTCGGACGGATTTCCGATATTTGTACAATTTAATATCTACCTTATTAACGGCATCTATGTATGCCCCCCTTATCGAGCAGCAATTCAGCCACGCCAGTGTGGCCAGATCGTGTCGCCAAAGCGAGTGGTGCGTCCCCCGCCATATCAGCAGTTTGCACTTTGGAGCCAATTGATATTGCATATGTGGCAACATCGTAGGAACCTCTTGCGCACGCGCATTGAAGTAGGTCATTCTGTTTCTGTTTGAGAACATGATATTAGTACTCTTTACTATATCTAGGTATAGTAGGTACATCACTGCAGTGGCCGGCAAGAGAGGCATTGGCGGAGGCCGAGACATACATACGTAAGTCCATCGTGAAGATAAAACCAAGTAGTAAAATTCAGAACGTCTAAACCAATGACGAGTTGACAAAAAATAATAATGACAATAATTGTTTACGCACCGTAGTTGTACTAAAGCTTTCCTAAAATAATTCCATAAAACGTTTGATAAGAGGTAATGATTGCCACATTGCGAAGAAGCTTGTCAAAATTAATTATAAAATTCCCATGTTTCAGAAAAAGATATTACTTATACTGCTTGTACTTTATTCAAGACATTTAATGTTATTGATTCACTAACATTGACTTATTTTGCCTAAGAATTCACTTTACTAAATCATTCTAAAATTCAAACCTTATTTGTAGCGGCCAGACAGGCACCAGCTTTAACCAGCATTTGCACCGCATGTAGGTGACCATGCCACGCTGCCATTAAGAGTGGTCGCATTCCAAACTGTGGACATTACAAATTCATCAAATATATACAGTGTATTCAGTTGGTTGTTTACTCTTTAGGATTATTTCAGTTACTGTTCACTAGTTTTTTCTTTATTTAAAACACGTTTATTGCAGGATCTTGCCTTTGATACAAAATCGTAACACTAATATTATAATTTTAGAAGAGTGGAAGATGGATTTTAATATTCCTTTGCGATGCAAATTCTTCTAAAATAAGGTATGTATAAAAATTGCGTATAACTTTGCAAAAATTGCAATTTTACCTTTCATGTGAAGTATACATATAAACGATTAAAAAAACACATAAGCCCAATAATTCATTTAATCAAAGTGAATTTTATTATTTTTACCTTATCAACCGCTTCAATATCGCATTTTGCGTCGATCAATAATTTAATTATCTCCACATTACCCCTGCTTGCCGCCCAGTGTATTGGGGCCCGCCCGTACTGAAATAAATTCTCAATTTAATTAAGTACAATATTAATTAAACCCGTTCACAATATTCTGTCTTAGAGATGGAAATGTATCACCGAAAATTTTCCATTTGAAACTGCTTTCAGAAAGAATCTATGAATGTGCTCAACTACGTAATGACTTTTTTTATCACGAATATACTTATCAAAATCCAATTAAAAATGATTGCAGGTCAATATAGTATTAGGTGTGTACAGTTTGAGAATGTGATGTTAATTTAATAGCACTTGTTCACTAACATCTAAAGAAGATGTGCTGTCAACCTTTTTTTTTCGTCTAAGGATATTCAGAAATGCACAGACTGAAACCGAATTGCGATTAAAATTCACAGCTTTCTTCTGTGGAAGGTTCTTTATGACCCGAACTGAATATCAATGTTCTTACCATCCGAAATTTTAAATCAGTATTTCCACACGATGATCGATTCTTATTTTAAAAAATTGGTTAGAAGCAAGTTGGACTCGGTGGGGACCGAACCCACCGCCCATTGATTATTCACCACCATTATATATAAACTAAGCTAAGCTTAATGTTGATCTGAATCATTATAACCTTATTTTTATAACATTTCTATTATAATCAATTCTATAAATGTCAGCTATCAGTCTACAAATACATGGTATCACTATACAATATGAATCTCAAGTCGTTGCTTGGAATATACGCATGGTTGGACAACTCTTAAGAAATATTTGAACTTTGAATACGTTTTTAAAATTTGTTCTTTATTTCTTTCATATAGCTTGAAACTGCACTGTCTGTAATTTACGCGACTATTACACATTAAAAAAAATATACTTTTACCGCGAAATGTATTATTGAAGCTTTACAAATTATGTTAACGAATACATTTCGCATTTTAAACCGTTAAAAGTGTCTTATTTGATCGCCTTTAATTCGTTATTCTACGACGGAGTATAACGAATATATAATAAAGCAATCTTTCGACATTTTTATACTTTTTAAAGGAAATAATCTTTTTAGATAATCGATTCATGAATATTTTGAAGTAATATGACATCGTCGAGTCAAACTGTGTTAAAAATTCAGTGCTACAAGTAAGTACCTGCTAATACATTTTGAATGAAAGGTGGCCGGAGGTTCTGGAGACTGGGTCACAAGATTAAAAACGCGATCGGTTTATTATTTATATAGTCGCTTTTATAAGTATGTAATTAAAAAGGGCTTGGTGAAGTTTAAATATTTAAAAAATATTTTTTTCGTCGAAATATATTGCTTATTTTTAATTAATTATAACTGAGGCCCGATTACTGCTTTGTGGCAGGCGTGATTAAGGTTTAATTAATATATTTTGCCTAATCACCAAAATAAAAATATTATTTTTTAGTATCTTCTGCGCAGTCGCTCTAAAACCAGAACTCGAGAAAAGAGATTCATTAATAAATTCCTTTTTTAAATTACGTTATTTCGACAGTTGACATCTGTCGGGCGTTCTAGTGCTTCGCGGACTGCGGATAATTCGTTCTTGATCACAGCCTCGTGGAGAAGCAAATCGTTCTGCTGAATCCTCGATCGGCCCTCGCACATCTGCAAAGAGATTCTTTGTTCTAACTCAAGAAATAATAGGTATCTTATAATTATATCCCAACAATGGACAGATATAATTTCTCACTATTATGAACTAGCTGTGTCAGCGACTTCGTCCGCATAGTTATTTTGGGCATCCAAATTTGTTTCTGCAAACCTCCTTATCTTCATATATTAAGGCTGTCCCACGACGGCCTACGACGTCGCGTCGGTCGCGTGCCTTCGTTCTTGCAAGTTAATCTTTAAAAGATCCGTATTTTTCGACCTTTTAAAGAGGAATCATTGCTTTATACATATTTTTTGGGTATCTTGAACCGTTTTCGCTGCGTACAGATCGGAAACCCATACGCGTGAATAATCCTTCCGTTTTTTTCACATGTGCCGCTGGCTCTTGGCTTCTATTAGTCACATGGTAAATAACAAATGATTTATAGCCCTAAGCCTTCCTCGATAAATGCTCTATCCAACACAAAAATATTTTCCAACGAACAAACTCTTCAGCTTTATGATGGAAGGATCAAAAGAGTTGTCATTTTAAGGACAAAAAAAAAATTGTGTTTTGTTATAGCCCTCCGAATTGCTTTTGATAGAACTATAGAAGAAATGATAGAACACTATATAAAGTACTTTTGAGCTCATAATGTATGTAAGAGTTAATGACCCCAACACCCTATTCTCCCCTGCTGAAAGTGGGGCAAGGTTGATGTCAAGATCCTTCTCACACTGCCTCGGGTATCGTGCTGGGGACTTAACGCCTCTTAACTTTTTAATATCGACTTAGAAATTTCCGTAATAATTAAGTTTTCGTTATGCATAACATTATTTTCTTTAAGTTCTGTATCCATGTGTAGCACGGGGCAGACACAATAGTATGTCTGTTTCCTTGTTAACTAATAATAAGTGGGGCACAATTCTAATCAACTATTAATTAATAGATATATGCCCCAGCTTCAGTGAAACTGTTATTTATCCGGAATTGAACCCAGTATCTTAACTTTAGGGAATGTCGTAATAACGGAAATTTAACTGTTGAACATTGGAAGCAGACAGACTCTGTATAAATAGAAATCTTAAATTTAGTTTTTAAGAAACAAGATTAAAACCCACGCGCGAAGGAAATGTAGAGCTTTGATAAATGTCGTTGGCTATTTAGGATTTTATTTATTTATAATAAAATAGATTTATGTCAAATCGTAGATAGAGCTTAAAAGAGTCTCCAATTAAAAACAAGAAAAATATATACATATCTTTATTTTCAAATATCATTTTATCATCACTACAAGATTTATTATGTTTCACCGGTATCTGAACCCAGGGCCAACAGTTATACACATATTCTACAACATAATGCAAACATTTCACATTGAGATATTAAGCTGAGAATTAAAATAAAAATACGAGTTGATGTAGCTACAATGCATTGTCCGCAAAATGAAATGGGTTTTCACACAACGAAAACAAAATTATTATTACTGCAAAGCGAGTGGTTTACTTTATGCTGAATTCTGGTTAGAGTAAATTGTGGTAAACGGTCACATTAATGTATTTATTTGACTGGAGAGGGTCTGGGCAAGGCTAAATCCTCGTTAAGATGTATATTTACTTGTCATGTAGATTGTTATTATTGTTTGATGAATATTTAAAAAAAAATCATAGTTCCTTATTACTATAATTCTGTTCTGATAATGAATCGTGAACTAAATATGTAAGACGTATTTTAAAAACCTATTTACACAAAGTCTGCATTGCACAACAAAGATCTCATTTCAACAAACAGGTCGTTTTTGAACGGTTAAAAACCTATACGCAAATAACATTTCGCAATAACAGTATGCGAAAATCCAACGAAATTACGAAATAATTGAGTTGATGTTTGCAGATCTCAGTGTATTGCTAAGGGTGGCTGCCACCCTCATTTGCTGCCTTACTGTATTATTTATCGGAGCGAAACACTTTCGAATGCACGATGGTTAACAGTTCGTCGAGTCACAAACAATTGTAGTTGTTTTATTTTGAAGATGTTGGCTATGCAATATAAATTACGATTTTATTTGTACTTTAAAGCAAAATAATAGTAATATTTTAATGAAACTCATTAAATCTTTGAAACAACTATAACCGATTGAAACATTATTATTCTAGCGTGGTAGCATTTTCCTAAAACCCTTTTTTTGTGTTTCTGTGGTCGAGACATTGAATCTTACAATATAAAATAGATTTATTACATTTTCAAATTAAAAATTGTCTGTACACATTGTAAATCACTTTTACGTTTTTCATTTTTAAAGATTCAAGTTTTTAAATATTTACTCTACATGGATGCTTTACAGCAGCTTTGGGGACAGACAATACGAGTCGTAGGTAACATATTTATAATAGGGTCTAAACAATCAACATACCAGACAGGTCGATACATCAAAAGATCGATCGGACGAAAGATCGACGAGATTAAATATCGAATTACCCAAAATGATCTATAAGCTATATAGCTATTAGTTACTTAAGGTCCTGATCTTGAACCAAACAATACAATATGACATGAAATCCGGGTCCTTTAATCGGCTTTACAAGTAGGTGATTCGTTTTTTAATGCCATGCCGCTTGAAACCATTTTTAAAAAGTATGTATTTTTTTATAAGATTAAGTCCATAAATATCCATAAACTAATTCATGGACTTTTTCTCCATCATTTGTATAGGTTGCATTGAAATAGAACAAAACGCGTAGAAATAACAAATGGCTTATTTTTATATGTAGATGAGCTTTTATGGCTGTTATGTTTGCAAACAAAGAGGACAAAGGGATCACGTTTCACAGTGCTATGTACCAGGAGAGCACAATACAATGAGAGGTACATTAACGTATTTACCCTCGGGTTGGGTTATCGGCTAGGGTTGAAGCCTTGGCCTCCTTTTGACATTTATATTCGTGTTTACTCTGAAAACCGCGAAAGGATCGGCTTTGTAACTATGAAAACTAATACAGATAACTCACAGCGTTCCACTTGACTTGAGTTTATATAAATAAAATAGAAGACCAACAGACAGGACTTGAATCGGCATCCACAGCGTTCCGTGCTCTAACCATTTTTTTTTCAATCTATAATCGATTCTTCATTCATATAATGCCATCATGCGCAATAACATGTAAAAAAATATTAAAGTTTTCAATTCCTATATATGTATTTTGAAATAACTTTGGTCGTAGCACAGACGAGACTCAAACTCGTGAACTCGTGAATTTTTCATCTTCGTACCTGAGGCAAATTCGTTGAGAATACCGTTACGTTTTATTATCCTGCCCTATAGTTATTTTAATTTGCCATTTTATAAAGTTTATTGTCTATTTCGAGGAAGATCTTGATGAAGGCTATTCAATTTATTTTACAGGTAATATTTCTCTGAAACCAAGAGTGGTTTTAATTAATTTTTTCGAATGAAACTGGAGCTTATTTTTTTATACTAAACCAACTTTAGCATTATTCCAAACTGCCTCATCGATTAATTTAGAATAACAATGAATCTTGGTATTCTAAATTAATCTACTTTTAGTTTATGTGGCTAGGACATATCACCTTCCATCGAGTGAGCCCCATGCTTATCTGCCCTCCTCTTTCATAAAAAGTAAATCTAAAACGACTCCTGATAAAAGTAATAAAGGCATCATAAAATATGCGTATACGATGTGTAATGTAATGTGCAGTAAAACTGTAACAATAAAGTGTTTGGTTGATAGCATTATGTGATATTAAGAAAGCTGTTTTATAACTAAATTGAAAAATAAATATAGTCGGGCAAGTATCGTTCTCTGTGTAGCCAACATAATTTCTGTTAATCCCTAGCCATTAATTAAAAAGATAAAATGTATATTAAATTTTTTTTACTGATAAAAACGACCAAGCGCGAGACGTATTCTCGAAAGAGTTGTCATTTAAAATAGGTAGAGTACTTTTCTCTAATTTAGTGCCAACCTGTTACCGTTTATATATATCGAAGAGAAATAGACCAAAGGTTTACCAAAAATTTACATTATTGGTCCTTCAATATTTATTAAGTAAATTTTCACAAATATACTATTTGTGAAAAGTTTTACGCTCCAGCTATTGAGGTAATTGAGATACAGGCTCGTGATAGACAGACAGGAAACTCACAGTGCTATGATGCTTTTTACTGTTTCTATATGGAAACCTAAGAACAACAATATATTAATCCAAAGTTTTAGGTTTTTCTTGGTTTTAATGCACCCATTTATAAAGTAATATAATGATGAGATGATCAGATGTCTATCAACTGAACAAGTGATGCGAACCAATCTCCCGGGTAAACAGTCCAAATTGAGAAAAAAAAAACAAGTCTCGCGGGATGCTTTATTGAAATGTTGACATACGCGCCAAACCAATTCAGAATCAGGCAAAATATAAAGTAACATACGTTCAGCATATCATTGTCTTTCGGGCTGTTCGGCCGATGTGAGCGAGAAGAGGAAGCCTTACACAATTTATTAACATACGTTCAATTTATGCAAGGTTAAATAATGCAGTTATATCACGATGTAATTAATACCTATTTTAGCATATTTACTGATTAAAAATGAAATTCGAAAATACTACATTTCACGGGATATTTTTTAATATTGGCTTAGTATTTTCAGACAAAACTATTGAAAACAATCTGTAAACTATTTACAAACTAGTTGGTCTCATTGGGATTCGACCCATTATTTATCAAGCTTACGTTGCTTAACCAACAATTACATTTAGTGATATAAAAAACTCATGAGCCTTGACTAAACAAGTATCAAATACACTTTAACGAACTATGGAGCTTTCATGTGTCGCGATGCTTTTAAATAAACAATGTTACAAATCTATTTCAACGATGCTTGTAAAAAAACATTTTCAATTAAAAAAAGTTACTTACCTTACAATGTTTAAAGAACACTGGTGTTTATAAATGGAAGTTGTAGCAACTTTAATTCGTAGAGGCTAGGGCGGGCGGCGTAGCAATCGACCGCGCTACAGCGTAGACCGAGACACATTGAGTCGTAGCGACCTGTAGCTACGAAGAGAGGTTCTGCACACATGCGCTGATTATAATTTAATGTTCGGGAGAAAATGCTTTGACACACCTGATTTATGTTTGTTTCGTTTTTATGAAAAATGGGACTTCAATTTTAAAATGTTCTACATTCACCCGTGTAGACCTTTCTTTATAAAACATATGTTCCAAAATATAATTCTACAATATACAGATGATGTTTTAGTGAAATCCTATGTAAGTGTCCTATTATATTCTAGGGTTTAAGCAATCTCGGTTGTGTGTACTATGAAAACAAAATATAAAAGTACGAGTATGTTCATTGGTATTCAGATTACATATACAGATAGTACAGAAAAGTATAAGTTGATTATAAATGACTGTATAAATAGAACACTTTTTAAAATCGCCTATAATGAAAATCTTACTTAATCAAATACTGTCTATAGTTTACGCAACTAGTACACATTTAAATAAAACACTTTAACGCTTTAAAACGCGATATATTAGTTAAACTTATTTGAAAATGATTTTTAACGTCGGGCCGAAGTTAAAAATGATTTCCAAATAAGTTTAACTAATATATCGCGTTTTAAACCGTTAAAGTGTTTTATTTAAATCTTACTTAATCTTCAAAAATTACATTTTCTTTCATATCTTATTATTATAAATAACAATGTTGTGTACTTATCGCAACCCTAATGAGATTGTTGTTTATAAATATTTAATGGCTTGTTTGTACCGCTTCAGTATTGAACGAGCGACGTTTGAGCTTTCAAACTTTATAGTGTATAAATTGTTAGGCGACTTTACAATTGCTTCCTAACGAGCGTTTATTGTACATCCATTTCGAAATTGTCACAAACAACGCGAACGAGATTTCTTCTTTAATTCCAAGAATTGTAGAATACTTCGGGCCTCGTTAAAGGGTAAGTAGGCTACTATGGAGGGCACTTGTCAGAAGAAATCGAACTTCCGACCTCAAAGTGATTAGTTTTATCCTCGTACCGCGATACTAACTCTGTTTACCAGAATTGTTTTTACAGGATTCGAAATCAAAACGCATTGCTTACGCGGGAGCGTTTAATTATTTAGTCACAAATGTGATTGGAATCAAATAATGTGAAGTAATTTTATTTTTACTAATAAAGTGCCAAATATTATATTTGAGTTTTATTTTTGCGTGACGCACTTCAATTCTTTGGTCCATTCTTTACTGTCTAGACTCGGAACTGGCTTTTGTTACATTTAATCTTGATACTGTCTATTTACGAACGTGAAATATTATTTTGAACGTAAATAATTCCCTCAAAGTATGGAGCTTTATAAAACACTTTCAATTATAAATAATTTAAGAAAAGATTACTTGATTTTTCGTTTTCCAGTGAAGTGAACATCACCGGTAAATAAATTGGATTGGATTCATATTTGAAAATATACGTTCTTTGATCGTAAATTCATTTGAAAGAATACTTTTATGAATTATATTTAAATAATTTAAAATGTAAACCTTTTAGTTAATATACAATTAAAATGAGACGACTTATATATTATGTTAACTTTATAAAAAACAATACAAATTTTTAAGAAAAATGCCTCTATGAATTTTTATGTATTTAATTATCATCAACAACAATGTTATTTTTACTTTCTTCGTTTTATTAACGCTTTTGGCCAAGGTAGATTATAAGCTGTAGGAACTATCAAGGCGACATGTTTAGAGAACGGCAGATGAAAGAGTACCAAGGTCTGAACTCTAAACTAGGAGGCAAACGAAATCCTGGTAAACCGAGGCTCCGCTGGTGTGATTGAGTTACGAAGGACCTCGAAATCTTGGATGTCCAGAACTGGGTACAGGGAGTACAAGATAGATCGCAATGGCGAAAGCGTCTAGAGGGAGCTAGGCCTCACAGCCACGGCTGTACAGCCATTGATGAAGATGGTGAGGAACAAAAAAGATATGATGATTAATTCCTAAAATGACAATAAAAATATAAAAAACATCTTAATTGTTTATTATTATTAGTATCACATTCCGCTATTACCTAATTATTATGTGTAAAAATCCTTATTATGTAGACTAGATTACAGTTCCCATTTACTTATGCTAAGATAAACTTATCGCGAAAGATTTTTGACTATAATATCAACAGCCATAAATTTTAAAATTGGCACTTGAATATTACCTCAAAAGTTGGCTCATTAAAAAAAATTCTTAAGCAACATTAATGAACGAGAGAAACTATACGTTAGAAACATTTTAATATTTTGACAGAAGCTATCTACTTAGTATGTATTTCTAAAATCTTATCATTCACAGACTAGTATCAACACTGACAGATTTTCTTTAATTATTTTGGACTCAAACTGTGTTTGATTGACGTTAATTAAATTTTCTTAAAGACTAAGTTATAATGTGGAAATTATACAGAGCGTTTAAAAGGTTTAATGATTTGAATAGCCACGGACGAGACACAATAGCTCAATTGGTAAGTACGCGTGTGGTTGTTGGTTCGAGTCTTGTACGCTCATTTCAATCCAAAATAAATGTAACATTAAAAAGCTAACTGATATTGTGCCACCTATTGCCACATAGTCTCTCATAAATTATATTTATATTTAATTAATTATTCCTTAATAATGAACCCTAGTTGTTTCATTTCCCTGTCAAAGTGTTCACCTCTATACTTTTTAATTTTCTGCAACCAAGTTCGAGCAGACCCGTGGATTCTGCAGGTGCCTCCGTATCGTTCTGGCAGACAGACTGGGTCCAAATGCTTGTGTAGTGATTTCAAATCGCTTCCGTGGAAATGGATTCTATCCCATGCATGTTGGGGTATAAACTTCTTGAAGATATAGAAGAATGAATTCAGTAGCCAGTTGTAGTTTATAATATGACACGAGTTTAGGCGGGTTGGTGTTGATACCTGTAAAAAAAATAAAGATTAGAAGTAGAATAGGGCTTTTGTCTTGGGGACCGGGGTTCGATTTCAAGTAGATAGGTAAAAACTTTAATATTTTTAACTGTTATTGCACATGATGGCATTTTATTAATAAAAAATTGATTTTAGAATAAAAAAATAAGACACGGACAGGACTTGAACCGGCTTCACAGCGTTCCGTGCTATTGCTCTGACGAATTGCGCGAGAGGTGTATATTTCACCTCGTGACGTAAAATACTCAAATCAATTTTTAAATGTAGTTTTCGCGAGTAGTACATATTACGTAGTACGCTTTGTCGGGCCGAAGTTAAAAATAATTCTCAAATAATTTTAATATATCGCGTTTTAAACCGTTAAAGTGTTAATTTAAAAAAAAACTATTTTAAATTTAAATAATTCTGTGACTAAGGGTAATATTAAACTAATATTTAGTAGGTAACTAACACCAACAGCAGTTAAAAATATTATTCGTAGAACTTTTCAAAGAAACGTGTTGTTGTTATTATATAAAGATAAGTAAGTCTATTATTGAGAACTTACCCCTAATAAATTGACAATTTGATAGGCAATAGTGGGGGTGAGTGCAGACACTTGGCGTAGAGATAGTCCCTGTAAATCGACTAATACCGTTCCACCAAGAACCTGTATCTTCGGCTGCCTAATACCAATCTCCATCATCACTACACCGGTCCGCACCAGATCTTCGACGGGGTATTCTGAAGGATCCCATCTTCCTGGAAAAATTAAGGCATTTAATTATTACTCTTACAATGCTAAAGCCAAAATCGGTGGATAGCGTATATTCTCTTTAATTTCTCTTCAGTAAAAACATGCTTAGCTTGTATGATATGAAGTCATCCAATATTTATGTTAGCTTACAAAAGAAAAAATTAAATAAAAAACATAATCCTTATAAATACGTTTTATAGTTAACTGTAATGTTTCATTAAACACTATTAATAAGGTAAAAAACGTGAAAAATATAAGTTAAACTTATTCCAAAATTATTCTTCAGACCGACGGTTTGGATTTGGTAGATTAAAGTTAATCCGTCTTGTATATAGGTAATAAGATTTTTATAAAAAAAAAACAATTTACATAAAATAAGTGTTTGAAAACTTTATTATTTTTTTACATGTTATTGCACATAAAGGCACTATATAAATTAAAAAATCGAAAATAAATTGAAATAAGATTTGACTCGGCCAGGACTTGAACCGGCATCGCTAGCGTTCCGTGCTTTTGCTCTACCAATTGAGCTACCGGGTCACAATTTTTTTCAATTTATTTTCGATTTTAAAAAATAAGTATTGTTTTCATGCATATAGTAAATACAGGAAATGTAAGGAATTAAAAATTGTGAATGCAACAAGATCCTAGGCAAGATAACCTTATAAACAAAAGACTTATGCTTTTCGAGGTCACAGACTCAAACACGGCTCTGTAAGCTATTCATGTATTCAGTTAAATTCGTATTATGCTAATAATGAAGGAAAATGTTCGCACATACCAAACCTCATTATGGTCAACCTTCCGACATCTGGCCGGTCGAACATACAGCCTTCGAAGACATCGCCCACTTTGACAAGTTCCCAGAGGTCAACATCCTTGTATAAGTGGGGGTATTGCTCCCGGAACGCGCAGTACCTTACTAACTAAAAAAAATAATAACTTGTTATATTTGTGAAAAAGGATAAAGATTTAAGTAGGTATGTTTAAATAAAACTTATGCATAAGAATTGTATGTTAATTTATTTCTTGTTTCTGGAATTTATTTTTATAGTATTAAAAATGTACATAGTATATTTTTAATATATATATTTGTGTAACTACGACATTTATACTATATGTGTTTCTGATCCAGCTTACAGGATATAATCCTGTAAGCTGGATCAAAAAAGCTTTGAAAATACTTTAAACTCATATGTATTACAAAAAACGTATATACTTCCTATTAACTACTCACATGATGTTTATGTTTTGATATTCTTTTATCCTTGCATCTTAATATCTAAGAAAAATACCAACAGATCGGCCAAAGTAAAACGCTAGTCTTCAAAATACAGACTTTTCCGCTTATAGATAAAAATGCAACACAATATTTGAATACTTGCTTGCATAAACATATCACTCAAGTTTCACAATAACATTTTGATTTAAAATATTCACACACGTTATCATTTTAATTAAAAATATCTGGCTATTTCAATGTCAGTTTCGCAAATCATAGAGTGGATTTCATTGAGTCATTATCAGATAAATTTAATATGTATGTGTAGATATAAATTATAGGTAAGACATTTTACTTTAGACGTGAATACAACATGTTTTTATAAAGTTAAAGCCTTCTTAGGACAATTGACAAATTGGTACTATTATTTATAATTTAGTTATTCAATATAAAATTTAATGGCAATTTTACAAACCATTAATTTTATATGGTAATTGTAGGTCCACTTATAATAAAAGGCAATAGTTCTGCAGATCAAAGTTCAATTACACGATACTATAATATAACTACTATACGTAACAATTATAGAACTATACAGCTCTTATAGTAAAAAAAATGCTGGATTTCAGAGGAAATATTAATTCCAGCGGTATAGTCCATAGAAGTTTAAACTATATAAGTACCTACAAATAAATAAAATTGTCATCAGTTAAATTAGTCTGACCAATGCTTATACAACAGGAATTTAACTTTTATTTTACAGTAAAACATCGTAAATTGTCTATCGTATTTTGTGCCCTGTCCAACCAAAACATTTATTGTTTCCAATTGAGCCCAGAACTTTGACAAACACATTTAACACTATGAAAACGAGTATAGTAGTAGTAAAATTAGAATAATTCGTTTATTTATATATTTGTTTTATACAAGTTTCAATGTCAATACAGAATTGAAAAACAAACGTAGAGAAATAAAATCTTACAAAATATCTTCATTTGACTTTGACTTATAACTATTGACTATTATTAATTATTATGATTTACAATTTTTTAGTCAAAGGCTATTTTGTAATCTGGTTAATTTATATTCTCAAATTCCTTTTTTGTCATGACGACTTATAATAAAATTATATTTATACATTATCGATACTCACCAGTTTATGTGCTCTTGGTACAACGAAATCTCTAGCGCGTAGAAATCGAAGTAGAAATTCGTCGTCTGTGCGAAAAGGCTCGCATTCATCTCGATCTGGAAATTGGCAACACAATTCTAAAAGCCAAGTCAAACTAATAAGGAGACCAGAAATATGCAGCAGTTGGTTTACCGCGCACCACATTAGATTTTTATTGCAGATTATAATATAGATACTCTGTGGTTGACCTATGTTCTTTGTTTTTATGTTCCTGTAGCCTGTATTGCTTAATTACTTCGAAGAACTTAAATATTATCAATTTAATACTTTGTTTTATAACAGAACACAAGAAGAAGGCGAGAATGCATTCCTTTAAGGAAGGACCTACGAGCATAAATGTCAGTGATTAATAGTAGTAGATTTAAACAAAATGCGATGTCAACCTAATTTGTCTACCGTGGTTGATTAGATGTTAGTTTATACATGGCTAACAAATAGTGAATTAAAAATGGGATTTCTGACCAAAAAGTTTCATAAGTACGATTTGTAAGAGCAACTGTGCGTTAGGAAACAATTCCCAACAAATGCCGTACAAAATTTTCACGAGGTCACTTCGGTAGTTGCAGTTTTGGCGCCCATTTTACACGGTTGTAATAATTACTCTATTGTACACGACTATATTCTTTTATTCACACGATACATTGCTGCGTGGGTTCTAGTCTGCTAGTGAATCACTATCAGGTTTACACGGTATGAAGCAATAGACGTTGTACTTAGAGATAGTATTGCCGATAGAGTTATGATGATTTAGCATGAACGTAACGAAGGATGAGTAATGCTAATGTTGTTGTACAATTGTTACTTACCAAAAATCATCTTTCTCAGCTCCGTGATTGCTGCGTCCCTGGTGCTCAGATTCTCGTTGCATAATTTGGAGGAGTATTCTAGTAATTCCTGATCTTCATCCGTGTTCAATTCCGCCTCGTAGGCGATTTCCAGAAAACACTCAAACATGTTTACAGGAGTCACTTTCTGCAACAATATAAAGATAAAAAGTGTAACAAGTATAATATATAGGTACCATACGTTATACCCCTAAATATAGCTAACATCTAGAAACTTATTATAGTATTAGTATTAAACACGAAAAGTATCTTTTTTTATTATATTATTTATAGGTATATAGGTCAGCTAAATTTGGTAAGCTTTATTTTGCCATAATATGAAGCATTTTAAAATAAAAACGGTTCTTGTGAGTTAATTTTAAAAGATAGACGTAGGTATAATGTGGGATTTTTATTATTTATTATTTAAAGAGTAATTCTTTTGTTCGTGTTTTTGGATATCTCGAACCGTTTTAATATATCGATCGCAACGAAAACCCACAAAAATAAACTAATCCGCATATTTTTCAGCTTCCCCCCCGGTCAAAAAAATTTTTTTTTTCCCCCCAGCAACCCAAAAAATAAAAAAAAAAAAAAAAAAAAAAAAAAATTTTTTCCCCCCCCGGCCCCCCCCCCCCCCCCCCCCCCCCCCCCCCCCCCGCCCCCCCCCCCACCACCCCCCCCCCCCCCCCCCCCCCCCCCCCCCCCCCCCCCCCCCCCCCCCCCCCCCCAAAAAAAAAAACCTCACCCCCCCCCCCCTCCCTCCCTCTTTTTTTCTTTTTTTCTTCTCTCCCCCCCCCCCCCCCAACCACACAAACATTTTTTAATATTTTTCTATAGATCCGTCAATTAAGAAAATTATTTGTAAATAACTTTATAACAAAACACAATACTTGCTCAAGTAACGGAAGGATATTTACGTGAAAGAGGTAGTGATAATGATGTATTAGTACTGCCTTTTGTTTAAAAAGACAGTTCTACTCGAAAAAAATTAATGTCAAGAACGTATGGTCAATGACACGAACAGAAATTTATAATTTTATTCTTTTGTAACTGGTTTATATGAAACTGGTTGCAAATCTTTATTAAAAATTTCATTGACATTGGGAAAAATGGAAAATTTAATACTTTAGGCCTTAGGGTATACTTAGAATCATATTATAATCATTGTCGTATAGTTAGGTACTACATAATTAAATTAATGCAGTAGAGTAATTTATCTTCATTACTGCGTGCGGAAAACTAACCAACACAAAAACTGTCTCGGTTTTTTTATTACAAAGGAGTAGAGAAAAACAATTGAAAGTGAAGTATCCTAAAGATGCACTATTTTTGACTTTCGACATTAGCAATTAGCTATATTGCTTTATTCCATAAAACGAAATCCTTATAAGAACCCTTATGCATAAATATTGTCTATATTTCACGCAAGTAGTACACATTTAAATAAAACGATTTTAACGTTTAAAACGCGAAATATATTAATGAACACATAAGATACCTTAACTTATAAAATACTTATGAGTTAACTAATACATTTTGCGTTTTAAACCGTTAAAATCGTTTTGTTTAATCATAATATACACTAGTTTATAAGTGAATGTTCATCAGCGAAGAATAAAGGTGTTGCAAGAGTTACGTACTATAATTAATATGACGAAGGTTCAAGGTAGCAACCTCAGAATACAATGTTATCCTTGTTAACAAAAAAAAAATATCTCGACCGTGACGTTTTGGCTTTTATACTAGTATTACTTCGAAATTCATTCAAGAAATACAATTTTCATTTGAAATTATTTCACTCAAATTCGTAAATACTGTCTAGTTTACGAGAGTAGTACACATTTAAATAAAACAATTCTAACGGTTTTACGCTAAATGTAAACCGTTAGAATTGTTACAGCAGCCACATTCAAGGGGACGTCAGGCCGTAGTTAAAAAAAAATATAAATAAGTGTAACTAATACATTTCGCGTTTTGAAACGTTAATTTTTTTTATTCAATATTATAGCTTAAAAACCTCCGTTATTTTATCTCTAAAACATAATTTATGTGAGTTATAAATAACTGTAAGCGATTGCGAAGTGGAAACCTTGACTTTAATTTTTACCGGATAATGTTAACGTTTGATAAAATTGTTGTTGCGTTTCAAAACAGATGTGTTGATATCTTTCTATAATTACGTTATTAGAAAACGACTCATTAAATAATCCGATAAATTACAGTCTCGCACGGAGGGTTTGACAATTGACTTGTTTACAAATACCAAATTTAAAAAAAGCACATAACTCCGTTTCTGTTGTGGTGCACGAGGCAAACCATTTCTGTGTCTTTTTCACCGGGCTTTTTTTATTTACAGGTTAGTAGGTGATCAGAATTATGTGCTCTTGGCCCTGCTCGATCTAAACCCACTTGTTTCCGCAAATTCAACCCAAGACCTCTACGTTGAACACGTTAGGCAAATTTAACCATTGCAAATTACGAAAGCAGTCACAAATTTCATATTGCCAAAATTATAAATTTTTAATAAAAATAAATAATATATAAAAATAACCTACTTGTGGAACAAACGGGGAAATACATATGTATGAAAGAATATGATTCCACATTAGATGATCTAAAAAAAATGTCACAAGAAAGTAGTATCTTTTAAGATTAGCTTGAAAGAACGACGGGACGCGGACGACATCGTGGAGAACAGCTGTAATTTATAAAGATGAGATGTGTGATGCGTGAAATCCCGTTTCCCCCTCGTGGGGCATGGGGCGAACATATTTCTGTGTCCGTTTCACTGATCCATTCTTTAACTGGCAAGTAACTAACTTGTGTAACTACATGATCAGTTGATCAGACTTCTGTGCCCTGCCTGACCGAAACATTTTTTTGTTTCCCTGGGATTCGAACCCAGGACCTCTCGCGAATATAACTGTTCTACACAGACGAAGGCATTGACACAGCTAGTGTTTGTATATTCAAACAACAATAAATACCTAGAAGAAATGAACCACGCTTCTAATGAAGCTACTGACATGAGTGGGTATAGAATAAAAAATAATTACCTCTGCCGTCAATTATTTTCCCGTTGATGAGTAACAAGAATACAATAGAGATAAATATAACAATGTCGAAGTCAAACATGCGAGCTGGATACAAAGAGTTAGTTGTGTCATCCTCGCACGACTTGAATTATAAACAAAAGGTATGGCACACAACGCCATTGTATTTTTGAAATAAGGTTTAGTATGAAAAATATCTTAAAAATATAATATATAAATATTAGGGTGAAAGATCCTTATAATATCTCAACGAGGTGTGCTATTGGCCTATTTTGGCTTTAAACATTCAATTTAATAAGACTTTACTTTTTTCTTCTGTGGGCGGTGGTTTGTGTTTCAGAGACAAAATTTCGATATCACCCCCTATTTGAAACAGATCTATCATACGAAGGAATGGATGTTGGAATTGGTAAGCATTCCGCGACCACTAGGTTTGATTAGTGTGACGAGACTGACGTAGATTTAGTTGTTATTTTTCAATGTCACAGTATTTAAATCCACACGAGAATTGAATAAGCACCTCCAATGTAGCTCCGATGGTAGATTACGGATTTGGCGGCGTTATAAGTGTTTTTAAGTAAAGTTTTTAAAAAGTTTAAAAAACATTAAATGCCCCTATATAACGATGGGAAAGAGAGGAACATAGTGGTACTTGTAGTAAATGTATAGTTAGATTCTTTAATTATTTTGTGACGTTCATAAGTGTACATAGTTACCTACATGTATAAATGATTTTCGACTTTGACTTTGACTGTAATCTTTAGCCGCAAAGCCTTTGCGCTTAACGGAACCGGTCGTCCACTGCGAACACAGTAAAATATTAAATTCGAAATGGAATTGAAGTGGCAAAATACAAAACTAATGCGTTTTGTATGCTTATGGCAGGCTTAACTTAACCGAAATATGTTCTTAGTCTTTTTTTTAAATGATTGAGTTTGACTTTTTTACTTAATGGGAGGTGAGATTCCCCAGCCATATAAGATCTAAACAAAATGCGATGTCGACCTGTTTTGGCTTTGGATATTCGGAAAACCACAGACTAGAACCGTAATATGATTAAATTGACGGACGCTTTTTTATCTATGGACCAAAATGTTTCAGAAAAATTATGAATAAAAAATTAGAAACACGTTGGACCCGATGGGGATCATACCCACGACCCGTTGATTATTAGTCAAGCATTGCTACCATTAAACCTACGAGCACGTTAAAGCTTTTGATGGCAATATCATCTTAATATTCCGTCAAGGGCCGGTCGCTGTCAATCCGTTAGCCTGTTTTCGAAATTAAAAATGGATCAAGGTTATTCAGAGTAATATGTATTATGTTGAAGTAAATGGTATTAAAAAACTAATTATGTGCTTTAAATAATAATTCCAGTAGAGTATATTTACTTGGCTAATTAACAGAACACCTAATGTGTTTGTAGTGCCTTAGCCGGTGTATCTTAGTTGGGCTCTATCTACTAATGTAAATCTGGACACTCAATTTATAATTTTGGGGAAACATGTTTGACACCCGGAAATGCGGATATTAAATCGGAGATAGAAATAAGAAATTTCTTCCGGGTCACGAACCACCGACCACAGATGAAAAAGCTTTAAATTAATCGCGTTTCGACTTCAGTCTGTAGCTCTCCGAATATCCAAACCTAAAATAGGTCAACAACGCATCTTATATGGTTGCGTTATTTGACCTACAATCAAATGCAAAGTCCCACCACGCGACTCCACTACGGGTAGATGGGTACGACATGGTTACTATATAAGTGAAGAAACAAGGGCGGAACTGCTCTCACACTCCACAAAACTGGTACATAAAAAGGATCTAAATATGACGTTCGCCAGGATTCGAAGCCGGGGCGGCGTACAGACTCTAATATAAACAAGGCTTACACAAGCTAAAGTATATGAAAGAGTCCTCAACAAAAATACATACACAAGATAATAGTTATAAAGTATTGATAACACGACTTGACCTAAGAAGTAAATAGACCGTCTTATCTCATTGTGTATTTAATAACGAGTCATTAGTATTACGATGTCACAATAACAGTTTTCTGTTATTTCTGTATCATCACAAACATGTGCGCGTAACCCACCATGAAGCCTTCAAGGTTTCAACTGAAAAAAAATTAATTTGAAAGATTGTGTAGATTTGGAATTATTGCTTAAACACTTATATCTGCCCATTTCGTAGGTAAAATCATTGGCGCGTATAAAATCGCGTACAAAAGGTTCTGTGAAAATATTGACAATAAAGATATATTACAGGTCACTGACCATTCGGAAATTTAATAAAATTCTTTCACTGTTGTACTTGACAGGCTCGTCGGTGTAAAGGTAAGTATCGCTAATAATCAAAGGGTCGTAGTCGATCCCCACGGAATCCAACATTTTCTAATCTGTGGATTTGTTATAATAACAGTATATCTAATTTTATTTATTGATACATTACACAAATATAAACGTTATTACTCCGCTACCCTCATTTACCAATCAAACCAAGAGGAATGATTGTTCAAAAATTAAAATAAATCGCTGCCATGTGTTTCTAAGGAATCTAAACCCCGGTATCTCCGAATTTTAAGCTGTCTCGAATTTAACGACGTTAATAAAGGCCCGTCTACCTACACTGGAATTTTGCCCAGCGGTGAGACTAACAGGTTGAAACGATTATAACTTAATTATTTTTACAGTGCATTTGAGGTACTAACTGCGACCAGCTAACCTTCACACTCTCGGTTATATAACGATTAGTTGACAACGATCTAGAAACACTCCCTGTAAGGGACTTGAAGGTCTGTGAATGATTGGAATATAATTAAAGAACTCGATGTTTAAATGGGCTCGTTGGGCTATTGGTAGCAATGGCTAATAATCAACGGGCCGTGGTTTCGTGGACATCTGGATATTAAATGGGTGTAGGAATATAGAAATTCCGTCCGGGTCACGAACCAACGTCCACAGATGAAAAGCCGATAGCCGATGAAGTTGATTCGCGTTTCGGTTTCAGTCTGTGGATTTCCGAAAAAAAAAAGGTGTAATAGGCCGACGGCACATCTTGTTTAGATACTATAGGGGACAAACAAGCATGTGTTCACTTGATGGAAGAAGAACACTTCAGACATATAACATCTAAACAAGATCCACTGACGGGTTAATTTGATTTTGAATATTCGGCAATCCACAGACTGAACGCGAATGTATTAAGTACTGTAGACAGTGGTTCGTGACCAGGACGAAATTTCAACTTTATTTTATCCTTACCATCCATTTGATCCAGATTCCATACAAAGTAGAACGATGTTTCAAAAAAATCTATAAATTGATTTAAAAAAAGGTTGGGATCGAATCTACGACCCTCGATTATTATACATTGCTATTCAACGAGTCCATGGAACAGGCATTGCATTACATCAACACAATACACATGTGACGAAGAATATTAAAGACCTTGCTGTCAATAACTCTAAAACTTCCACCGAAGGATTATTTTTACCGCCCCCAGTAACGCACTTATAAAATTCAAAGCCTGGTGCGATTTTTTTAATATTTAATTATGTTTATCTACTTAGAAATGTCTGGCTCATACCTTACATGGTAGCAAATCTATCGTTTAAGGTTCGTTCGTAGAGTACGATCTTTGTGATACTTTCGATTAGATAACGAATTAGTATGTATTCGTACATGGGAACCGGTCGCAGGGACCGTGAAGGTATCAAAGCTGTGTCATTTGCTTCGGTGTTGGGGTCAAGGTTTGCAAACGGGTTACTCTTGCTGATATTTATTAAGCCCGCTGGTTTATCGACTGTATAAAAGTTAAATATCATCCTTGGAATTCTCAAATGTGAATTTTAATGACAGGAGAGGAGCTGTATGTATGTATATGTAAATATTTTAAATAAAAACGTTTAACGTCTATAAACTGGAAACATATTACTTGACTTATGTTAACTACAGTTGCCTCGGATCACACCGAAATGTCGGTCATAGTTCAAATAAGTAACCAAAAATATTTCGCGTTTTAAACCGTTTGTAAGAGTGAAATCCTGTTTTGCTCCGTGTGCATGTGGCGATCACGATTCTTTGTGTTTCACTGAAGGGTTCTTCTACAGTCAAGTAATTAGACTTCTGTAGCCTGCCCGCCCAAAACATTTAAACCCAGGACCTCTCGCGCTGTTGCCTACTCGTGTAACACTTACTACACTACTCTTGTAAACTATAGACAATCAACAAACATATCTTATCCAAGATTGATACTTATCTTAGATTATTTGTATGATAGAGAATAGACAAACACAACGCTCGCATAAAATACTCATAAAAATATTTAAATACGATGTACTGTTGACCTATTACAGACGCGATTACACTCCACAGCTTTGTCATCTGTAGACGGTGGTTCGTGATAATTTTTAATACACGTGTATTAAAAATTATAAGTTAATTTCCAAGTTTTTTTATCCAGTGCTCCTAAAAAAATTGGAAATTAACCACAAAACGTTGATTATTATTAGTCAAAAATTACGAACGACGAGTCAAACTAATGAATATATGCTAATTATATCTATATTTTATCATAAACGATATTTTCAATGGTCTAGGAAACTTTAAAAAGTCTACGCGAGATTTAGATAAGATAAAAATCCGATAAAGTTAATTCGGCCGTGAATCAACTTAAAAGGAATTATCAAACACAATATTAAATAGAATATTACAATTCTACGCGAAATATATCTGTTATTAGTACCGCAGCGTCTAAAATTTGTATTCATTTTTTTAAATCTTTGCGGGTACGTACTTAAAAAATATCCTAGTTTTTGCTATATAATAGTAGATATTATTCATAAAAAAATATGACACTTTTTCCTACCATTCAATACAAAGTCGTACGTCTTTGTTCCAGTAAACATATTGCAGACTGGTTCCATATATATCAAATTTTATTTCAAAACACTACTTCTTGATATACTTACAAAACCATATAATGTTGTAAATCAGCTAAGTGTCCACAGGTAATTATCAAATCACAAATTCACTCGATCTTCTTTATATTAGTCAACAGTATTAACTAAAACTTTATTTTTGAACGCGACTTGTGTGTAGCTTTTGTAAACTCCTACTTGTAGCCATAATTTTTAAATAAGACAAATCCACAGATAACAATATAAATTGACAGCTATATTAATAATTAAACGTGAGATAAGAGTAACACGCGCGGCGCGTCGCTTCTACGCTTGAAGAATAAACAAAAACTAATGCAATGCGCGTGGGCAACCACCAACTTTAAAAATGTATCGACATTGGTCACGTTTTGTTTTTTATTCGAGTTTAATGATCATCGTGTATCAGGCCTTTTGATAAGTTCGTTTGTAAGTTTTTATATTGTTTCATATAACGTTAGATTTAAAAATTAATATTCTTTATTGAGGAAAAACGTTTTAATGTTTCCCCACAGCACGCAGGCGTCGGTAAAACTTGTTTAAATTTCTGGTAACAGATAAAAAATTTAATTACTTATTAGCATACATATATCTTTTTATCTACATTTCCTGGCAACTAAATTAAAACCTGTGGCTAAACATAAAATACCAACGCTAAATATATTCGGAAGCTTTTACAAAAGAACAAAAGTTAAAAGGGTTTATTCAATGTCTTACTTGAGCAAACTACCGTCGACCTAATATTGTTTCAACGCTTTTGTAATTTTTCTGGTTTCAAAACGAAAACGAAAATCGCGTAAATAAAATTATGTCATCGCGTCGTTACACTTGGAACTTAAGTAATGATAAACAACCTTTATTGTTGCATTACGAGTGACAATCATTGGAATTAACTCGTTACTAAAATGCCAGGTCAAGTAAATAAAGTTCAGTGATAACCAGCATCCAAAAAGGAAAAGCGTTTATTATCATGGCGTACTTATATCAATTTTTTTTTAAATGAAAGACTTTAACGGTTTAAAACGGGATGCATGTTAGTTAAACTTATCTGAAAATTGTTTACTGGCCTTTTCTCGGATGCTTTACTGTGTGGTCACGGGGAGACAAACATCGGCGTCGACGTACGTCGAAATTATTTTAATATACATCGCGATTTAAACCGTTAAAGTGTTTTATTGAAATGTTTACTACTCTCGTAAACTACAGACACTATTTAATTTTTTTTTTGTCTGGGAATACTTTTTTAATTATTGGTATCGGTATTTCCTTAGTGATATTATCTGAATATCGATACATCTTGTAAGAGAGCTAAAAACCTATTTAATAGTATATGAATTCGCTGGAGGCTTTATGGGACTTCTGTCATTAGTTTTATATCAATTACTTATAACGCCATAAACTAAATATATATTTTAGATTTTTTTTTAATTTTTAGTTTTATCATATTTTCATACTTATCATTATTACATTATCAAAGATTTTTTTCCTTTGTAAATACTTGGCCGCGAGTTTAATTATTAAACGTACTGCGTTAAATGCGAGAGGCACTGGAGTCGAATCCTGGGGAAACAACAATTTTTATCTTTTCAATTTTCGAATATTCCAAAAATTCAAATTTTCTTTAAATTATTTAAGCTTATGGTGTACCTAATGGCTATAAGAATGATTAATTATTAAGAATTATTTGCTATAAATAGTGAGGGGTTATCTAACAATAAGAATCGGTAGTATCTACCTACTTTAGATGAACAAAGGAACTACTTAATCATTTATCCAAGTGACTGTCTTCACCATTATAACCTAGATGGCGCTACTAGAACGCCATGCTTTTATTTAGATCAATATTATGAAAATTATAGTACAATTAAACTATCTTGAGTTATTTTTACCCACAGAGTACGCAAGAAATTTAAGATTTTTTATACGTTATATGTCTGAATGTTTCCCTTTAAATAATAAAATAATGTACATATTTACAATGACATTAGCTTCTATTAACTATTCTTTGACAGGCTGGAGGTCGCCACCTTCGATATCTTGGCAGGCCTTGACTTTTAAACTTCTTGCACTTTGCTGCTTTCCTAGTAATTTAAAGCAAATTGTGGTCCATCAAACTTGGCAGATGGCGTGGGTGGTGGGGTGGTGTTTTTTACCGGACGATGGCCAAGCTAGGAGGATTTTTTATAAGTCATCAAATAAATGTAATCAAGATATAATTAATAACTGAAGAAATGTAAAATTAAATTAAATATATAAAAAATACACTAGGGTTTTTATCAGTTTTTATGTTATTGTATAAGACCAACAATTAAACTAAGATTTAAACTAAGTACTTTAAAAGGTGAACTTTATCTTAAATAACGCTGAATGGGCAGTCACCAATTTGAAAGGGTAAACACGTTTATTGGGTAATAATGGAGTTAAATGCAGTCAGTGTTAGATTATAGAACTGAATCGTGGCCTGGGAAGTAAAAAGTACAAATGTTTAAGGTATGTTATTTAGAAAATTTGCTTAAAAATGTACATGAGTTAGAGAAAGTCAAAATTCTTTTACTTTTCTTTCCTTAAAAATTATATAGCGTCGTAACTATTAATAGGTACCTAATAAAATTTTACTTTTTTGGCATGTCTGAAAAGTACTGTCAAGTTTACTCGAGTAGTACACATTTAAATAAAACACTTTAACGGTTTAAAACACGATATATTAGTTAAAATTTTGAAAATGACTTTTAACTTAGGCCCGACGTCGGGCATTTATTTAAATGTCTGAATCCGTTTAACATACGAATGGCATGTCCAGACACACTTTTAAGTCCTTTTTCACTACATTGATCTGAAACTAAATTTTCCCATAATTCACGCGTCGATATTGTATTTTCGATTGTTCCTACATTTCCCAGGTTTTTCGTGAAATAGCGTTCGAGGCTGAGCTAGATCGCCACATTGTTCCCGAATGTGAAGACCAGGCCCGCATGCAATGTGGAGAGGAACCTGATAACCGGTGGAATGCAGTGAAGGAGCTTAGGAATCTTATACTAGGTTACTGAACAATTAAGTCTCAATCTTCTCTTTAGCGATACAGACCTAGTGGCGGTGACATTTTGAGTTTTAGAGCTTCTTTCAATATTTGTGCGAGTTTGGTATTTTTACGATAAGTTTAAAAACATTTTTTTTTAATTTCCTTATAATACTTAAGAAGATTATAATAAATCATTATAATATTTATTGTATATAATTATTTAAATATTATAATTATTTATTATTAGTTACAATGTTAAATAATGACTATAATGATTTTTAATAAACAAAGTTACAATCGATTTAGTTCGAAAAAAATGATAATACGGGCGGGACTTGAACCGGCTTCCGTGGAGATCCGCGCTGCTCTACAACCACCGTATATCAACGTCATCATCCTTTCTGTCTCGTAAAAATTTCGCAATAGGAAACCGCTTGAGCAATCCAAAAAACAAGTACCAATATTGTTTGTTACCGTTTGATTTTCAGAGAGAGGTGAATGCAACCCGCCGCGGTTGGACGACGCGTTCTTGTTGCGCTTTTTACGCGCGCGCCGCAGTGTACCCGCGCGAGCTCATCGCCTGGTACGTTATGGGCGCCTGGTACTTTGGGAGTTTTGTTGTGTAATAACGACACAAATCGCTTTGCTCGAGCCTGTTTTATATTCTCGCCCCGAGATGGCGCTAGTAGTAGTTATTGAATATGAAATGAAAAAGTTTTTTTTTTATTTCTCTCTATTTCAAGATCATTTTTTTTCTTTTAAGAATAAAATAATTTTCATTTTCTTACACTAATTGATCTGGTTGAAATTACTAAAACTCTATCATTAAAAAATCGCTTTTGTTGTTACAGTTGGTTCGGTATTGTAAATTTCGGGAAGAGAACCCTGAGCTTTGGAAGGGCGTGTACTGGTACGGCTTAGCACGGCTGGGAGATATCTTTGAAGGCGTCCTATACGACAGACCAGATGTCGGAAGATTAATCATTGCCAGACTTGGTAAGTTACAAACTATTGCTTCAAAATTAAGATTTTCTTTGATTCCAAGAATAATATTTTCAGGGCAGTGGAATCCGGATGTATTCCCAGCAGATGACTTGGTTCGTGGCTGCCTTCTACTATTGGAAGTAGGTATAATGCAACCCAAACTGCAAGTCTTAGGTGGAACTGCTATTCTGGACTGCGAAGGGATGACGCTAAAACACATGAGACAGTTGTCTCCATCTATTGCTGTAAAAGTCATGAATGTAATGGGGGTAAGAATAGTTAAAACGGAATACTGTCTGTAATTTACGCAAGTGGTACAATATCGCGTTTTAAACCGTTATTGTGTTTTATTTAAAGAGTTAAAACTATTTTCTCCACTTATTAACAAATCAAGTTTTATCTGGTATTTTTTCAGTTTGCATTTCCCCTGCATCAGCGCGGTGTGCATATTGTGAATTGTTCTCGAGTGCTTGAAAAACTCTTCTACCTCTTTAGAAGATTTGCGCCAGCATCTGACCTATGGGACAAAGTATTTTTCCATAGAGAAAACTACGTTTCCCTACAAAAGTACGTATTAAAAAATTACTCCTACCAAAATATTTTAGCAATATTTTTTTCAAGCGTAAAAGCTAATAAATTATTCAAAGGCTGTTAAAAATCTTATGTTATTCATTTGTGAATCACTAACAATGCACTGAATTCTAGTTTCTTAAGTTATATGTACATTTATTTAATTACAGCTTTTTATATTACAGACACATAGATCCCGAGTGTCTACCAGAAAGATATGGTGGTTTTCGCCAATCAGTAACTCTTGGAGAATGGTTAACAGCGATAAAAATGTATAAGAGAGATGACTTTGATGCTGATATAAGTAGTATTGGCTATGCAATTTAATGCAAACGGAATTAGGTATACTCGTAGCATAGCAACATAGCAACACAATTAACTTTAAATATTCTTAGTCCTAAAATTAATTTTTAGGATTTTAAAAACTTGTTCAAACTATTTGCTATGTGTTTTTAAACACGGAAATTACGTGAGTGCCATTACAATACGAGTTATGTAAACTGACATCGATCTTTGAATTTTTAAATAACTATAAAAGTAAGGCCAAATAAATAGGCCACGTTTGACATATTATCATAACTTACATACTGTCTATAGTTTACGCGAGTAGTACACATTTAAATAAAACACTTCTCCCCATGACCACGGCTGCTGCAAAGCATCCGAAACGTCGGCCCGCAGTTAAAAATAACAATATATCGCGTTTTAAACCGTTAAAGTGTTTTATCAAAACTCGTCAAGGACCAACCTAATAATGGAACAAAATGTTCATAATAAGAACTGTATTTACCATAATTGCTTAACTTTTTACTAAGTTACTTTTAGTATTATAGTTGGCCAATCCACACTGGATAACATCGTATCTAAAAGTTAAATAAATAAATAAAAATGTGGTCATTGACTTTACTTTTAAAGAAAACCCATTGATATAAATATCTATATATGTATTTATTTTTCTAGTTTATTCAGTATCTACGTAATAAAGTACTTGTTTTTACTTGCATTGCAACGCTAGTATTAATACAATACGGAAGGTATACAGTTACGGATTAAACCAACACCGCCTACCTAATTGTAGGTTATCAGCTGTCTCTAAGGCTTCGTTGCTTTCCGGGTTAAATATGAATTATTGTTAGAAAGTAAAAAGATATCTAGACATATCTTGATTATTAGAACCTGTTAGTTTAGCCTTCTTTTCAATGCAATTTGTTAGCACTTTCATTTGTTTTAAATTAAAAAATGTATGATACTTCTAAATGCTTCTAAATTATTTTAGATTTCAATGTTATAATTAAACGTTCTTATAATATAGTGAAATAAGTTATTTAATCATAGAAATAAATTCTCTTAAATTCTCTTCTTTTGTCGGTTCGTAAATAAATTTTCCATAGTCATGCGTCAATTAACACTAATGAATTCAGTGTAATCTGAATATGTTTTAGACCAAGCAGTCAAACACTAACCCATTGGTTAAATATTAAACATAACTACATTTTAAGTTCTTTGCTGTGATCTTACTCGTAATTTTCTCAGCATTTGTATACTCTTTAGATATATCGAATAATATTGACGTCGTCAATAGTATATATGCTGTAGTTCATACTTTTCTCATCACTGAAGTGTTCCGTGCTCGAAAGCTTTGTTTGAACGGATGAGCAGATAGCCTCTTTAACTAACTGTATTTGGTTACACTTAACTGTCAAGAACTTTCACTATTTTTACCCGCCAATACGACTAAAGAGAGAAGTTCGGAAATCTGGTCGAAAATAATATTCTTCCTCACTGTACATATTTGTGGTTTAAGGCGTTTACCGCTTATACAATATTTTAAGATAATTGTTAAGATGCAAATCCTTGTTTGAATTCATTAGTCTTTAGCGATTTATTTTAAACTAGCTGTGTCGGCGACTTCATTTGTAGCGTACGCAATAGAAACCCACAAGGATGAATAAATTTCCCCGTTTTTTCTTTCTTTGCTCCTATAAGTCACATCGCGATGTTTTTTAGCCTATAGCCTTCGATGAATGCTTTAACCAACACAAAAATATTTTTTTGAATTCGAACCAGTAGTTCCAAAGTTCAAACAAACAAACTTCAGCTTTAAATTAGTATAGATAAAAAAAATACACAAGCAGGACTCGATTCCGCAACCACTGTTCCGTATATACCAATTAAGCTTATCTGTAATGAAAGTAGTACATATTTAAATAAAACACTTTTAGCCCCACCGACCACGCCTGCTGCAAAGCATCCAAAGCGTCGCCCCGTAGTTACAATAAATTATAAAGAAGTTAATAAATTGCTATTGCATTAAAAGTGTTATAAGTTTATCTTACAGCAAAGGCTTGAAAACAATATGTATAATATACTCTTTCTGTGTAGGTACTTATATATGAATATTAAGATACTGTACTTTGACTTAATAGGTAGCTGTTCTACAATCTAAAATAAACCTTAGTCATCTTTTTATGAGTCTTCACACTCACACGCCGAGTCTGTATCGTGTTTGATAACTGCGTACTTACAGTCTAACTTAAATGCATTTGGTTCGCGACCGTCCGAGAGACGCACGCCTCGATGTATTTTTAGTGTTTCCAACCAGTTTGAACGGCTTCTAAATTCTAATGACATACATTTTTTATCTGTGGTGAAGTAGTGATGTGCTATCATTTAGCTGTGGGTTAGGTTAAAACATCGAGTGAGTTGAGGTGAGTGAATATACAAGTGTACACAAATAAAACATCTGCTTGTTCACACCGGCGTTACTAGTTTATTGTTTCATTGTAAAAAAGAAAAAAGCTTTAACTTGGCGTAGTTGAAATGTGAGAACGACGATTAAGTACGCAGTTTTTAATGGAAAATATTTGTGAGTACGCTTTTTGTCCACGGAAATGTCGCATTGTATCAGCGACATTGTAAGTAGGCATGGTAATTATTCGATATACCTAGTAACGACCTAAATGTGTTGTCTAAAATCTAATATATTTTTAATAAGATTAAAATATAAGGAAGTTTTTATTGTATTACTTTCTTTTAAAAGTAACAACACAGTATTACAATTCTATAACTTAATAATGTCATAGCAATTAGGTACTTGTTTGGAAACTAAATTGCTCTTACATATCCGTCAGTTAGTAATTATAAGTGTACCAAACTAGTTCTTATCTAAAAATACTGCAAACTTCGTTATAGGTAGTACATACGAGGAGAATGTTCCGTTACTACTTATTCATTTGAAGATATGAAACAGCTAATAGTAAACGGTTTAATTCTTAGCATTTTAATAACTGAAAGACCAGGGTTCGGCTGAGTAAAGCACAAACGTCAGGTAGTTTATTATCTTAGACAAAAATGTATAGAGGAGTAACATTTTTTCCGACCACACACTCAAACCCCACATTCGATAATACTAACTACTGGACCAGCGATGCAGTTAAACAATGATTATGGTAAATTCATTCATAATTGTAAAGGATACTGCGAATAAAGACATTGTAATCAACTACAGAATACAATGAAGAATACCTACATTATATACCTTCCATTATCATAGTTCATTTGAACCATAGAATCCAATTGCGTAAATTTTAAGAAAAATCAAAATAAGTGAAGGTAGATATCGCTTAAACGGTACGATACAATTTTAAATACTTATTGCACGATTCTTCTTTATTCTACTCGTATAAACAATGTTTTCTAGTTAACTTACCTACCTACATAAACGTTTCGTCCAACAATAAATAAATTCGTCTAGTCACACTGGAATCTTGGGCCAAGACGTAGAAAGTTTCGTTACTGAATCTAGAATATTCGATTCGTTTTTATTTAGTGCATTTCAAATTTAAATAATAATTAAACAAACAGTCTATCCATTAATGAAATGTGGGGTCTGCGGACCCTAGAAACTGGGTCCAATGCGATGAAAGCATCGTAACCCAATCGAATGCATTATCCAACTTTATTGAATTTACTATATTAAAATACCTATTATGTGTTACAATTGTTTTTGAGTAATTTTATCCCTTTGAAGAAAGCCTCTTTTTTGCCTATTTAAAGTTAAATTACACCGCGTAAGTAATTGTGATGACATGTTGACTGTCCTTAGATAAATAACAAAAAAGCTGCCCCCAAATGTGTCTATATATTTTTGTTTTTGACTACTTTGCCACCCTTCGTGTATCATTTATCAATATTTTATTAAAGAATATCTTGTCTTATTTCTTTTTTACGTGAACATAAAAATAAGCTTTGTTTTATACTCGCATTGAGCGTTTTTAAATGTCCAGAGAAAACAAAAGTAATCTCCGGTGTACGATTACAATTTGCCACTCTTTTAAAAACAAATTATCCACCAGTTTCTCTCTATTGTGGAATCAGAACTAATGAGTTTATAATAGAGCTTGTTCTAATGACGTACGCAATCGGTTGCTTATACTTGTCTGGTGTTTAAAATAGCCAAGCGTAGTTCTGATACACGTTTAAACTTAATTTCACCATGAAATTATGGGATAATTAAATTACCACCCGTTACTAGACATTTTTATACAACGTCATAAAAATAAGACGTCGACTACCATTAACTTTCTTAAGCAATCTTGTTACATATATCTATCGCTAAACTTGCTTTTTAGTAGCAAACTTTGAAATGATTTGAACTGTAGATATGAACACACCTCATGGAGTTCTGCCCACGTCGTAAATTTTATCAATTTAAAATCGATTTGTAAGTCTTTTAAGTTAAAACTTAAACATGTTATTTCATAATATTGAGAATTGTAAGGGATAAAATTTTGAACCAGATATTATAAAGGAACACGGATTATTACACCTGTGTCCTTTTATATTTTAAATATTTATTACTTAATTTAAAATAATAGTTTCGATCAAACAGGGCACAGAGGTCTGATGAATTACTTGCACCACAAAGATGAAATGGGATACCATAAGAAAGGCTACCATAAGTAGCTATTACCGTGCCATAAAAGAAGTTTGAACAATCTTCTCTTTATTTCTATGAACGCTCAAACTTCTGTTGGCTATGGTATGGTTCTACGCTTCCTTTTCCAAGAAAGGTTTTAAATTGCAATTCGAGAATGATTATTAAAATATGCTCACTGCCTTTAAACGCTAAAGAGTAAAGGGACCACTTTCTTTAAGTATACTTTCACTATTGCCGAAGCTTGCGCTATAGGTAATTACGAGGTTCGAAAAAGTAACGCTTACATTCACTGTTAAATGCTGAATAAGCAAAATAATTTAAATAAAACACTTTGACGGTTTAAAACGCGATATATATAAGTTAAACTTATTTGAAAATTATTTTAACTTCGGCCCAATGTTTCGGATGCTTTGCAGCAGCCGTGGTCCGGGGAGACAATATCACACAGTATCGTTAAAAGTGTTTTATTGAAAGGAAAATTATTTTATGAGTACGCACGGTTTTAGGTCACAAATTATTATTACACCTGTAGATCTTTAGATGGCTGATAAATACTGAATACTTGTTCCAGATCTTAAAGACAAAATGGAGACGATGTTTCTCAACATAGCGTTTCAAGCAGAAGTGAACAGATCAGAAGATCCAGATTATGAGGAGGTCGCGCGTCGAAATTGTAATGAAGACCCCAATACTAGGAAGACGGCTATAGAGGAACTTAGAAATATGATATATGGTAAGCTATATTAATTTTATAATTTTTTAAAAGACCTAGTTGACGTCGTGAAGGTAGTTAAAGATATCGTTGAATTTTCGACATTTATTAGTTTTTTTTTGATAGATGTAGACATGTTTTCCACTTGATGGAAGGTGAAATACCCCAGCTATATAACATTTATCAAGATGCGTTGTCGACCTATTTTAGCTTTGATTATTCGAAATAGGTATAACAGATGTCTCATCTTATGAACAGTTTGGTAAACTTGTTTACTCGTATAGTAAAAGTAAACAGTTTATTTAAATAAAATAATAATCAAAAAAATCATATACATAATAGACAGACAGCAGGTGAAAGCACAATTTTGATCATAGTCTGTAATCCATTTTTATGATTGCAGAAAGAGGTCAATGTACACCTCGTCGGATGGATGACGCCTATCTTCTACGCTTCCTACGGTGTAGAAGATTCATACCAGCGCTGGCGCATAAACTTGTACGTAATGATTTGACTTCATTTCAATTATAACAAACGGGCCCAGAATTGACTGAATTATCAGTCATTGTTAAGAGTATACAGTTCTTCATAATGGCTATAGAGTAGCCAAATGGTTAAACGTCGCCTAACATTGCGTTAAGCATGGCAGGTCCTGAATTCGAATCCCTGGCAACAGAATAGGTTCGTTCGGGTAGGGCAGAGAAGTCTGCCCAATTACTTGCCTGATAACAGAACCGATTAGTGAAACGGACACAGAAATGTGTTTGTCTGGTCATTTCGAAGCACGGTTATCACCACTATTTTCTATACCAGGAATCGCTTCAAAGTTCAAACACTCATTTCTATATAACGAATTAACATTTTAGGAGAACATTCGTAACACATGTAAAACCGTTAAAGTTACAGATAGTAAAGTTCTGTCTTTTTATGAGACCCTGATAACTATTTTACAAACATTGTTATGACGTACGTAAAACTGTGAACAGTGTCGATACATAGCCAACCAGTCATTAACCGTAACAGACCTTGACACCCTTTCCATGCCAGGTGCATATTGTGCACTGTACGCCATCGCAGAATCGATTTAGCTTCCACATCACTTTAAATTTCAAGCTTTATTCACGCTGTTCTTCTTCACTAGTCCTAGAACAAGTCATAGGCTCCACCTACATTGCAGCACAAATCCTCGTCTTTTAAATAAGACACTAACGGTTTAAAAATAAATATATTATTAAATTATTTTTTTTTTTTAACTACGCCCATTAACTAAGTCATACATAAGCCAACAGTCATTAACCGTAACAGACCTTACACCCTTTCCATCCAGGTGCATATTGTGCACTGTACGCCATCGCAGAATCGATTTAGCTTCCACATCACTTTAAATTTCAAGCTTTATTCACGCTGTTCTTCTTCACTAGTCCTAGAACAAGTCGTAGGCTCCACCTACAGAATTGCAGCACATATCCTCGTCTTTTAAATAAGACACTAACGGTTTAAAACGCATAAATATATTAGTTAAACTTATTTGTTTTTTTAACTACGGCCCGACGTTGAACTAATAAGTTTAATAATATATTTTGCGTTTTTTACCGTTTATTTAAATGTGTGCTGATCGCGTAAACTATGGGCAGAGGTTAAGGTATATCCTAGTCTATCAGTGCTTCTAAGGTATTTTTTGTGTATCTTAGTGTCTCATTTAGTAGTAGTTAAAGATAAGTAAATTAAATCAGTTTAGGAGATATTTTTAGCACTTAATGCCAATTACATTTTTTGTTGAAGACGCCCAAGAGAACAACGCCAAACATATAATTTAAATAAAGACTTTAATTATATATATGTTTATTATGCAAAATCTTCTGCGCAAATTAATTTTTGTGTTGCTTCTTTTCCTCGTTTTTTGATACATCAGTACCAACTACTTATTAAATGCAATTTTTATCTGTAAAAATAATTCTTTATGTTTTCCGTCCGTTTAAAGATGAAGTTAATATGAAGTTGCATGGTAGTGATGTGAAATAATCAACAAAGAGCTCAACAATTTTTATCGTGCCTCGGCAAGTATCTCACAATCACCTTTTCGAAAGACCTTGTTAACTTATTATTGCAGTAACAAAAGAAAATAGAAGTAGAGACCGTTAATTGCCTTGAACGAGTACAAACACTTTTAGATGCAGAGATATTTTTACAATTTATTTTTAAACGGTATTTAAAGTTCACTATTTGTACAAGAATAGAGTATTTATTATAATAGCTATGTCAGCGACTTCGTCCGCGAGAATCGTTATTTTGGGCATCCAAATTCGTTTTTGCAAACCCCTTCATCTTTATAAAGTTAAGCTGTTACCCACGACGTCGGTCGCGTCCCTTCCCGTCGTTTTTGCAAGTTAATCTTAAAAGCAAGAAATATAGCATCGTAGACTTTTTTTAGATCCTTTAAAGAGGAATCAATCTCTGCTACATGTTTTTTGGGTATCTCGAACCGTTTTTGCAGCGTACGTGTCGGAAACCCATAATGATAAATAATTTTCCCAATTTTGTTCACATTTCTCGCTGCATCTTCGCTTGTATTAGTCACAGGGCGATGTTAGCCTATAGCCTTCCTCGATAAATGCTCTAACCGACACAAAAATAATTATTCAATTCGAACTCGTAGTTCCTGAGATTAGCACGTTCAAACAAAATCTTCAGCTTTATATTTGTATAGATTGAGAAATAAGACGCTAAAGACATTAAAATAAAAATGTCTTTGGCATTTCTTAATTGTTCAAGTTTCGTACTATAATGTAGATAATTACAAACCCAGCGCCTAAACTATTCTATTAAAAATATCAAACAATATATATTTATGGGATGATATAAATTATAATTTAAATGAGCTGAGATGGCATTCTGAGTTTGGTAGATCTTAGCAAACAAATAACGATAGATTTTTTATTTTTAATCTTGACCCGAAGACATAAAAAATTGACATACTTCAATGGTTACCATGTTGTTCCATTGAGGTATAGTGAGTTAAAACTATCGCTACTGAATTAATATAACGATAGTACCGAATGTATATTCAATAAACTGTAGAAAAAAATATACGTCAATAAATGCAATTTGTGTTTTTAATCTTCATTGATTTCTTTCCAATGTGATAAAAGAATATATGCCCATCCGTGGGACATAATAATTATATAACATTAATAATTCATTCTCCAGATGATTCGTTACGAAGACTTTCGTCGAAAAAATGCGTATTTGTACGATTGTAGCGCGTTTGGTTTACAAAGCGTGAAAAACGTTTATGGAGGAACATTGCCGGACAGTCCGGTCAACGGACGCATTACGCTTATGAGGTTCGGTGAGTTCTTCTATATTGTCCTTTACATTAGCAATAATTACAAAAGTTTTACAAGCACTTGGCTGAGTTCCTACAACCAAGATAGTCTTTCCTTCCAAGATAGTAGAAGTAATTTCACTTGTAAGATCTTTGTGTTATTTTCGTTCGTTAAAACATAGAGATTTATTTATATTGTAAAACTATAGAAAACATAGACATTCTGCTCCTTGATCTATCAGTAGCAATATATCGCTAATAATCATCAGGTAGTAGGTCCAATCCCAACCGACTCCAACATGTTCCTAATCAATTTATATTCCGTCCGTGCGTCGCACGCATGGGCAGCGTATCTTATTTCAATGTAAAAGGGCTGGGGCAATTTACCTTCCAAGCGAACTCTACGCTTATCTATTCTCCTCTGTCATAAAATAAAATAATATAGGAAAAATCTATTTTCTAAAAGTTTTATTTTCTACTTTATTACAGGAAGATGGAACTCCGAAGAAGTGCCTATTGAAGACGTAGTCCGCTGCGCATTAATAATGGATGAAATAGCAGCGATGCAACCGAGACTGCAGATCCTCGGCGTCACTATTATCGTGGACTTGGAAGGACTTGGAGTGCGACACGTCAGCAAATTAACGAGAACTGTAGCGAGCCAAATAGTTGCTTTGATGGGGGTTAGTTAAACTGATACAAGCGCGGCAGGAAAAGCAAATCAAATCGGCAAAAAATTTAAGATTTTTTAATCTCTTAAAGCCACTTTATTTCTAAAGCAATCATTATTTAATGACCGTTAACTAAAACATAATGCATCAAACTTGCTTTATTATCAATTATGTATATACATTTAACTTATCTTTAATTGTTGAAAAATATTAACGTTTTAAAAATTTTAGCATTTCATTAGTTATAATCTATACTTAATAATTATAAAGCTGAAGAGTTTGTCTGTTTGAACGCGCCAGTCTCAGGAACTGCTGGTTCGAATTGATAAATTCTTTTTGTCATGGTTAGAGCATGTATCGAGGAAGGCTATAAGCTTATAAAACATCGCGCTGTGACTAAGAGAAGGGAAGTGTTAAAAACGGGGAAAATTATCCATCTCTCTGGGTTTCCAAAGCGTACGCTACGAAAACGGTTCAAGACACCCAAAAAAGTTTTACATATATTGCAGCTTATTCGTTAATTTAAGTTTAATTAAAGAAACATTAGAACTGAAAATTCTGGAAATGGGTAAAAAATAATTATAAATATAAATAAATGACTATGTTAATTACTCTACTAATTCTTTTTTTTTAGGTGTCCTTCCCAATAAATATTCACGGAGTACACGTGGTGAACTACAACTGGTTCCTGAGCACTTTCTTCAGTCTCTTCAAGCAGTTCATTCCAACGGCCGCATGGGCGCGCTTACATTTCCATGGCTACGACATGAGTTCGCTCCATAAACATATACATCCTGAGTACTTACCCCCCGAATACGGAGGCCAGTGCCAACACGTCATCAGTACAGAGGAGTGGCTACGGAAAATCAATATCTACAAAGACGACTTCATGGTGGAAGAGTTGCGGGCATTGGGGTTCAAAGTTGAGAACGAGAAATGTGATAAATGGTATGATGTTTAAGAGAAGACACTATATTTGGTAATAAAGATATTATTATGAGGGTTGGTAAAATATCTACAAACATCATAATATATTGTTAGCTTTGACGGTACCTACTTACCTATGGAAAAAATTGCTTAACTATTCTAACGTAAGATCGCGTGCCTTGAACTAAAGACGATTGTATATGATTGACAATTGTAAAAACATGAATGATGTTAGAATTATAAATAATAAACGGTGACATTGAGGAGTTTATTGCGAATTACTATTTGAAAATTACCTATAGTTATATATTTTACACAATAAAATAGTATCCAACAATAAAATTATTTTAATTACAATACACTGCAGGATATTAAATTTATTCTCATGCATTAGAGAAATTTAGCTTCATGTTATTTTCTCTTTATACACAATTTAAACAATCCCTTTATTTCCGAACTTCAAACCTCTCATGTAACTTATATCTACAAATCTAAATAGTACGATTTTAGTCGTAATAGTACCAAAAATGAAATAAATCATATTTCACTGAGAAACAGAAAAGATACTTTGTTATCTAGTTAGCATTTCATTTAACCACGTTGAATTAACCTTTTTCTCCATACATTTCAAGGAATTTTATTTATAAAGGCTATTAAAACTCAAACAAACTTTATATGTGATTATTTCTAATCTATTATATCTTGTTTATGTGATGATTGCGACGAATTAATCAGAGTTAGAAAAATAATCAGGGAAGTAATATTTGCTATGGTGATTCCTTATCAATTCGTCGTCGACGTCATACGGTGTTTCATAGACACTCATTGGTTTTGAAAGTTCTATATCATTGAAAGGAATATTATTATCTATATATTCTTCATGGGTACTTTCAATAAAGGCATTCGTATATTTTCTAGGGCCTTGTCTCATGTGAAATGGCATTTCTTCCGTCCCGTGTAAAATGAGACTCATTTGTCCTATTTCTCCAAAGTTGCCTTCGCTCGTCTGAAAAATACATATTCGAGTGAAAAGGATTCTATTGTACCATGATAATATTAAATCTGTTTTAATTATTGGTATCAGTGCCATCTAGGGGCAGGTGTGTGTAAATATAAATATTAAGTACTTAATAAATTCGTGTTCTCTTCGATTTAATTATAGTCTATATTTCAATTAAATCTATATTCTGATTAAACTATATTTCACATACACAGCATAATATTCAAACTCACTAAATCTTGTATGACGACAGTCCAGCGTCCATTTGGGTCTTCACCCCAGGTAGCCACAGAAGTAAGGGGCCAGTTAACAAAGCCAGCATTAGAAGAATCTTTTGGTCGAGGACTCAGTAGTTGTACTTTGGTTCCTAAAATAAAAGTTTAATTCATTCGTATCGTAAAAAATATTTAAGGTAAATATTTACCTTAAATATTTTTTAACAACTTACCTAATGGAGAATCCAAATAGACTCCTAAAGCTCCTCTCCGCGTGTATTGTATGTTTATTATGAGTTCTACGTGCTCCAAGTGCTTAACGTTGCATTTGACATTTATTGCTATTTCTATAGATTTAGCACCAAAAGATGAAATTTTGTTATTTTCAATGGGCCTAAAATAAAAAAATCATGTCTACAATGAATTGACACAAGTATCATACACACAGAACATGTCAACAAGCACAGAATAAAAAATTGCCTCTAAAAAATAAATTACGCCATTTTTCATAGAATGCGAGTCTGATGTAACAAACGTCTAAAGTACTAGGGCAGCATATTTACTCGAGAGGTCGCTCGCATATTTGCTTTTGTGGTACTGTCGTCCAGTTCAAAGCTGTTGCGATGAGCGCGCCCGCGTTGAGTAGACCAAAACCAAAACGAACATCGAAACGTAGTCCAACCCTGTACATATCAATATATTTTAAAGTGACACAAAAATAATTACAATAAAATATATATTAAAAACCTACCCGTTTACTTGCCATCCATAGTTCGCTGACAGTGGAGAATACTCAGACGTCCATACAATTAAGTGTTGAACATCTCTCCATGTTAGCTTAGGACTAAAGGAAAATAATATTAAACTATAGAACTAAAGATATATTATATTGATATATTTACTTTATAGCATACTTTGCTTGCAAAGCTAAAGCTATAATTCCCGCTGCCAGTGGAGCAGCGGCCGAGGTACCAGTGTGACCGAGAGTGCACGAATCGTTCGTATCTGTTGTCACCTGAAACAATTGAATATAGACATCCCTTTCACTCTAGCGTGTGTAAGTACGAGAAAGCAATAGATGTGATAATTTTATTATCTCAGGTCGTGAAATACGATATTTTGAATTGAGTTTTATGTGAAATGATTTTGTTGTTATGAGAATACTATAGAGTATCGTACCTATATTACTTATTTCGTTTATTTGTTATTAATTTACATAATATGTAAATTGAATAATGTAGACCTATTAAGTATAACGCGTCGTTTATTCTTATGTTTGTACCTACGTTATAAGACTTACTATTTTTTGATCCTTGTAAGCACCCGAAGAATATGCTGTTGCAAGTGTTGAAGAACATATCTCACCATACCAGGGAAATAAACCTTGTTGTGAAGCGCTCCCTATTGAAATCGTGTAGATACTGGAAGAATACCTGCAATAATTCCAAATTAAAAATTGAAAAACTTACCTTTTTACTTAACGAGGTGTCAAAGGTTTGAAATTGTAGACACTCTTGACATTAGGTAGTAAGTACATACCCAATTATTTAGTAAAATGTTATTTCACTACTTACCCATCACAATTGCAATTATCATTATGACGTCCACCATTTCCATTAGCCCAAACATATATATTGCCCTTTCCACCACGACCATGAGAAATTCCTCGCTTGAAGGCTTCCAGGGCAAGTTTTCCGGGGCCTTCAACGGTTTTACCATCATCGTTAGGACCCCAGGATGCACTGTAAATGTCAACCTTATCCCAGGCATAACCTGAAATTAGACAGATTTTAGCTTAAATGTCCAGGAATTTATTTGCATACAAAAAACTAACGCAATAATATAAAAAGGGAAATAATTGTTATTTACTTCTACTTATGTATTTATTCCTAGTATCGAATGACGTAATGCGGCATTAAAATTGTCGTGAGGCGGACGAATATTTCGTTCGTAGATTGTTCTTTTAATCGTTTATGGATTCCTAGTAACGTTGGTCACCATTGTTGTGTGGCCGCCATTGGTCCTTCGCTATTAATTATTTATTTATTGCGAATTGCGAAATAACCCCCCTTACTATTTTCTTACATTACTCCTAAATGAATATATAAGGAGTAGTTTCATTATAATAATAAAGGTAGTTACTCGTTACTATTTAGTATCTACTTATTATATAAGTTGTGTAAATGTAGTAAGTAGTTAGTGCTTATTTGTCGTCTACTTTTTAGACATTTAGGTTCCAGTCAAAAATAACCTTTTTTAATTGTTTTTTTTTTGTATATGTCTTAACTTCAGTTGAAAATAGTTTAAGCAACTAGAGCTGAAGAGGGAAACGAACACAAGAACAATAAAAAAAAATTGCCAACATAACATATTCGGTTCGACTTCACTTGGCAATCATTTATACCAGGGTTACAGTAATATAAGGAAACCGAAGACACGCTGCATAATTAGGTACCTATTGCTTCTCCTTCTACACGATCTGTGATTCGTCCGTCGAGCATTCTAACCCCGCCTATTTTGGCTTGCCAGGCTACACCTACACCACATTTTCCGTTGTTAGCCTTCATTGCTATCTACAAAAAAAACCTTGTTTACTTTTATTTTCGATGCTAAAATAAAAAAATTGAATGTACTAAAAAAATCATTTTATATTGATTGATAGATTGATCCTAATCCTACCTCCCCGGCACATCTCGTTCCATGAGAGTTACGATTTTGTTCATCAGGCCTCGGGTACGGGTCAGAATCTTGGTCATTGCAGTCCCAACTGATTTCTTTATCCTAGAGTCATACAAAAAATTATGAGATAAAAAATAATTATAGTGAAATGGGCTTATCATTTCTTTTGCTACAAAAGATTTCGCTAGAAACAAGAAGATTTTTTTTTATAAAAAATCCCCGACGACGACGCCGCCACACCGCTGCGCCGGCCTATCTGCTAGACGCGCGTCATCGACCGCGACATGAGCTACGCATCGGCCGCGAAGTTACCAGGGGTATAGAAGTTTTAAAGAGATCGTATTTCTTTGATGTCTTCTTTATTTATGAGCCCTTTTGCAAAAAAAATATTTTTTTATAAAATTAGGAAGGAATCGACCGCCAGGCGTCATTTGTGTTTTTTTTAGGGAGGAGCTAGTTAGTTCGTCAAGTCAAAAATAAACTACGATTTGTCGAATAACTTTCCTATAACCACCAGGTATGTATAACGCAACAAGATGTGATCCGTAGAATACAGATCTTGTTTCATACGAATAAAAGATCTTTTCCGAAGAGCAAAATTCATACAATTTGACAGATACGAAAGATGGCTGATCAACGTCGGTTATTTTTTTTTGTTTTGCATATGATGATAAGGGACTCTAGGATATTTTCTTAATATAAATGAGTATTTTTAGTTATTAATAAATTTATCTAACTCACATAGTTTTCAACAAGATCTGTATGGTTATGTTCAATTCCATCATCCAATATCGATACACGAACACCCTGGCCATTGAACCCCCTAGCATACACCGGCAGGACATTGAGGTCAAGTCGTGGAAGACCTTCGGCAGCCCGGGTGTCTTGCTGTGAAGTATGTTAGTTGCTATAGACCATATTAAATTTGACACGGAGTTTTAATAAACCTTAATTAAGTGATATACTTTACAAAGTAGTGTAATACATTACAGCGACAAGGTACATTCGCTTAAAGACAAAATAACTATAAATTATTACATAAATTCAATGTCAAATCTTTAGGCTTGAAATTAAATTATTTTATTTAGGTTATGGATAAAAAAGATTTATCAAGATTGTTTTCTTCTTCAAAACATGTGACTAAATTTAAAACCTTTAGAACCATCTTGTATACAACGCCATCTTCTTTACTTACCAAATACCACTCATAACTCCATAGTTCATCGTTAAACAATTTGTGATGAATATTATTTTCACTAGTTATCTCAATCGAATTGCTGTTTGCATATTCTTTCCTCTTTACTCTGTTTAATTCTTCGTCAGATTCAGACATTGGGTAACGTTTGGCGCGTTTTTTACTAAACAGCTGCTCCGCCCATCTTATCTACACATAATTAGTAGGTATTTTAAATAAATAAACAAGTTCTTGCTAGGAATTCTGCGTGCAATGTAGATACTACGACATTATCTAAAATCATATGATAGTATGGAATAACTTTATTAAAAGTTAAACGGTACGTTTCTGCAATATGGTTTCATACTAAAGTATTATTAACATTTCCATAATATTAAGTATACTACTTTTGCCATAATGGCGCTTAATCGGTCTCTAAAAATATTAAAATTCCTGCCAACAAGTGTGTGAACATATTAATTAAAGCCTAATGCAATGCAATCTTAATTGTTATTTGTAAATTTTTACACTAATATACTTAGGACTTTTAATCTTATTTTAATCTATTTTTAATAATTATTAATAAATTTGAATGCAAATAAAGAAAAGTGATTTATTTCATTTTAACACAAATAGGTAACGCTTGAGACGACTGCGTAAAAAAGATTTGAAATAAAGCTAGCTCAAGTAAGCTACGATTGTGTGTGTCCAATAAGCACAATGAATTTTTTTATTTAACCAACTATTTGCAAAACATCCAAAACTAGTTTACAAACTTGCTTCTAGTTTCTTACTAGGAGCTTATAAGTAGTAAGCAGGAAACAATATTCCGAACTCACCCTTTTATCACTAGCCAGTATAGATGTGTGTTCATTTGGGGTGCGACGGTTCTTGTTATGTACCCTATATCCATATAAGTTAGGGAATCCAAGCACCTGAAAGTCAACTCAAAATACTTACATATTTCACATTTCAACGTTAGACGTATGAAATAAGTACTAGCTGGTAATTAAATAATAATGGTCGTAAGTAATAATAGGTATATATAATACCAGTACCGATAAATTTAGTATGCATAATAAATTAGAAGTAGAAATAGTTGGATTTGGAGTTCAACCTAGGTTTGAAATCTTTAGCAATGTTAACATTATAGGACTATAAGGTCTACTATAGTGATTCACCCCTCTTTTTTACTTGTTCTTATGTGGGCCTCCTATACTTTTCTCAGTTCCTGGTCGTTGACGTTTAAAACAATGGGATGTAGGCGGCACCCTAGACAATTATAGTCACGGCAGAGCCATTTTAATTAATTACATGTGTTTGTTCTTTCTTTAGGTTTTTATTAATTAATACTTGTCACTGTCTCGTGCTTGATGTTAAATTTAAAAAATAGAACTTAAGTTCTATTACGACTTAAGTCGCGACTTATTCCAAAAAAAGTGATTGAAAATAAAAGTTTAATTTTTTTTAATTGTTTTTGCAAGTTAATGTTTAAAAAATGTTTTAAAAATCGTTTTAAAAATAATTTTGATATTGATAGATTATCCATTTGCCCATACAACATAAACACAAAAAATAAACACTTAAATGATAATAAATATATGCCTGTAATGTTTCCTTACCGTTCGTCTAAGACGCTGATTAGAGCCACATTCCTATAACATAACCGCGTAGCGTGTGAAGCACGAACGTCACATGGCATCATGTGAGTTTCCCGAAACACGTATGTACTAGGATACTAAAAATGGTGAGGAGCGAACCAAACACGTGTGTAGAACGCGCGGAAGGGTTGACTCGGCGACGGTACTCGTCGGTAAGATGGGGGATGTGGATCATATCAGTATTTTCATGTTGGATGAACAATTAATTAAATTGAATCTATATATTATGTTATAATATATTGATATTTCCATAGATTGTATTAATATAATAGTTGTAGTACGGCATTAAAACTACTACATAAGTCCCTATTTATACAATAGTAGTAAGATTTTTTAGTTATAGAATGAAGAATGAATATGATGAGGCCAACACTTATGTGAAAGGCACTGATTTTGGAAGATAATAAGACTTTGTGCCCTGCCCGACCGAAAGATATTGTATGATTGTTCCTTTTTAAACTATAAAGGCTGTTAATATATAATAATAAAGACTTGAAATTTTTTATTTTTTATAACGTTGGTTCAATGAAAGCAACGTATCCCTTATGTGTTGGGGGTTGATTCCCTTCAAGTCCCACAGCAATCTATAATTATTCTAAATTATTTATATTTTAGACGCGTATGACACTTTAAGTGGGTGATAGGTAAATCGAAATTTCGCCCGATCACGGAGTAGTCAGTTGTGAAATGTAGTCAAACTTCAGTTTCAGTCAAACTTCCGCATGTTCAATTCTGAAATAAATCGGATCTGCTAGGACATGTCAATATGTATGGATATGTATAAATGTATCTACATACTGTGTACGGGTTATTGCTTGTATTTACAGAATGCCTTATTATTGAAGCGCTGAAAAACATCTTTTATAAGCTTAAGTCCCTGTACAGATGACACTGAAATCGTCGATGGTGTCGACTACCAACCCTGATTTTGTACCTAAACGGGACTCAATATTAAGACCTCAATGTTTGTCTGTTTGTCTGCGTCCAGGAAGCCACTAGACCACTTCTAACCCTTTCAAGCCTTTTTTTACTTAGATTATTAAGTTGCCTTATACTAACTTTACAAAGAGTAACAATATAAGAAGTAAAAACATTTTCTTATTGGTAAATTGCGATTTTAATTCTCATCTCGTTCCACTTTGCAGGTCAGTCTAGTACAGTTAACGTTTGTGAAACTTGACGTAAATCTAGTTACTCTTGTTCTTTTATTTATTTCGAGCGTGGGAGCGTCTTCTGATAACAATTTCGATAAAAATAGCCAATAACGGTAGCAACTGAATTAATTATTATTCTGTGCTTGGATTTTATGGTCATTATCGCGATTTTCTAGGCCCGTAATAAATAATACTATAGTACTAAGTATACTAGTAGTTAAATATTCATATTCTGTTGTTTGTTACTAAGTAATATATATTTAATTATTTAGCTTATAAAAGCTCTGTAAGTTTTCTGTTTGTGTAACAATTGCGTAAAAATAAAGAAAGCTATAATTGGAGAAGTAAATGTCCAACGTCGAATTGAGACAAATCGTCGCAACTAATTCCCAACATTAGTCACGATTACTGTGCGTCTGTCAATACGATGTTAAATGTATATATTTCAACAAAAAGCACGTTACCAGGAACTATCAAAGATATAATAATGTTTACTTAAGTTTACACCAAAAAACAAAAAAATCACGAATTCTGTGTTAGTGTATTTGTGTGTTATTTTTTTTACTGACTTCGCTATCTGTCTGTCCGTCTCCAGGCCACCGTAGAACATTTTATTTTGATAAAACAGACAATGAGGTTCTATTGATGATACGTGAAATACCTCAGCCAATAACAAGTGTGTTCACCCTATTTTGTCTTTGGATATCCGAAAATCCGCAGACTGAAACCGAGTCGCGATTAAACTAGGCTTTTAAAACACTTTAACGGTTTAAAACGCAATATATTTCGGATGCTTTGCAGCTACCACGGCTGCTGCAAAGCATCCGAAACGTCGGGCCGAAGTTAAAAATCATATTTAAATAAGTTTAACTAATATATCGCCTTTTAAACTGTTAAAGTGTTTTATTTAAATGTGTACTACTCGCGTAAACTATAGACAGTATTCAAACTAGGCTTTTTCATCTGGTGGTTTATGACACGGACAGTATTTCGATATACCTAAACACCCATTTAATATCCAGATTTCCAGACGAAGTGTAACATGTTTCAGATTACTTATATGTTTAAAAAAAAATGTTGGACCCGGTGTGCATCGAACCCACGACCCGTTAACTTTACCTATTAGCCATATAGTACTACCATTACACCGACGAGCAAACACATGAAATTACCATGAAACACTTAGGTATATCAATGATTCGTTAGTAGGTGTTCACGTCAAAATAGATAGCAAGTTTTAACAAAAAGTTAATAAATTAATTGTCACCTTGTGACGCAATAACTTTCAGATTGATAACGCTTAGTATCACAGCTTATCAGTGGCCACTCGATACGTGACGGCATCGACTTTGATTTAGGCAATAACACTTGACAATATATTCATGAGTGTACTTGATGTCAATTAGGTATTTCCTTTAGCAAAGATTTTCCACGAAAATAATCCCAGTTTACCTACGCGGGACACGGCTTAGACTAATGTATGTGTAGATCGTACAAAGTAGAATCTACAGCACTCTTCTGCTCTACCTCAACGAAATTATTATGTTTTTTCTTGAAATTGATTTCGAGACGTGTCGCATTACACGCAATGCATTCAATGCAATAACCAAGCAGTTAAAAATACGTTCTTATTAATAAAAGCGAAAAATAAACTATTATATAGTGTTGGTACTCAATATAAAAAACATCCTTTAGTAGTTTGGGAGCTTTCGCAAATTTAATTGAATCTTTATACTTTAAGCTATACCTTCCAATCGGAAAGCTTTATCGAATTCGGTTTTTCAATTACGATAAAGCTTCTTTAAATTAAAAGCGACATTATGATTAAGTGAATTTAATTTAGTACATTGATTGAGGTTTTGTGTTGTCTATTTTTAATGAAAACGTTGAGACCAGGAATTGATAAGTATAATTTACAATTGATCTTTACATATATGTACTAAAAGAAAAAAGTTTGTAGAGAAGTAAAAATCGAATGAAAATAAATAGACAAAATAAGAAAAAAATATATAAGTTACAAATATTAAAAAACTGCGATTAAAAAATAAAATACACGAGTGAACATTATTTACTATACGAACATAATATTTTATTGCATTTTTAATGATTTTGTAAACGAAATCCGTAAATTAATAATATATATTTTAAATGTTTTTATAAATCGTGTCTTTTTTGGTTCCATCGGATGAAAATTTGTATTTAACTTGAATTTAAGCTAAAACAACATTGCAAATATTTTTTCCTTGTTAGTTAGAACAATACGTAAATGAATTATGCTTTAGAATATGTTACGTAGACACCTCATGTTCATGACGAATATAATATTATTTAGTTCTTCTTACCGGTCCGTCATACTCATATCCTAGTTCCAGTGCTACCAGCTGCGCCACTTCTTCACCACCAGGTACCTCCACAGTCCATTCATCTATAAAATCCTTGGAATTCCCTAACCCATTATGCACTCCGTGATAACCATAATTTCCTAGTACCCATTCATAAGAAGCAGTCGTGGAAATTAATGTTTTTATAACAACCAAACAACTTACTACTTCGGCTAACATTTCAGTAAGAAATGTTCGCGTAAAAAGTTTTTTAAAGTTGTGGAGTCGATCAATGGAACCGTCCGACTCGTTCAGGCATAATACCTGAATGGAGCTTTGTAAGCTCGGTGCGAGAAATTAGTATGACGATAAAAAAGATTTTCAGGACCTTACTCACTCGAAAAAATTTGATAAAGAATAGAAAAGTATTTAATTCTATCTGCTTACTTTTTTAATTTATAAGTCAAGACAGATATTTTTAATTTCTCTGTACTAATAGGCACGAGAAATATTTTCTAGATGTTTTCATACCTTTAAAAGAAGTTAGATACTCATCTTCAAATCTTAATTCATACTCAGTAGTAGAAGTCCTCAAAGTAGTTTATTAAATAAACTTTACTTATCACTTTTCCTTGTATTCCATCTATTCAATGCGTTATAAACTAACGAATTACTGAACCGATTTTTCTTAAGCGAATATTTCTCCACAATGCCAACAGATGGCGCTTTACAAAAGCATCTGAAAATATTAGAAGCGCAAACTGCACAGCACAGTCATCAAACTATTTTAGGTCGTTTGTTTTTCTATGACGTTACCAAGCTGTATATTAACACTAACAGTGGGTTAGTAGAACAAGGCCTCGAGTAATTTTAGTAAATAAATGCCTGTATAGCGTATAAACATTTATAAACGTAATATGTTTCTTTGTTGCTGGCTAATACATGTATGTTGAAAATATTAAAACTTTTTGATCTCAAGACAGACATAGTGGGACCCTAAGAATTCCTTCTGGGCCTTTTTAGAGCCCCCACACGAACCTACGCACATCCATAGCGTTTAGCTGGCTACAATGGCTGGAATGGATAGCCTATGACCGACAGACTGCTAGCTGGGAAAAAGAACTTACCTGTAAATAATAATCAAGTGAAAGAGCCACAGAAATATGTGCGCCCCGTGCTCCTTATAAGGCGAATGTTTACATTACCTTTTTTCAAATTCCCATGATTGGTTGTATTTCGTTGTTTAGACTTGTGTAAATGCACTTATAAAGTGACATATTTAACAAACGCTTCTAGTGATTCATGAGACCTAAATAAGGAGTTAGCAAGAGCACATGTACGATGTAGGGGCCGTTAAAATTTAATGAAGCAATCTACGTTAAAAGCTAAGTCATCGTGAGAGAATGAGAGTTTATGTATGTTAATCAAATGTGAATTGACACTATATTTATTATTGATGTAGGTAGGTATTCTTAACAATAATTTAATTACCAGTTTCGGTATACAAGAATACAGCTAATAACAATGAATAAAAAGTTTTTTTTTTTTCAGATAAAAGACGAAAGGCGAACGTGGGTGTGTCAGCGGAGAGTAATTTTTGTCTAAAGCTTTAAGTAAATATTAAGCTGACTTATTTACTTATTAATAAGTAAAAATAATTGGTGGAACGAAGTAAGCTATGTACTAGTAGTATTTAAACCCTATCTGTGGGAAAAAAGTTAGTAACAGTGTTCTGAAATAAATAAGAAATATACGAATATTATTAAAAAAATAGGCACCATTTACTTTTAAAGAAATACAGGGGAATTCTGGCTCCCCATAAATAAAACGCAACGAAGTTCAGATAAGGCAGCCCACATACTCATCAATGAATCCTGCAATTAGGCTGGGTACACACCTGCAAGTAAATTAATAAATCCATATTACAATTTAACTAATTATCCAATTCATCACGGTCTTTTAAGGGAACTATTTTTATACGATTTGCATTTAACTTATAGGTTTAGAAGTTCTGATAAATATAAGTAAAATTGTATTTAAAAATAATGAATAAAACTTGTAATCAATATTTGACGTGGCTCGTGTGTTTTTCTACTTAATTCTGAAGCTCGTTGAACTTCGTCTGGAAATCTGGATATTAAATGGGTGATAGGAAGATCGAAATTTCAGCCAGTCCATGAACCACCGGCCACAGGTGAAAACACTGTCAAGCTTAATCGCGTTTCGATTTTAGTCTATCGGTTTCCGAGTATCCAAAGCCAAAAGAGGTTGATAGTGTATCTAGTGTGGATGTTACATGTCTGGGGTGTTCCACCTGCCATCAAGTGAACGTGCTTGTCTGTCCTCCTTCATCATGAAACATAACTTGGTAAATTGTTGTGTCCAGTCTGTTCTTAGCTTAAAAGTTTGAGATTCAGTGCGCGAACGCATCTGCGCGGACGCAGTCACGATGCGTGCGCCGCTCAGTCCCGCGGCCTTTATCCTCCTCATTGTTTATCCACCCCCGGTACTTTCCAGCCCACAAGAGGCTGGGTACTATGCTGAAGATGGTTATCATGACGACATACTTGATGTGTGAGTTTTAGTGATAGTGTATAGTGGCTAGGACTATAGTATTAGTGAGTTAACAAGAATCGTGTTTCGTTCCCTTATATTTTTCGTAATAATTGTAACATAATATGTTAGGTCTATTTTAAATTATTAAATTTAGCACTATTACATTTGAAAACTAGCTTATTTTTCACGCGAAGCTATACATTTATTTGAAAAATAAAACAATCATTTAAATAATTTAAATTAAAGACGAGAGCAATCCTTTAAACAATAAAATTGAACATTATCGGAAATCTAATCAGTTTAGAATTCTAAAATAGTTGTAATTTAAAAAATTCATAAATTAATTACATTATTACATTTCGTCAGTGCATTGCAATGCGATTCAGTGATAAGTCGTGGGTCAATAAACCATGTTTTATCATAAAATGTTAATTTATTGAATGTTAGAAGTGTTTAAATAAAACACTTTAACGGATTAAAACGCGATATATTAGTTAAACTTTTTTGAAAATGATTTTTAACTTCGGCCCGATGTTTCGGATGCTTTGCAGCAGCCGTGGTCACGGGAAGACTGTGTCAAATAAGTTTAACTATTATATCGCGTTTTAGACCGTTAAACTGTTTTATTTAAATATGTACTACTCGCGTAAACTATAGACAATGTTAGAAGTGCTTTGTTAAGGATATTAAAAAAACCATCAACTCTTAGATAAAGAATAAGCTTCCAGGAAGTAAAGTTACGTGTATAAATAGTGTCAATAGTATTATTTAAAATACAGTAAAAGGACAAACTTGTATACAATTCTACAGTCTACAGACAAGATATGTTTTAAATAATTCACACGTTTAGCTGAAACTTGTAACTGTCGTAATTTCCGGCATTTTTATTACGTGTGCGTCTGAAAATATATCAAGAAAATAATTTGTTCTCAACTAAATCACGCAGAAGACATGTCTAGTTTTAAAGTTATTTTATTATTTACGCAAACTTTACAAATAATACAAGTTTAATGGTTTAAAACGCAAAGTTTCTTGTTTATTAGAATAGAATTTCAACACTTATTCGGCCAGCCTCAATATTCACACATGACCACAGCACCCGGAAAACATATGAAAACCGGGCTTAAACAGTTCAAACTGTTTTATTTATCGATATAAATCATTCCATTTTTTAAGAAAGAAAAAATTAAAGAACATTTCTCAAGATCTTAAACAGATTAGGGTGAAAATAAAAAAGCCATTATTTCCAAGAACACAATTATTTCTATACTTTTAAACTGTGTTGATTAAGTCAACTGTGTTAATTATTTAAATACTTTGTAGCTATGCGCGTGGTTTAGTCTGCATACAAAATACGTTTTATTTTACAGCCCATCCATCACTTATCTTATTATGAGTATAAACACACTGCCTATCTAAATATAACTTCGTCCAAAGAGTGGTTTTAAATTTTACTCCGAGTGTTTTTTTCTGGCTGTACAATTTGCATAATAAAATTATAAATGTCACTCAAGACTCCAGTGGCGTAATTCGCGTCCCTGATCTAAGACAAGACGTCTATTTTTGATTCCTGTAATCTTATAAAAATAGATTATTCCGCTTCTTTTCGTTGTATGTTGCGGCCATATTTATTTATAAGCAATTTCAATAAATATACAAGACTGTTCAGTGGCGTGTATGTGAAAGACAGGGGCAAGATCCTATCTGGATATTACAAAGTTTAAGACAAAAATTAACTTAGGTATGTCAGTCGTAATAATATACTATTATAATATTAATTACATTAAAATAAACAATTAAATTAAAAAGTAGCTTATACTGCTATGGTACGCAAATGAGAGACTTATAGTTTGTTTATTATGACATGGGCGGGACTCAAACTGAACGACATCACTCAACCAGCCTTACTTTTGTTAAATGACATGTGAAATTTTTTTGTTTTAATTTGTATAGCTACAGAGTATTGTAAAAATATGTTTTCAATACGTTTATAAACTTGCCGGCAGTTCATAATTCGTAACAGACGCGCGGAAGCAATTATGTGTCTGTAATGATGGAAGTTCAGTTATGAGTTATTACATAATCCGTTGACCCGTTGCCTTCCGAGAAGCACCATCAATGCTTTATTTATAATATCCTTACGGGAGAGTTAAGTCATCCACAGTACATTTACTAACAGTAATACAAATGATGAAAATAACATACGAACATCGCATTTTAAATTATTACCAATATTCTCTTATAAACCACCAAGTTTCAAGCAACAAGGAGGAGATTAATATTTGCTATTCTATAATGTGTCAATTCTAATATGCAATAACTAAGGATAACTTACTAACAAAATGAATTCTTGTGAACAAATTTCGTGGGTGATTCCCATGATGTGATTTGTGAACTTTAGCATAGCTTTTATATTACTTTCTGGAAGTCTTAATACCAGTTGTGGAAGTATATATATACAATCAAACACGTACCTACAACGTACAGGGCATTGTATTCAAGGAACGGGTTGCCAAGTAATTTCGCCTCCTTTTGTTGAGCTTTGTAGACTTTTTTTTGTTAAAAATATAATTCCACTTAATACGTTTGATTAAAACTTCTGACGTAGGTACCTAAAAAGGAGGTATAAGCATTTATTTATAAAAATCAACATTATTATATTTAAGTATTGTCTGTAGTTTATGCAAGTAGTACGAGATATAATATTAAATTAGGTTAACTAAAAAGTAAACCATTAAATGTGTTTTGTCAAAATATTATATTTTTAATCCTCTTCAATAAAGAGTAAATCCTTTTTCTCCGTGTGGGAATTCGAGGTATGTATACATATTTCTGTGTTCCGTTAGAATTTTTCACAGAACAGTACTTTTTTTAACTTTTATGCCCTGCCCTATCTGTTACGTTAGGGTATTCTGCCCTATTTTTCGTTTTCCTAAGAATCGGAACGCAATGCGGTGGCATCATTAAATACGGTCGACTAAAACAGTAGGTAATTGTTTTAAGTAAAATTAAAATATATATATATATATATATAAGAAGAATATTTATCATTTTTATTTGTTTATTACAGCTCTATTATTTATAACACATACTACAAACTAGGAGAAACAAATTGAGAACCCGTTAAAGCATGTGGTAACATATTTCAAAGTGTTTTATTAACTATGTGTTATTTCCCAGTCTACGAATAACTTCGTTTACACGGAAGAAAAACGTTTGAAATAATCTCGTATTTTCCAGAGTTGATAAGCAGTCTATGTGTCCTACTGATAGAGTGTTAAGATCTCGAGAGACATGCAAGGTGGGAGGAGCGGATGTACAGTGTATACGACTGCATTGCTGCGAGTCGCACAATTTTATCGCTGGAAGGTGGGTAGCGAAACAAAAGATATAACACTGGCATATTGATTACTTTAAGTGTAGCTAATGTTTAAATGTCTCAGTTGATAATCACGAGGGAATTGTAATCAGTTGGAAGTACAGGCTAGATAAGATGTTTAAGTTCGACAAGGTTCACATGTTTTTAAAATATTTTTTTCTGAAACATCTTAGACTTCATCTGGAAACTCTGGACTGGCTTTACGTGGCTTAAAGGCCCAATGGGGACATGTCGTCCAGAATCACTGAGTTGCTCCAGTGCAAGCTGACAAGTCAAAACTTGATCATAGTCAATAAATTAGTGATGATAACCGAGACCATCGATCCATCTGATACAGTTGATGAACCTCCTTCTACTTTCATCTGCCCAAATTGAGGGATAGTGTACCTAAGATTTAATAAAAGTACTAATGTTAACACGACCCGGGTTTCGAATCCTGTACCTCGTAATCTGCAACTAGAGAAATAGTATTGAGGTTGAATTTGTATTTGTGCAATAAAGCTTACATGTCTATTTTAGGTGTATACCGAAATCAGTGGATCCATGCAGCTTGCGGCTATGTGAACAGGCTTGCGAAGTCAGAGAGGACCGTATGTGGTGCACTTGTCATCCGGGATTTATGTTCAGTGAAGACAACTATAGGAGGAAACGACAGCCCTACTGCATTGGTAGAATATTGATATGACTAAAACACGAAATATACCAGCTTAAAAAAAGGGAATTGTGTTTTCGTAGTCATGTAATTCCAACTTCATGTGGCATAAGTGCTTAAAAAAACATATGGGACAACTACTTAATTATGGCATTAGGATTTATGCGCCAAGTTGGCACTACATACATCTGTACAAGTAACAAGGGCCTAAAGAGAGGAAATTTAACATATACTTACATTTAAATTTACGAGACCACGTAATATGGACCTAAATTGATTTAAAAATAGGTAATAAATAATTCTTCAAGATGCGGAAACCATCACGAAAGAGTTGCATAAAATTGTGTATTATACAGAGGATTTGGTATTGTTAACATTTTAAAAAGTGGTAAAAAATTTCTTTAAGGATTCTCTGTACTTTATGTTAGAACATTACTACTGCCACGCGTATTAAAACCGTTATTTAAACATATTTTGTTTCTAGATATAGACGAATGTGTAGACAACAAGCCAGGTTGTGAACATAGATGTATAAACGATCCTGGCGGTTACCACTGCGAATGTGCACCGCCCTATTCTGTCGCTCCAGATGGGAGGAAATGTATTCCGCAGATCGCCGTCGCAGCCCCCGTAAGACTTTCCCCACCATGTTTAGCAAATAAATTCAAACATATTAAGTTGGTTTTAATACTACTAAAGAGTGTTAATAGTACATACATAATTGTCAATGTACTTATAATTCAAATTGCAAAATATCCGATGATAAATTTTAACTCAGTGACACTGGGTTTACTATCCACACAATTTGGATGAAAACCGATTTACCGACACGGTAGCTCAATTGGTTGCAGCAACAGCACGGAGCGCTGTGAATGCCGATTCTAGTCCTGCCCGTGTCGTAAAATCTATACAATCTAAATTTCATGAAACATGTTATCGTTTCGTAACAATAATAATACCTACTGAATTTATCAACACTTCTAGGAGCCCCTTCCCCTCGTTCGGGCAGCATCTCGATGTTACGCTCCGTGTGACACGGTATCTTGGCTATCGAGGAAAGTTAAGCAGCTCAATGACCAGCTTCATGCCACGCAATCTGCCCTGAGGAAACTGCTGGACAACCCAGTTATAAAGGGAGATGGTAAATTTAAAAGCAATTAGCTAATAATAATAATAAGCTCACGTGAACACGTACGTATGTGTCGCTAATTTGCCATGATTACCCCATGCTTGTCAATGTAACCATGGGAGAAGTTATAGCTTGTTCTTATGAACTGTTGGTAAAAAATTAGCCGTAATATATACTTTTTGCACGGATTTACGCGAGTAGTACAATTTCAACGGGTTTAAAGGCTAAATTTATAACTTAAACTTATTTACAAATTATTTTAACTAAGGTCACGGGGAGACTATTGATGGAGGTTGTCTCCAATGTCAAAGTAAAAACTGCTACGCTAGCGCCATCTGTTCCAACGTAGTTGACAACTGGTTGTAGAATTGACTGACGGGACCGTGGCCACGGCTGCTGTAAAGCATCCGAAACGTCGTACCGTAATTAAAATAATTTGTAAATATATTTCTATATATCTAATATTTTTCTCGTTCTAAACTGTTAAATTATTTTATTTAAATTTGACAGTATTGTTTTTAGGGGTTTGTTAATATTTAATTAAGAGTTCTAGTTTCCTATTGTTGTTTATAAGCGTATTTACCTTAGCTATAGATACAAACTACTTAATTTTCTTTACAGATGACGATAGATTCGCTGAAGGTACAAGATCTTACAGAGTGCTGGACGCAACTGCTCCGCTAGAGGGCGGGTATTGTCGATGCGAAAGAGGACCTAGGGTACGTATTTGAGATTATAGATATTAGGTAACAAATTAAGTTCTAACAGTTCATAATAGGATGCTCGACATTCATATTATACCATACTTTTTAAATTGGTGCAAGTGCAAAAATTATTCGCAAATAGGCATAATGCTCACAGTGTATATAATATTAACTGATAAACTGATAATAATATAAAACTCAAAAAGGCTAAAAAGTCCGTCATAAGACAAAGCTTTAAATCTTATCTAGATTTAATACAAACACTAATGACCAATATTTAACTACATATTTAAATATATCATTTAATTATCCATCCCAAATTATGTCTTTCCATTGTAAGATTTTTGCATGCTTTTTAGGGCCCACCTGGACCTCCAGGGATGGACGGCGCGAAAGGGGACGAGGGCCCGCGAGGCCCACGAGGTGCTAGAGGACCTAAGGGCTCAATGGACCTAATGCTACTTCTACTTGCCGACATAAGGCACGATATACGCAATTTAGAAGCCAGAGTGTACAAAGATGGGGAGAAGTAAGTAGCTATAAATCATTAGTAACTAATTTAAGTTGTTTGAGTAATTGTATCTATACACACGAAAACAATTTTTTATGCCCCAACTAACTATACTACGCGGACGAAGTAGCTGACAAAGCTAGTACTAATAATTATTATTATTATAACACTATGTATTTATCAAATGAAAATATTGTAGGCCAGAACGTTTTAATCTCCAAAAAGCTTGGCGACAACAAAAAAAGCAAGAAAAATGGGAGCGAGAGAATGGCACCCAACACTTGGAGGCGTACACAGCGCCATCTATTTTGGGGCCCGAAGGAGATGTTGAAATTAATACACATGGTATTTATTATTTATATGAAAAATTGGTTTTAAACCTGAACCGATAAAGTAATAAAGAAATAAATAAACATGTTTTAGTCAACACGTCTCTGTAGCCAGATTGTTAAATGCGTTAATCAGCATTGCGTTAAGCGCTTCAGGTTTTTGAGTCCCAGGGAAACAATAAATTGTTCAGGTCGGGCAGCGCACAGAAGTCTGCCAAACTACATGCCTGTAAAAGAACCGATCGGTGTGACGAACACAGAAATGTGTTAGCCCCGTTCCCCACCACTTTATGTAAAAGCATTTTGTTTGTATCGTGTTAAATCTGCATTAACAGGTCGAACCGGGGAAATACCACGCGACACAACAACGGCCTGGTCAGTATCTAGCGCCAGTACCGAAGTAAGTGAACTTGCTGAAATGGACGAAAAACTACGCCAATTCCACAAATTAGCCAGCGCCACTAGCCCAGACGATGAAGACGTGGATACCGACTATGAATATAGCTTTTATTGATATTTATACTTAGACATCTTAGAATTACATAGTAAATCACATTACAAAGACAAATAGGTTAACATCTTCACTTCACTTCAGACAAAAAAGTCTTAGTATCACCAATCACCAAATCAAATTGATAGAGAAAGAATGTTATATGTCAAACGTTGTGGGAAAGAGACAACGCTCTGTTAATTTGTTTCAATGAATTTGAATTTGGAATGTATACCTATAAACAATAAGTATAATAATATAATATTATCTATTTTAAAAATGCTGTCTATAGCTATCGTAAAGTTGTAATTAAATGAAAATTTATTTTCCTGGCTGGTAACACCTTAAATTGTAGCATTAAAATATTTAAAAATTAAAAATATATCATACAATATACTTTATTATTAATAATACATCTTAATCCATAATCTAGATCTAACTGGCGACTGAAGGCTGATACTGGGCTGCAAGGCGCTTCAGTTCATTTTGCTTTGTAAGATATTCACGAGTGTATGGATGTTCTGGGTAAGAGTCAATTAACTGTGCTAAGTAACGTGCAGACACCTGCAAGATATAAATGATTTTGTTTAAAGTGGTCGAGTTATGAAAGATTATTTGGGACAAAACAAACGCAATAGTTACTGCAATTCAATCGCGAGCAACTGTCAGCTAAAAAATAGTCTAATTTGGGCTTATATTAAACCAAAATGTATTAATTTTCAAACCCATGATCTATTGTGCTAACAGTAACGATTTTTTTAACAAAGCAACACTGTGCTATGAAAAAGACTTTAAAAAACACTTATTATATTATATATATACAATAACGTCAACGAGCTATTTTAAAATACATACGTCTTTTTTGGGTTTGTGTAATGGTAGTATAGAAAGATATTTATGACAGTACTATTAAATGATATACTACAATACTATATAAATATACAACTACCATAATAATAAAGGGTCTATCAGGACATCTGCAGAAGCTTCATTTACCAAGAGGTGGCCAAGCTCAAGCTTTAAACCTTCTCTACTGTATTCTAAGAAATAATTATCTCAACTCATACCTCAGGTGGTTTGGAACTATGAGCAGCAGTGACGGCCAGTCCCAATAGTAATTCTGGCTGTTGAGGAGCCCGCGTCTGAGCCTCTGTTAACATTTGCTCTGCTTCCTCCCACATTCCTGTAATAGTTATTTATAAGCTAGAAAAACACTATCAAATAAATACAATATTGAATCCTTTTATAGTCTTAGTCCTTTATGGTAACTAGAGAGACAATTAGTACTTTGACCACCCATCCATACCTTATAACATCATATTATTATTACTTCTATACACTGAGAGAAGGCCAGCCTGCAGAAAATATCGGGTTATTACTGTGTCCCCTTTAAACCTTTCGGTTTGACAGGCACAGTCCTTTTCTTACTAGCAAATCTAGCACATTGCCAAATTATAGTTCCAATTGGTAGAATTTAAATAACTAGACTAGATTTTCAATATTCAAACTAGTTGTTTAAAAAGGTGTTCATCATATTAATAAAAGATCCTATACAAGCATTTTATAGCTAGTTTATACAACGATTTATAATATTCACCTCTTGAAGCCGCAGCTGCAGCGCCCACTGCGGAGGGTCCAGCTCCCAAAGCACCAAGACGTTCAGATAGTTCCATTATACTGTAGTGCGCATCTTGTACGCCGGGACCACCCTGTAAGTTTACAACCATTTCTCTCTATAGTATTAAAATGTTTGAATACTTATGTGTATCGTGTATAACTTCTGTAATAGTAGTTTAAATTCCTATAATAATACATATATTGTTTGATAGGATAAATGATTTTAAAAGTAGTAACATAAGTGCAGTGTAACTCTTGTGCAGGACATAAAAATTGTGCATAAGAAAAAATTGTGTGCCCACAAAGGAAGAAAGTAACTTTCTTAAACTATTTAAACATTAGGGCTGATTGTGTTTAAAATTAACACTTGTTGACATTCAGGTGATCTGATTCTGATCATCTGAATGTCCAACAATAAAAAAAATTATAAAACTTGTATAACCTGTGACAAATTAAGCCAAGCCTGAGCCAACTGGGTCAAGGTTCCATCATCTTCAATATCTTGTATGAGTTTCAGCTGCTTCCGAGCTAGATCAGGACGATTCATAGCAAGTAAACATTGCAGAGTAAATGCTCGAAGCTCCAGGGAATCTGCTCCATGTAAAATTCTGAAATTATGTGTATGACAATATTATTATAAACTAAAAAATTAAAAGCAATTTACACCTACTTGTCTCTGACTAACAATGTTATTACTTTACATATTTTTTTAATGATATATTATGATAGACAAACATGGGATTTACTAGATGAAAGATGAATACCTCAGCCATATAACATTTAAAGAAGATACGATATCAACCTATTTTTGGTTTTGTATATTTGAAACGCCATGGATGTCAACGGAATGAGATTAAACTTTACAGCCAGTTCATCTGTTGATGGTGGTTTGTGACCCAAATGGAATTTCAATATTCTTACCAGCCAATTAATATCCCGGTATCTTGATATGGATATAGGATGAAGACTGACATGTTTCAGAAAATTTATAAAATGATTAAAAATATTTTGGGGATATACCAAGTGGATCCCAAACCATTAATTATAAGCCATACATTGCTACCATAGACTGATCTGACTTCTCATGTTACTGTAGACTATTAAGAGATATCTAAATTCTTACTTAAGTGCGGCTTCATAATTGTCTTCATGATAGTAAATAGTTGCAGCTACAATTATAAATACATCATTGGCCAGTTCTGTACCTTTAGCAACCTATAAAGAATATATGTGCCAGTTAATAAAGTTACTTAGTTACAAGTGAGATTATATACGGCATTCAAACATATACTCAGTAGAGATATGATGAGGAAGAGAATAAGAGAAAAATATGAAGTTTAGAAAAAAAACATGGATTTTGTAAACATACTTATTTTTCATAATATATCCTGACTGAATATACAAAATGTCTTATTTTAGTAAAAGTACCTACCCGACCATCTATATCCGCAACAATAGCTGGTTTATTAGCTCTCGGCGACAAATAATCCACTAAAGTCTTAAGTGGCTGCAGCATTGGATCAGCTGTCTTCAGCTCCTGTAGCACAATCCTGAAGTTTCCTTGTGCAATATAAGAGCGGTAAAGAAATGCATCACGCTGTAAAGCTATCAAAGGTGACGAAGGCTGAAAAAGCATAAATAATAATTACTAATGACACTTCAAATCAACAAAAAGGCCTGAATACTTATATTATATATTGGAAATATAGCACTACGTGTATGATAACACCAACCTTTATCTTTTTAGGTATATTTTTTTGAAAAAGGCATAAAATGATACTTTAAATGGAAAGATTTAATCGCAACACGTCATCGGCAAGGGAGTTTAAATCATGCAGGTCAGCTTTAAAATGGAAATGGATGGAGGTTTTATAAAGACTTACGTTCACATTTTGAGCCTCATTGATGGCTTGTTGATAATTTCCAACATAGAAAGCATTCTTAACATCAAAAAGTTCATCAACTTCCTGCTGACGTGCCATTTTGTCAATAATATCAGAATAAACAGTGTTTTTATTGCAAATTGGAAATAAAATAGTAACAAATAATTTGACAGATGACACGTTTGTGGTATGTTGTCAACTCAAGTCAATTGTCAATGTAGACTATTGACACTTATTGCATTTCTTATTTGCAAATATTTTAGTTTTAAAAAGACACAGTATACATTTAATTTTTATAATACAAATATTTATATTTAACATTGATAGTTTTTTGATATCTGTAATGTTTTATTCAGATATTGATATTAATATATATCTGTTCTTTGTTTACATTAACTTATCTCCCGTATGGTCTAGTGGCTAGGATACCTGGCTTTCACCCAGGAGGCTCGGGTTCGATTCCCGGTACGGGAATTTCTTTTGTCTCCTTTATACTTGTATTTTAGTACTGCCGCAATCGCAATATAACATACTCATGATATTCTTATTTCGGTATTTGACAAACAATGTTCAAATTAAAAATAAATACAAAAGTTTTGGTATCAGCTGAAAAAGAGGCAATGTCTATTATTATATTAATATGTATAAAAATTATGTATAAGGCCATTTCAGTCGTAATATCCAAAATGTGGCGGTAGTTTTTATCTCATCACTACTATTAACGATAAGGTCTCATTCAAAACCTTGAAATAGAAAATAACTTTGTCAAAATATTACACTTGGTTGTTCACTACTTTTGTACACCCAATGGATAATTCAAGGTTATAGACCCAGCTTTCGCTCACCAATACTGCAGGTAAAATACATTCAGGTAAAACGGCTGGCAATCAGCATACAACTATGAAATAATTAAAAGTTGTTGACATACAAATGCCTAAGACGCTCATGAACAAGGAAACAACCGCTTTAGCGTATTGTCTGTAAAGGTTGATTTCTAGTCTATAAATTATAAAAGTGAAGTTTATATTCTAACACTATGTAAATAACTAAAATGGCTAAAATACTTAAGGTTATTGATGAGAAAATTATCATCAATAACCGTTTTTAATTTTAATTGATTTTGAGGTCCATTATAACAATATGTATCACAATTATGAGATACTAATCAAAATACACCACATTTATCAAAATAAGTCAGTTTAGCAGGCGCCACGATACTAAATACTTGTCTACCTACATACTGTCAAAATCATTGAAACGTACCTATATCTTCGTACGAGTAAATAGCCATTTACAATATTATTACTTACTGTGTATCTCGCTAATAGTAGAAACATTTGTCGTAAACCAAAAAACGTACAGCCAGTGCTATCTTATCATGACAACAATCATTTCACAGGTTTAAAACAATAAAAAACACCCAAACTTATTATAGCTCTGTTTCGTACCTGTTTTATATAGACTGCATTGTGTTAAGAGCTTTTTAGCTAGAATACTCAGGATTCGGCCAAGTCCAATTTACAAAGGATTTCATCCCTGTGATGAGGTTTTAGCCGAGAAATTAATGTTAAGACTAAGTAGATATAATTAATTATTTCTTATCCAATTTACTAGGTGTATTGAATTTACCTAAATAATTATATTAAAGATTGTATTAAAGAAATATCTTGCATTTTTCTCTGATTTTGACAGGCTGTGTTGATTAGACTGTGCTTTCGGGACCGAGGCTATTTGTTATAATATTTCATCTAGCTAGAGCTAAAGATTATTATTATTTTAAGTAAGGATCTACGGCAGCCTACGTAGGTAGGTCACATTTTAATTCTTGAAAAATATTTTCACATAACCAAGTTAAAAATAATATTCAAAACGTAAGTAGTCCCATATAATTTAATTTGGCTCTAAAGGAAATCGAATTCCCACCGCATAAATCTTCGTCTGGATAAGTTTCGTCGTGAATGAAATTTTTGCATCGTTGTTGACCCCAAGGGCTTCGCTCTTTCTCAGGCCTTGCCAGCTGTCGCTGCACCGGGCCTTTCAATACAACTTCGAACTCTTTGTTGAGACTTAAACTTTCGGTTGCCGGTTTTAGTGCAGTCGGAAGATTATATTGTACTTAGTTTTTATCCTTATAAGGTAGCTTCGTACTAAATAATTCGTATTAATTCAGGTATACACATATCTCAAACCTCAATACAACAGTAACAATGTATACTGTAATAACCAGGTACTAATTATTTATATACGATGATATTTATGTAACAACCATTTATAAACAATAAGTCATAAAAATCCCTTTCAAGTTGTGTAGGTGTTAAGTTAAATATCTTGCGAAAGATCTGGATTGCAAATATAAAACAATGAAAATTAGCACAAAGTTCAATGACCTCTAAGGGCTCGTTCGAGCAACGGCCCTTTGAGGGGTCTGATTTTTGAATATTTTCATCTCGCTAAGAGTATGTCTTTGATGCTGAAGTAGTTCAGTTTTGTAGATTTAAAACGATACGACAAAAGAATTAATTGCAATGTTACGGCGAGAAAATGTTTTTTTTTTGTCGTGAAATACATAATAATGTTTAAGCATATTTTTTAAAAACACACGTATACTTTTTTTCGTTTAGTTCACCTACATAAAACGTCATCCGATACGAAATGTAGGCCACTTTGGGACTTGCCCTCAGAAGTGCATTTGACATGATTTTGAGTAACTGCCTTTAGAACCAGATTTTTCCAGTATATGATGCCAACTAATTATGTTTCGGAAATCTTCGAGTTATACAGGCATACATTACGTAAAAACACTTTTAGGCAGTTTTACGAATACTAAGTATGCACGATAATCCTTCATTTCAAATTGACGTTCTTTAAGTAGATTATAGTTTAATAAGTGGTTTTAAATAAATCTAAATTTATTATTACATTTTAATGTTCCACATATTTAGCACAGCCTTTTCAGACAAAATGCTATAATTTTTCTGCGTGCTGTTGTTGTGTTATCCTGTTCTGTTAAAAACATTATGTATGTTGTACATTTGATTTGACAAAGGAAGTTATAAAACTGAGGAGTTTTCGCCTTCATACTGAGCAGTGCTTTATGCCAAATGCCATAGTAAAAGGTTGTGCTGCATTGTGTGTGAGTGCTCGTTTACATTGCTCTAATAAAAACGTTTGTTTCTAAGTATTTATTTTTGCTACCCGACAACTTGTAAGTTGGTGTATAGGCATATGTTTCAATCTAGCGTTAAAATGTACACACGAAATGGCGCGGTGTTGGTGTTACAATTCAAATATGACGAAATTTAGCTATAATATCTAAAATCAACAAAATCTCAACTGTCACTCAAATAAAGAAGTTGGAATGCTTGATAAAACATTTGTATCATAATATTGTATCAAAAAGTACTGTAGTTTCCGCTAATTATACGCATTTAAATAAACCACCTTTAATGGTTTAAAAACAGTACTTTTTCATTTTTGACACGATAAAAATAGATTTTTATTTCTACAGAAAACTATACTTTAACTACGATTATACAATACGCTTTTTTATTCCATACTTTCCATAACGTGGACGGGTTATAGATCAATAAACTAAATGTGTAGTCATCATCAACACAGTAGTTCGATGTTTAACAATAAAACTCGCTTCATCACGAAACAAACTCGAGTTAGTTAAAACAGCTTCCAAACTGTCTCACCGGAACCTCATTTCCTACCCACAAAAACACCGAACAAAAACTGAAGAAATTAAAGAGACTGTTTTGTTACATTAAGACCGATTCTCCATACGTCTTCGCATCCGTTCAATCTTCATAAAGTGCAAAAAAAATATTCTACCGAGCACAATAGCGTTGCTTGCATCTGCTATCCGGCGTTTTATAAGCAGATGGTTAAGGGCCAGAAAAAATTTGTACCTGCGTACTTATTGTACACGACTGTACTTTGAACTTAAGACAGAGGGTGACTACAGAAACGGGAACATAGGGAAGTTTCTCACGGCTTATTATTAAAGCTCTATTTAATATAGGACGTTATTTGTAGAAAATATTGATAATTACGTTTTTGTAATTAAGTTAGTTTTTCTTCTATTCACTTTATCTAATTGTGTTTATTATATATTCAACATTTCAGCGTTAAATTGGAAAGCACCCTCTCTTTCTACAGTTTTTACGTATGTTGGGAAGGTTCTTTGATTTGTTAATTGTCTCAATGTAGGTCGACAACGCAACTGCTGGGTTTGTTGCATGGGCATGCTAACCTAGAAAATATTAACAAAACTCATTTTTGTCAGACTAGTCGTTTATATTTGTTGTAAGAATTTATTTTCATTTGTTTTAAACAAGCTTTATTTTTTTATAAATATTTAAGAAACCTATTAGTTTAGAAACCATAAGATACAAACAGATAAATAGAGAGGAGATTTTTGTCGAAGATTAAGCTGTTTGCAGCCAAACACATGCATAAATACCATGTGGTATTATTTTATTTTACTTTAAGTTAAGCTTAAAGGGATTAATTTAAAAATCGAAAATAAATTGAAAAAATGTTCGAATCGGGCAGGACGTGAACCGGCATCGTCAGCGTTCCGTGCTGTCGCTCGAGCTGGTTCAAGTCCTGCCCGAGTCAAAAATGTTTACTATGTTAACTTTAGATTTTTAAATTATATAGTACAATAATATGTAAAAAATAGATTCTTTAAAACATTATTGTAATCGAAACACTTACTGAAAAACAACAATGATACGCATTAAATATTAAAAAAAAATGTTCCGTATATCATTACCGCCATTCATTAGTATTACTGCCATACGATTGTACTAGAAACTACAAGCAAATTAGACAAATGTGGTCACCCTGTTATTTGGTATGAATCGATATTCAAGATCTCTGCTTTATTGTCTGCACAGTCTATAAAAAAAGCGTAAAGACAAAATTTGCGTTACCTTTCCGTACCTACCGTACCTGTAAAATAGAATGAATGAGAATACAACAATGAGTATGTTCTTTAAGTACACGTTCTATTATGTTTCGAAACACAAATAGTTTAAAATCATATCAAACGTACGCAGTATCAAAGTCTTTAGATTTATGTATTAATGCTTTGAATGGCTTTGTACTTTATCTGGTAAAAAATCTTAAGTACATAGTTTCTTTGAGTCGGGCAAGGCACTGAAGACTAAACCATTTAACATAGAAGATTGGAATATCACAGTATTTAAATAAAACACTTAAACGGTTTAAAACGCGATATATTTTAGTGTAACTTGTTTGAAAATTATTTTTAACTACCCGTCGTTTCGGATGCTTTGCAGCAGCCGTGGTCACGTGGTAAAATATATCGCGTTTTAAGCCGTTAAAGTGTTTTATTTAAATGTGTATTACTCGCGTAAACTACAAACAGTATATCACAACAGTGTTAGTAGTTTAAGCAACTACACATTATTTGAAACATATTTTACTAAATGTATTCCTAACTACAGACTGACGTTTTTCGATGCTTTGCAACACGACAATAACATGTAGGACACGGTAGCTCATTTGGTTAGAACTCGGAACGCTGTGGCTGTCGGTTCAAGTCCTGCGCATATCGTAAAATTTTTCAATCGATAAAACGATTTTTTCAACAAATTAACAAATTCTTTTAAAACTGTTTTATTTAACACGACACTGTTGTCATTGTATTTGTGCGCGTTAATTTTTTAATAAAATAAACTTAAAACTTAACTGCCTGTACATAAAATACTGTCTATAGTTTAAGCGAGTAGTACTCCTTTAAATAAAACACTTTAACGGTTTAAAACACGATATATTAGTTAAACTTATTTGAAACAGTCTTCCTGTGACCACGGTTGATGCAAAGCATCCGAAACGTCGGGCCGAAGTTAAAAATAATTTTCAAATAAGTTTAACTAATATATCGCGTTTTAAACCGTTAAAGTGTTTTATTTAAATGCCTGTACATAATAATTAATACATTTAATAGCTATAGTCTATTTTAAAATTTAATGAGCTCGTCATACTCAAACTTGTCTTGCGTGTATAAATCAAGTAGGTAAGCCGTTCGCCATCTGTTTATTATATTTTTATAAAAAAAATCCCGCACGACATATCGACCACCTACTCAACGAGTATCAGGTTTACTACAAATAATCTCTTTTTGTTCGATGACCTTTTAATTAAAGACAATAGTATGACACTCAACTATAGTATCGATTTACAATATGGGCAAACATAATTTTTTATAAGTGTTTAAAACTATTATTTAAATGAACAATCTATTATGAGTAGAGTAGAAAAAATCAACGATGCTTTATGAGACGCGGTAGCTTATTAAGGCAGCCGCACGCAATGCTGTGGTCGTGGGTTCAAGTCCCACCGAGCTATCAATTTTTTTTTTAAAGTAGATTTTTAATGTATTTAAAGCCATTTTGTAGAGTACTAATATTTCAAAATATTATTTTCGGTAATACTTTTAACTAATAGGTACCTACCTTCTTCCATTAAAAAAAATAATATCCCGGAATTGAATCCCACCTTTGATATTGAATTTGTTAAGCCGCAAGCTGTAGAATTACCAACCTTTGCGCAGTCAATTAAAAAGCAATAGAATAATATATCCATATATAAATATTTTTTTTCTGAGAACAATATTATTGTTTTATTTGTCTATGTAGAAATATGTTTGGGTTACTAACTTTACTGACTCTGAATATCGTTTTCGAGGCGAAATAGTATCTCTTTCGCGACTATAGTTGGTAAATGAATAATTTTGAAATCAAAACTAGGTCTTCACTTAGCGTAACAATTCAGATTCTATAACTATATAAATAACTTTAGGTACATGTACTTAATAAGAAAAATAAAAATATATTAGTAAATAAAATCACGGATAATTGCGAGTCGGATTCGCGATCGAAGGATTCAGTGCCATTCACTAGATACACAAATTTTATATCGGAACCTTTTTTAACTTTTTATGTTCCTACTAGTCACCTAGTATTGGTTTATTTCCATTTATCGTGGTTCTAGGGATACAACTTCGTGACAGACAGACAGCAAAGACTTGGCTGGATTATCTTTTTACTTTTTTTGTGCAGAACCCTAAAAATAAAATAAAACAAAACTTTAATAATGAACAATTAAATGAAAATCGGTGTAGTGTAGAACTACAATTCAATAATGTTGTTGAGCGGCCTTGCTATGAAAAATATGTACAAAAATATCTTTACCTCCATTTGATACATATAGATGAGACCTATTTTTGACAAAGGTCATGAAGTAGTGTAGCTGAAACAGTAGTAAAGATTTTAGTGCTCTGCTCGCCTTGACCTAGGTATGAATTGTTGAACTTAAGACACAAGGGAATATCGCTAACTAATACAAGCATTTATAATAATACATCGTAAGTCATCACATACTTACCTACCTACTAGAATATTTGTGATTAGGTATATATATATTTATTTATTTTATTAAAATTAGAAAGTATATTAATTTAGAACTTATTTTTGCACATTTTATGTAAGATTAAGAAGAGAAGAGAGCCAGAAATCATTTTCTTCGCCATTATAGTAGTTTAACTGTGTAAAGCATATGTAAAATCCATTTATCCCTTTGTGGAACAGATACATTAGTAAGTCTGTTAATTTACTCGAATCTATTTATGGGTTAGTTCTAAGACCGACGTAATAGACCTATTTACGTTTCCTCAGGACTCGAACCCAAGACGTTTAGCCTTTAACCATTTAGCCACGGAAACCGACCGGTCTCGTGGTTATCCACTGATACTTGAAAAATGATGTGCATATACACTACGTGCTCATACTTTGTGAAGTTCAGCGTTTCACGGACAATCGACACACCGTGAATGTAACCAATTAATTAATCGCGTACTTATGGAGGTGCATAAGCTCGTAGTTACCTGGTGATGTACGGGCGGGCGAGCGGAAGCTGCATACTCGGCCGGTGCAACCCCCCACCGCCCCGAGTCGGGCGCGTGCGCCAACACGCCGTGCCGCCGCCGGCCGGCGAATCAGTCTACCGCCGCGCCGCGACTACAACGCACGCACGTCACGCTACAAACCGCGGCATCCACACGATCTAACGTGCTTTTTATACCCAGTGACAGATACGAGAGGGCAACCCTCTCGCAGCCGCCAAGATTGCTTCACAAGTGGAAATGCCGTCAAGCCTCTTCGGAGAGCTCGGAGGTGGACTGGTGGAGGACCAGCGGGCGTTCCAGCTCGCCCTCGAGTTGAGCATGCTTAACTTCGGCGAGACTCTGCCCTCGACGAACCCGCTCGCTAGCCCGCTCGGCTTCGCTCCGCCGCCAGACGATCGCACCAAGAAATCTCAAAACATGACCGAGTGTGTACCGGTACCGTCTTCGGAGCACGTCGCCGAAATCGTCGGTAGACAAGGTAAGGATTGAGGTTATGCCGCCTGAAACGTAGACCGTAGTCAATAGATGTTCCACCCTCGTACAAGGGCGGAGGACGCACGTGCGATTTAGGTTATGTTCGATCCCAACCGGCTGATGAAATATTTTTTCACTCGGTACCGTCAATTTTTGTTTACCCCGACACAAATGTGTTGCATTGCATATTGCGTAGTGCATTTCGTAGGTATTATGTAGACGCACGTAGCCTCGCGTAGAACGCTGTGAGTATAAATATTAATGTGTAAATAATTGCATGTCTCTAGTTCCCATACTTGTTTCGACCGTGAAAAGTCGAGTCCTCTAATTAAAAGGTACCGTTAACAAAAAATTATCCCAAGGGATGTCGGTGTGCCTTTTTCGAATGGTGCTCCCTAAAAAACGTCCGACAAAGCTATCTGAGACTAATTTTGTAAATGTGCATAGGAGTTGAGCGAAAAAAGTTAATTTTGTGGTCGAAAGGTAATAATTATTATTCAAAATGCGGCGGTCTTTCCTTGACTACCCACATTCTTGCGATTACCACCGACATAATTATAGTAAAACAATTTTTGTCTATAACCAAATATAGATTCGGTAAATATATCTCTAGAAATCATATTTTTTGGAAAATTTCATTTTGAACCAATTTTACTACATACCTACAATCACAAAAAGTAAAGGGAATAATTTAGATACCTTTTTTTGGACATCGGGTAGTACCTGACAATTCAATTGAATGTAATATTTCTCATCTGCCCATACAAAAAAGAATACACTCTTAGAATTTACTCCTTAAAAGAATTCCGCCAAAATACAATACGAAAAGAAATTCAATACATGGAAGTCCTTTCATGTGGATGGATTTTTTATTAAGTTTTGCTCAAGTACCTGTGCTGCGGCCAGGTTAGCATTGCATGAATGTCTTTTGTTATTATTAAGTAGGCTTTTATCAGTAAAACTACCTATTTCTTATTTTCCTTTTTGTGTGAACTGTGTTAGACACAGGATATTTGTGTATGCATTTAAAAAAAATGTAGATGGAGATATAATTATGTAATAAGTAACTAAAAATCTTACGACGTAGTCTTTGAAACGCTTCATCACATTCAAACATATCTTTGCTTTGGCCGTAAAATATCCGCGCTGTACCTATTTCTTTACCGTATTTAAAGTTAGATTATATACGTATTAGGCATTGTTATAAATTATGCATATTTTATAAATTACGATTTTAATCCGAAACATAAGCGATCGCCCAACTTTTAAGATTCAGACCAACGCGCAATTACGACCTTATAACCACTATTATGACATGAATATAAAACACTTCCCTTGAATAATGCAAACCAATTCAAAGTTAGGCCTTAGCTAAGATACATCATACAGAGATGAGTAGCTCAAATATCCATTTGACATGTGCGTACAAGAAGCTTGATTTAAATTCTCAAGTTTACCCGCGGACGCAGCGTGACGTCACGTCCGGTCGATGTTGCGCCTCGAGACTCGACTATCGATTGTCAATTCGATGTTCGATTGTTTCTGGAGTCGATCGGATCCTGTCGGCGCGTTTGTTGTTTTGGTTTGTAGTGGCGCGCCGCCGTGTAGCATGTTGTAAGTTCGGCGTGAGATGAACACGGCAAAGAAATGTTTTTTTTTTTATTTCAAGGAAAACAATCTAATAAGATATAATATCATATATCAAAGCTGTTTAAATATCGTATATAAAGACGAAGCAATCAATATTTAATAATAACAATCAATAAAAAGCAATAAAAAAAAACCAATAAAAATCAAGATTTATAATTAGCACTGTATAAATGCTTTCAAAACTTACTAATAGTTACTTTTAAATATGCAAACCACGTGAGAACACAAACGAAAAACGTTGAGCCCTCATTAGACATAGAAAACTAGTCCGGTATTTTAACTATGAAGTATCATAATGTACCGAAACGTGTCGATGAGTAATTCATCCCTGTCCGTCAAGCCGGTTCTATCTAGGACCGGTTCCGCATCAATGACTGCTAACCCTCTTGCTTTTACTCCCGAATATTACACCTTTATCGCTTTAAAATTTTAACGGTTTCTTAACGTAGTTTTTGCTTAAACTAGATCACATTCGATTTTTTTAATAATCTATTCTGCTATCTTTGCTCTGGTTAATGAAAGGGAACCATATTTTGTTATGCATTTAAATGCGACCACTGTACTAAGACCACAACACTGGTTATGCGGTTGGACTGTGAGAGGGAATCGAGATTTGCAGTGTAGCTCAGCGTGCGTTCCGGTCGACGCCACCTGAGTCAGGGTCAAGGCTTCTTCTCACTTCACCATGCCTGGTCTATTTGCAGATTACGCGATGTAATTGATAAGCTGTTTAATTTGAGGAATAGCATTTTTATATCAATTAACGTTTTTATTTACCGTTACCGTTAAACCCATTTAAAGCTTTATAACAAGCTAAATTGATTGTTAACTATACTATTACTTTAACAAGATTACATAAATTTGTGTCCGCTGACAATTTTTTGAATGGGATACAAAAAATAAACGAGCATGTGGCCCGACGGAGAGACGTCCCGAAATTCCACGGCCCCATTTTTTTGTGTAACTTGACAGATGCATTCTGGGACGCCACTAACCGCATCTTGCGTCCTTATCGTGCGTTAGGAAATAACATCTACGGATGCACCTATAACGATGAATTTGAGGTTATTTTGAGATGTTACCTTGTCTCTGTCGCTCTCGGTGGCGCCATTGCTAAGTCGCACACGCTTGTTTGTATTGCATGAATGGTACTTGTTTAAAAGTAGTATTATATAGTATCTTAGAAACACTTCTTTTCCCGTTACCGAATCCATAACGCGTTGGGCGTTGCGCCGTGGAGACAGTCAAGTGCGCCTCGACAGTGCACTGACTGCATTCGTCGATTGCGAAAGAAGCAGCGTGACGACACAGCGCGAGGGCACCCCCACGTCTGCGAAACTTAGGGATCCTAATGAATGACTTCCTAATTGCCGCGGCAGCACGAATAAACCCATAATCCGAGGCAAAAATCCAACATCTACGTTTAATTATGAACTCAGCCCTTTTGCATCTAAGTTTCAAATCGAGTGAACGTAAGCGCGCAGCACGTACTTGCGGACGCGAATGATTATTTATTATACAGTTATTGAGTCTTAAACGTCAACATGTGCTCGGGGAAATGAGATCGTATGTGTGTGACGTTTAAATTTATTTCTCTTTAAATGAATCGCGATTAACGCGTTTCGCTGTTGGCGCAGTCTGAGAGCGTTTATAAAGCGACAAGTCGATATGCTTCCCGCACTAATGTTGACAACAATCCATCTCGAGTTGTCAGGCGCCGCGCGAATTAGACGCACTGCCTTTTTCGATTTGCTGTCTAGATTGTAATACTCCTTCGCGTTTCTTCATTATTCCAACTTGCAGCTCATGCGACTACGGGATAGTAATTTCTGTTCGAGATTAATCTATTTGTCGCGTCGCATTATTGTAATGGAAAAAATTGTTGTTCAGTTTCTTGTATCGGTTTAATGACAGGATATAATGATAATGCCAACGAGTCAAAGTCCGTAGAACGCAGATGTGCGAAAAGTAGTCGCTGTAAGAATGCGCCCGGCCTGGTACCGAGTACCGACTAGCAACAGATGTGTCTAGTTAGTATATGTACTGTACGCAATTGATATTTAACAATACCCCAGTTAAACTAGTTTTCGTTCACAATAATTATGTTCTATAAACTGAATATCCTTCAGACAACATTTACGATACCAATAAGAGGACTTTTTCCAATTAGCTGTCAATATCGATCGGTTTAGTAAATGTGATGATAGATAGTAAATTAATTGATGGTAATGAAAACCACATATACCGTGTATAATAAAAGATGGCTGTTATCATGTAGTTAGCGTTGCCATCTGGTTGTAACCGTCTGGTTACAAAAATGTCTTGCAACCGCCGGTTCGCACCTGTCGGCGTTAACTGTTAAGTGTCGTGTTTTGGGAAAATTTATTGAAAGTTTTAAATAAATTAAACCATTATGAGAACCTTGCGATGTCGTTCGATGATCAACGTTTATTTATTAAAATGAGTATTAAACTTTACAACGCAACTACACAATTTTTGTGCGTGTTTATTACGTGCTGTCTGTGAGCTCAATGATCTAGAAGTTCCTAAACTCGACTGCAGATATCGAGGGGTTTTTTCGATATCTCATTATTTTTGAGATTATTTCTAGCCATCAATCTGGGGTCGTAATAGGAGTAGTCGTAGTAGGAGGTGTAATGATTCAGAGTGGTGGGACTTAGCTATCTTCTACGGGAGAAGAAAACTGTGCCCAATTATGGGACATTAATAAGTAACTGTACACATTATTTGGTTCGAGTAAGAACAAAGCGAAAGCACTTCCTGGTATTAATACGCTTACCATTAACTCATTAAAAAATAAAACACATGGTTGCCTGTTATTAAAAACAAAATCCATTGTGAATTAAAGCGTAAATTACTTCCTATATACGTGATTAAATTACACCATTGGCTTTAAAATTATTATTTTTCCCGCGTGTTTTCACAATGTGTAATAATGTCTGATATACAATTGGCAACATTTTATCAGAACTTTACGGTTTGTATACGCTATAGCAAATTAGTGATGTACTATAGGACATTCTCGAATAAAGTATGCAATTTAAGAATAAAATTATTGTTATAGTACAAAAACAGAAATTGATTTCGCATTATGAACTCTTTATAAACATATTTAGATATATTTTTAAAAATCAAATTGTTTTTATAAATGTTACAGGTTTTCTTCCTATTTAAATAACATACAAATTGCTAACATAAAGTTAATTTTGGCTTTAAAAAAAATATTTATCTTATAAATCCATAAACAATTTTTTCCGTGGAACAGAATGGTTTACGAATACGAAACTTAATTTGCGAAAACTGTCAAAATGTAATTAATGTAATAGTGACAGTGACGTTTGCAG